ATTTAAGGAAACCAAATCTCTCTTTATTCCTTTGGAACTCAATTTCCATATTTGCTTCTACTGCATCCTCTGATCTTGCTACATCAACCTGAACTGAATGATCTATTACAAGTTCCACCGGAACCTACATGCAATAAGTCCACTATACTCAACATAACTGCAACAAGTTGGCAATAGTAGTTATAGGAGACAACACGCTTTTCTCAAAAATTAAAAATGGAAAGAGTAAAATAGTTATGCATCACTAATTTTCTAGATACTGGTCCAAGTGGAAATATAGCACCCTCAATTTTAGATTACAGCACTACATGTATATGTCAAATGACTCATATTAATTAACCAAAAACTGAAAGAAAAAAAAAACACTTACTATAGCAGAAGGTAGATAAAGAATGCCAATATATAACATAAGGTAGATATATTGATCACAAACCAAAGGGCTAATTTTGTTAGGATCCCCTCCAAGATTCTTCATGACATCCCTCATGGAAGCCAAATCAACCAGAGCTGGAACTCCAGTAGCATCCTGGTCAACAAAAGAAAATGTCCAAAGAGTTAAAAAAGGCGACAAAAACTCCATGCTTTCAAAACAAGGAACAATACATGGAAGTAGAATGAACAAACCTGTAGAAGAACACGAGCAGGAATGAAAGGAATTTCAGTTTTCTTTTGAGATGTGTTCTCCCAATCAATAATCTTTTCAACATCATTTTTTGTCACTTTAAAGTTGTCACAATTACGTATGGCAGATTCTAGAAGTACCCTTATGGAATATGGCAGCCTATCTTGAATATACCAGATTGACAATTTAGTCACAATTTATCAACATAATCTAAAGAAGGAAGAAGAGTGATCTCAGTTCTTACCAATTCTAGGATCATTCAAAGCAGGCAAACTATAAAATTTTCCATATTCTCCACCTCCAGGCTTGGGAAGACTGATCAGTATTCCCTTGAACAAATTTTCTGAAGATAAAGAGAATAATTAATTAATCTTTTGTTTCACACGCTGGTAATTGGGATAACAAAGAAAGAGCTACATTTTCCAATATAGTAATTGACCAACATTTTAATAGTAGCCATTCTTATAAACATATGGATAAGTTCTACAATATTATTCCTAGTTGTCATCATACCCATGGTATCCATTCATCAAAGGAAGGGCTTGAATTTCCTTTATTTGGCTCAGTTGGAGAGAAGTGTAGAATCTAGTTACATGAATGAATTACATGGAGATTAAGGTGAAGGAGTGGAGAAAAAGATGCAAGGTTTTATACAACATAAAAACTAAATGGCTTAGTGAGTTTCTATCTTTGACTCAATTTCATTACATTATATTCATTATTATTCTTCACTTGACACCTTTCTGCAATTCCAAAAAGAGGCTTTCTGAATGGTACACGTAGAATTGCACCTCTTGTTCCATGCACGTTTTCACGAGGCATGCGTTATTCCCGTAAGGAAAACAATGTATCTTACATCATCAATTTAAATGAATAAAATTAAATTCTTTAAAAACTCATACGCCTTAGTACAATATAATTATTTTAAACATAGAGGCAGGCCAATGATTTATATAAATTCTTTAAATTCAAATCTTAAATTATATATAATTATTTTAAGAGTCCAGAAAACACGTCAAGTTACTGAAAATACTATTACTATTGACTTTGTTAAACTACATATCTTTTTAAGTTTTTAAAATACAGAATTACTTATTAAACTATCAAAATCAATTTATTTTCAATTAATTATAAAATAAATTTATTTAAACTTTTTTTAGACAGTTTCGATCTTAGGCAAGATTTATCAATGTAAGTTTTAAAAAAACTTTGTTTCTAAAGCGACTGTTACTGAGTGAATTGTTAAAAATATTTTATAAACAATGTATTTATAAAAGTATTATACACATATATATCATATACAAACATGTTGCATTATAAATAGAACTGCCAATATTTAAGTTACACCAAAATTTTTCATAAGGTTTAAAAGATCAGCATGCATGGTACTTCCGTTTTAAATGTTTTCATGATATATAACTGATATATTAACATAGAAGCATTCGGATAAAGGACTCTCTGGTGTAATAGAGAAATTGCTGGATCTATGGATGACATGAGATCAATAAATGCCATGAATCAACGATTAATGGTCAATTCACCTTTTTTTAAGAATAAGAAAGGGAAAATATTTGTGTTCCTAAAGAAAATCTTGTGAAGAATTATTTTCCTAATATGTTATATCTATAGAGCATAATTCTATATTAACATTTTAATAAGAGATTGTTAAGATATTCCATGTTATAAATAGAATTAGAATATTTATTATAAAGGGAAGGATAGTCCTTTTTTTTAAGCTAGCTATTGAAAGTGAATTAGACTTAAATTTTTTAATGTTTTAAAATGTAACTAATATTTCTAGTTTATATATTTTAAAAATATATATTATATTAATTTTAATATATAAGAATAAAGTATTAAATAATTTTAGATTAATATAAAATTAAAAAATAATTACTCTAATCTTGATAATTACAAATAATGGAATAACTGCGCTGTAAAATGAAAAAAATGAATATTTTTATTGACTCTTTCGTGGAAATAACGAAAGACAAATTACACTAAATCAAGCATAATGGATTAGGATAATCATTTAAAGTTTATTGTTGTCATAATCTTAAAGTTTAATTTTATAATAAAATATTTTAAATTCTCTTATAAACATAATCTATAAGTAGAATGATAAATAAACTAATAATTATTATAATAAATTTTAATATAATAATATATTATGTGTATTTATGTAAATAAGTCAATTTATTAAATTTTGAAAAAATAGCTTAAAACTTAACTTCTAGTTAATATTCTAACGTATATAAAAAAAAGTATAATAAAAACTCATATATAAGAAATTGATGATATTAAATACTACAATTTTAAATAAAATTTATTAATTTTTATTATATTATTAAACATATGTTCAAAAACTTTTTAACTAAGTACTTAAAAATCAAGTTGAAAACATGTCCTTGACTTGTTAAGGTTTAACTAGCAATCTTAATCTTATCCTGATCGAAGGAATGGTAAACAAGAAAAGAAAGGGACTGGATGAGTTCACATTGTATGTAGATTATTACTATTAACATCAATTTGAAAGCATTACACTTTGAAACAAATGTAGCCTCCTTCATTCACGTGGTTTGGCCTACATTTCCATCGTTAATTTGTCAACTTTTGGCTCAACGTTTGGCTTGTCTTGAATCATCTTGTCTACCTTGTCATTTGCGTAAACTACATTTTCTGTGAACACTCACATTCATTCGCATTTATTCTTTTACCCATTTCTTCACCATCCAAATATCCCAAAAAGAAAGAAAGCACAGCACTTATTTATACTGTGGCAATAGGCTAACATAGAAATAATAGTAATCATACTTCATCAAGCATATCTGTATGTCACTGTGTAATTTGCACTTATGTTCCAATAATACTTAGCATAACATCTGTGATGCACGTTAGACAAAACCTTTCCAGGATTGAAGGGGCAAGCCACATGGGTCAATGATGCTTATTTTTTAATTTCTGCCTCTATTACTCAAATAACAATAACATTTTTAACATAATATCAAAAGTCAGTTTTAATAAAAAAAAAATGTCAGTAAGTCTCGTGTAAAATATTATTCATCAAGGCTTGATTAAATAATATTTCTCTACAGATTTGGCTTATTTCTGATAACACTTGTACTAAATAAAATCAGTTAACAGGGCTAATTTAGTGTTAACCTTGTTTAAGTGGTTCCAATCCACTGCTGTCACTTTTCAGCCGCCACTCCAATGGTGTGCAGCATGACATGGCAATAAGATTCTGCTCCAACGGTGGATATCACAGCAGATTCTGCACATAAGATTCCCACTATATTTTAGGAGTGATTAAAGAACGTTTATTGGGCTAAGACACTGTAAATCCTCCCTCACAATTTTCTGTTTTGTCTCCGACTTTGGTAATTGATATCCATATACGTTGTATGGTGGCTGCACCAATTGATGCATGTGGGCCATCTTGAAATGGAAATTGTTCAACAGCAGAAACTTCCAGGAAGCATTTCCTTTGGTCATATTTTACACATTTTGTAAGAAAATAAAATCTTTGACAAAACCATTCTATGCCAGAACAGGATTTTCCGTGTGCTAATTTTCTTTCTCCTTCTTACCAACTAGTGGTATTGTTTATTTTCACTCTTATATGAATTTAGATAAAAATAATTAAATAAGAGTGATGATAAATACTTAAGAATGACGAGTTTTCATTGGTATAAGTATTTTATACTACTACTATCATTATTTCATGGAGAAAGTTTTGTTTACGACAAAAATAAACTTCGTTTATTCTGAAATGTATTATTGACATGCATATATATTGAAAATAATATATAAATGAAAATAAAATTAATTAGTTAAACAATAATAATAATAAAACTTAGATTTTATCAGATACACAGTGCCAGGGATCCTCCTTTTCTTGACATGCCGTTACCATGAAAACAATTAAAGAGAAAACAAAAAGAGGAAGAAAAGACAAAATTGGTTGTGTAACTTGTGTCATGTGTGCATTATTTTTCTACACAAATTCCTAGCATTTGTATCCTTCTGTTGAAAATTTTGACTCTTTTGTCTGTTTCTCCTGATAATAGCGTCTTGATCTGTTAGCCGTCCATTCACTAGGGAATGGTTGTACCAAAATTTCTGTACTCCTTTAGAATTTTCTTTTTTTTATAACATCCTTTAGAATTTTCAGGTATACGTTTTTCAAATACAATTTAACTCAGGTGAGGATCTAGAAATTTATTAAATGACACGACCATATTTCACTCACACTTTATCCTTAATGCTCCATCAACATCCAAAGATAAAATGTCAAGCACGTTGAAAAAATTAAAGTACTCGTGGCATGTGCCTTAATGAAAGATATAAATGCAGAAGAAAACGAAATATAAGAAGTGGGTATGTCATTAAAATGGCAAAGATTCTTTACTTTATGAGATTCAATGCTCCTTGTTCCCTTTAAACTATTATGCCTTAGAGATTCCTATGTATACTTGTCAGAGAAAGTTATTACTGAAAGAATAGGTTAAAAAAAATTACTGTTCCATCTACGTTGTCAAAAGTTATTTTTCTCTGCTTCCAAAGTTAAATAGGTGGTGACCTATCTGAGTTTCACTAAGGACAAGTTGCTGTTCAGTTCCTCTCTGTGTGGTGGTTTTCTTTATAATCTCTCATCTCATCAGACATCAGCCACACCTCTGCAAACATTTTGAGGTAAGGAAAACTTTTGGACTCAAGATATAGTCAAATTTAAATTCTTCTATCTTTGAATTAAGTCATCTTTAATTTCAACTGAAATTGCCTTGCATATTCAAGAAAACCACTTTAGAATCAATATAAAGCTGGTTCATTTGAAAATTGAAGCTTCTGATTCCATAAAAAAAAAAATGGTGGTTCCTATTTTCCTTAGTGAAATATCATATATCCTATAGTATATAATAAGCTCCTTTGATTTCTTTATTTTTTACAACTTTGGTTCTTTCTCCCCTCAATTTCCAATTATTCTCCTTTATTTTTCTGATTTTTGTTTAAATTGTGAAAAATTAATCAGCTTGTGATGGGTTTCTTCTGATTTGGTTATGTGGGCTATGCAGGAAGTGATTAATAATGGAAGATAAATATAGTGTTGGTAGGAAGCATAGTGGGATATGGAAATCCTTGAGAGATGGAGACTTCGAAGAGGAGGAAGTTTGGGATGTTCTAAAAAACGTAAGTGATTATAGTTCTGGAGTTCACAAGTTCAAAGACAAGGATCATTCCTCTCTCCTTCCTAACCCTTCTAAGCCCCTCTCCACTACAGCAAGAATGATCCCAAGAGCTAGCAATAGCAGTGCTAGTTCCTCTAATGAGGCCAAGGGTCTTCAGCAATCAGCACCTGTCAACATTCCTGACTGGTCAAAGATCTATAGGAAGAATAAAAATAAGGCCCCCAAGGGTAATGCTTCAAGGTTTCATGATTATGATATGAATCATGTTTCTGTTGTTGATGGTGAAGATGATAGTGATGGTGTTAATTATGGTAAGGATAGTGATGAGTACGAAGAGGAAAACGATGAGTATGATTCTAAGCTTCCTCCACATGAGATTATTGCCAAAAGGCTTGCAAGGAGTCAAATATCCTCATTTTCTGTTTTAGAAGGTGCTGGGAGAACACTCAAAGGTAGAGATCTTAGCAAAGTGAGGAATGCTGTGCTCACAAAAACTGGTTTCCTGGAATCACTATGAAGGGGTCCCTTCTATAGTAATATACTAGTGCTAGTGCTTTCACACTTGTGATGTATAGTGGGTTTGTAGTAAGTGGTTACTTAGCAATGGAGATTAAGCTCATACAATAGGATTTGTTTAGCCAATTACCATAGAAAACAATGAATCAAATTGGTTGTGGCAAACACCACTGATTTCAATCTCCTGTTATATCAAATTCATGGGGTCTGGTGTATTCTTTAAAGCATCTATCCAAACACAATGGTTGATGTGAATCATAATTATAATGTCATAAAGCATTTAGAACGATAAATTAAAGTGCTTTTTTTTTTCATTTGAACAGGTCCAACTCTCACACTCTTAGTCTTGGCCTACTTCCCTGGTCCCTTATTGATGCCTGAATGACCTTTTCCTCTCTCCTTTTCATATAAAATGTACAAAATTAATGTTCAGCTAACATTTGTTTTCAATAAAAAGTTTGGATGAAGTATTTGTTTGTCTATGAATATGAGTTTAGAATATAAAAAAAATGTGATATAAATTTGATTAAATTCAAATACCTGTCAGTCCAATTGAGAAGAGACAAGCATTTATAAATCTTAAAAATATGTAATTTTTGTTACCAAGAACTCTTGAAAGAACTCACCTAAATTATTATCATGGTGTGGGAAATTGACAGGGACATTCACCAACTTCGTGTCATCTAATAATTATAAGAAAGATCAATGTATAGTATCTAATGACGTGAGACAAGGGAGGTGAAACAGAAACAACTTGTACGTAGTAGTCCCTATCAATTTGCACCTTTGATCTACATAATGCTAAATATTAAGCCTGTATTTTGCATGACTATGGATAAACTTAACTTTAAATACATTTATTAAAAATTTATTTAAAATAATTTTGCTTAAAAGTTTGTAGTAAAATTTAATATAAAAATTGTAATTTATCACGTTAACTTAAAGCATATTAACAATGTCATGAAACTACTAAATATGTCAGCATAGATTTCAAACTAAATTTACATTTTTATATGAGTTTTGAAACTTCCAACGTCTGTTCAAATATACACTTGATAGAAATAATATAATAGAAGCTGCCTATGGAGTATTCATTCTTTCCCTTGTTTCAGGTTCAATTGAGTTTGAACTTTTTCTAATCATTTTTATTACCATTTCCTGCCCAATAATTTAGCAGCATGCTTCGTGGCCAATGAGTTAGTAAACCCAATGGCACTGATTGAGTATGGAGTGTGCAAATGAATTGACGTTTGGAGTATTATAATTATTCACAATTTTAGTATTATGATAGTATCATATGAGTAGCTCTTGGTTTCTCCGGAATAGCAGATTCAACCTATCAACTTGTCACACGACAGATTCAATGTTTAAGATTGAACCCTGTGCTAAAAAATGTCATATATTGACAGATTCATATTAGATAAGTCTCAATGATACAGCATTTCTCTTACAAAATTTAAATTATCAATATAAACATACGAGTGTATACTAATTATAATTTTGAAATAACTTATTTATAAAGGCTTTATTAAGATATTAATGAAAATTTTAAAATAAGTTAAATTGAATACACGTTAATAATATAATGTTAGTATAAGTAATGCATCGTAATATTAATTTATGCTACTATTTTAACTTCTTTTAAATAAATACTATAATAATAAAAACAATCTTAATATTAAATGATAACAATTCTTTGTAGTACTAAGTAGGCGGTGTTTTCAACCTAATTTTTTGTTATTACACAATTTTTGCGTGAATTTTCTTAAATAAATTTTGAACAAATTTTTTAGTGAAGCTCAATATATAAAATTTATTCATTAATAAAAGAATATATTATAAGTCGACCAATATGTAATTAAAATTTTCTTTATCACTGTAAAAGCATTCCAACGCACACACGTGGGAGACTTATGTCCTTAATTTGGATCAATGCAACCTCTGAAGATGAATTTTGGAATTAAAAAAACAACAAACTCAAACCATAACATATATAACTGTTTTATTTATTGAGAAAATTATATTGGTTTTTCCATAATAATTAAGTTTTCATTGACTTCATTTTAAAATGAATTTAATATGTTTATGACACGTATTAAAAGACTAATTATACATTAATTTAATCAGTGTAGCATCGGTCATAAATTAAAAAAGAATAGTATAATTTTTTCTCTTTCACTTGGCCTTTGCATATGTTGCTGTTGGGCCTTTGGGTTACGAAACCGTTGTCCAAAAATAACAACCTTTTTTTTTTTTAATGTTTCCTAACTTTTACTCTAATCATAACTTTATAATGAACAATAAATTTAAATGTAAATAATAAACAATTTGCAACATATATATTTCATTCACTGTTAATAAAATTAGATCTTAATAATTTTTCACTTAATCACTATTATGAATAATATTATATTAATGACAAAATTAACATATATAGTTCATTACCAACTTTACAAAATTAATGACAATATTATATTCGTGAATAATTTTTTATCCGTAAAAAATACAATTTTTTTTATCTGAATTTTCTTCATTTGTGTTGAGAACTAGACATCTAGACAAAAATGGACTTACTTAAGTGAAAATACAGAAAATGACAAATTTTTTTATGCAATATTAGTTTAAATGAATTTTTTTTGCTTAAGTGAATTTTGTACATTTGAGGAGATAAAAGTTAGGTGTGAAGGTCAGAGAGGACTAAGGATGGATGGAGATAAGAATGGCGAATGGAATAGGAATGATAGTAGAGGAAGAGGAGGATGGAAAGTTAGATATGGAAGAAAGAGAAAGAAATAGGTATGAGATAAGGTAAGAGTAGGAAGAGTAAGAAAGGAATTGGGCATGGGGTGGAGGGGAAAGAGAGTTGGGAGAGGAAGAGAGAGGAAAAAATGTTGAATATGAAAGCCAAAGAGAGTTGAATATGAAATTTGAGGAAGAAGTGTTAGACATGGGAGAAAAATAAAAGATGTAGGGATGACAATGAGTAAGTACCCAGTGGGTACTCGCAAAATTTATCCACAATGAATAGGGTATTTACTCATTATATGGGTACGGGTATGGGTAAAAACTCACAAATTTTAATGGGTATGGGTATCTAAGTACCCACCCCACACACACACACACATATATATATATATATATATATATATATATATGCTTGAGCTTTGTTATATAACTATGCATTAAATTTTTATATTATTATATTACTTATGTAAAGTTATATAAAATTAATATAAAAATATATTTAATAATAAAATAAATCAAAAAAATTATTTTGGTTTATATTTTTAATAAAAATTTTATTTACTATTTTATATCATTTAATTAGGCTAATACAATTTAATTATTACATAAATAATATGAGATTGACTTTTTTTAAAAATATTATTTATATATGACACACATAAAATATTTTTCACACAAATATTTTTATTAATAAAATTATATTGATATTTAAATCATAAAGTGAATGATAAATAATAAATATTTTATAAATTTTACAATCACCTACTATTACCATAAACTTATTATTTATTGATAATATTTAAATTTTATTTTTTATATTTTAATTTAAAATAATATATTTCTATGCAACATATGTATTACAAGCACAACTATAATATATTAAATCTAAATAATATTATTTTTAATATTCATTTACGTTCAAAGAAGTTTTTGAAAAGATATAAAATATAAAAATTATTGTTAATTTTTATTTGTTAATTTTTCTTCAGATAAAAATATATAATTTTTTTATATAAATATATATTTCTTTATTATAAAATTTTATTGTGACCATTTATCTTTTATTCAAATTCTTTCTTTTAAAATTTATATACATTATAAATATTTAATTCATTAAAATAAAATTTCAAATATTTGTATATTTGACAAAATACTTTTGTATAGTATATGAGTTAAAAATACTAATATTAATATATATATATATATATATATTATTTTAATTAAATCTATTATTTTTCTTACAATTTTAAATTTAAAAGTTAAAAAAAATATTTTATATATCTACTCTTCTTTGTTAGTACTTAAACTTCTTTATCCTAACTCTATTTTCATTCTTAATTTCTGTCTCATTAAAATCTAACAACTATGAAATGTTATTAATTAGAGTTAGTTGTTAATGTCACACCAAGTGATCCCACACGAAAGGTCACCTATTATGCAGATTTATTTTGTTGTCACTCTGACGTTGCCGATCGATCAAATTTCACATAAGATAGAGTTATCGTCAACAAATAACTTGTGTATTTAATTTCGCTTATTGTTTCTAAAAATTTTAGTTTAGAAAATTATAATATTAAGATAAATTTGGCACTTGTGATTTTTAAATATTTATTTCTTATCTATGTTTATACTTTATTCGGCAACTACATATTGAATTTTTGTATTATTATGCTACTTATGTGAAGTTATATAAATATATTTTTTTTTATAAATATTTTTTTCTCAAACAAGTGCAGGTAATAGATACAAAATAAGTATGCGGATACTCAGAAAATACGAGTACCGAGTTAATGTTAATATTCACACGAGTATATGGTTGAATAAGAATATTTTTACAGATGCGTGTATGAAGAAAGAAGAGAATATGCAAAATTTACATAAATGAAATAAATTTATTTAAACAAAAAAAATTACCTAAATTAATTTTGCATTAAAAATTTATCTTTTTTATATTTTATTAATCTATTTTTGTTTAAACGAATATAAAACTGGATGTCATAACTAAAAGGAATCTAGATTCAATTTGTTTTAGTGTTTGACCATCTAGCTAGCAGTTTAATAATCTAATTGTGGGTTTTATATATTACTTTATAATTATGTTTTAAAACATAACATAAAAAATGTTGACTTGAATCTCGTCCACTTATATTAGTTAAATTCAGAATCAAACCCATATATTATTTTAATTAAGTTCCTATTCATCGACATAATTGCAATCGACGAAACATTACGTTGGTTAAACGTAAACCTCGCCGCCATGTATGCTTAAATTCAGATGCCATGTTACAATTTCAGGAATCAAATATCGTTGTTATTTTCATTTGTCTTATCAGGTTTGTCATCGTCAAAGCTGAATTAATTCGTTTCATCATGGAAGCATTCACATAAATAATGGTATTATAATTTTTTGCTGCTTGTTTGCTTGATTAGTGTCTACGGACCACACAAACTTCAATAAACTAGAAGAAGATGAAGTTGAGAAGGGTGCAGAAAAGGACAGGGGATGGTAATAGATTTGCGCAACCACTTAATTATCATATTGAAAGTGTTCTCAAACATTTGAATAAGGAAAGAAAGTTATTTAAAGCCAGCGAGGCAAGCACTACGTATTCATCACTGAATATGATGAGTATATTATATAGCTACGTCAGTCACATGGTAGATTTCAGTAGAGTTTAACGTCTACAGGAATCATTATTGTACTTTTTGTCTGTAGCTTAACACTTTCTTTGAAAATTAAGAAAGAGTTAAACTCTTAATTATTTTATAAAAAAAAGAAAAGAAAACAGGAGTAATGAATATTTATTTAATTGGAGTTAAAGACAGGGGCATGAAGATAAGATTTCTTAAAACTAGAAATGAATAAAACTAGAAATTGCATAAAGATCTCTGTCCTTGAAGAATTGCAATTGGTGGAGTGCTTGATTTCTTACCTCATAAACATGTTCATTGAAACCCCTTTGTCGTAATCCATGGAACATTCCCACATGAAACCCATATTTTCTCAACATATCAATTTCTTCCTCGCTACCACCCCCCAACACAGCTCCACATGCAGCCGCACATGCATGCAACCCTCCTTCGTTTTTCTCCACAACGCGCTTCATGCTTTCCACGTGGCGCAGCTCCTCGCCGTCCGATCGGGCTTCCATGTACTGCGCATTTATCACTCCTTCAGACCCCACCGCACGTGATATCTCAATCATCACCCGCAGAACCCGCTCCGAGTTCCCTTGGGCCGGGTCATCCGATCTTGCCAGCAGCTCAAACCCGAACGGAGCAATCCCGTCCCCGGTCAGGAGCTCAATGTTGGGGCCGTACGCACCATTAACCCTGGGCTTGGGCTCGGGCTCGGACCCGTCCGCGGGAAGAAGGTTTTCGCGGGTATGTGTGGCTGCCTGCAGGAGTAACAAGGCTGAGGCCGCGGCCATGGCCTGGTGGCGCTGACCTCCGACGAGTTCGCAAGCGGCGAGGCATAGAGCGGGCGCGGTGGTCGGAGGGGCGGCGAAAACGAGGTGGTGCATGGGCTCGAAAACCACGAGTGGTTCTTTGATGGGAATGGCTTGTTTGATGTGGGCTTCAATTTCGGCCTGCAAAGAAGCCCAGTAGGGATGTGGGTTGGTGATTCTGACGAGCTTGGTCTTGGGCTTAAGGGGCAAGTGAGAACGGTGTTGACATGAGACGCATGAAAAATGAAGGTTGAAGTTGGGTTTGAAGGGGACAGCTCCAACCATGGGGAAATAAAGTTGCAGCAGCAGTAGCAGTAGCAGTAGCAGTAGCAGTTAGCGTTTTGATATTATCGTTGAAATGAATGAATGAATGCATAGTTTTATAAGTGTGTGTGTCTCTCTGTGTGAGAGAAAGTGCCTGTCTCAATTAAACGGAGGAGCCACGCTACCTTTATTATATATTTTATTTTCAACGTGTTTATTGTTTTTGTATGAAATGTGAAACTGTGAACAATGTATGGATAAACACGACAATTATTATATTTTTATATTCCATTAAAATACAAAGCGGAAGCTTTTTTCCAAAAGAAAATTCATAAGAAAACTAAAGTTTGTTTAAATTTTAAAAAAATTATTTTGTGCGACACATAAAACAATTTAATGATGTATGGTGCATTTTCCCACCTCTACTGCTCAACTGTCTATTGACAAATTGCCTTGTTTGATTGCGACAACTGATGTGCTCGGTGTTGCCGACTGTAACCCTCAAAAACCCACGTTTGACATGTTTGAGTTCTAAAGAAAATGTTATTTTCACCTTCAAAGTTAGGATTGACCATTATTTGATCAAGAAAAAAGAACTCAAATATCTGGGAAATACTATTTTGACGGCTAAGGATTATCTTTAACTTTTCCTGCATATAATTTGAATAGCTTAACAATCATGCGTGTCACATTTTAAAGTCTTACTGAATGGGTGGGCTTATCAGAATATTATTCCTGTAATATATAGGCAGAGAGAGTTGTGGAATGCCTCGTCGATTAATGACTTTTTCTGGGTGGTGGACCTCTCTGTTCTTTACCAAACTTCTATTTGCTTGCATCTGCATAAAATCAACTCAATATATTAAAATTAAATATGTAATCTCCAAACTAAATTAAAACTATATTTTAACATACTTTTTAACAGTGCTTAACATTATCAATAATAGTTTTCTTGTATATTTTTCAAATTTTAATATTTTTTTTAACCTTAAAAATCCACTTAATGTACAAAACGACTCACTAATAATTAATTAATCACAAATCACAGTGTACTCGGGTGAAGTCATATAGTTTAAATTTTATTTGTTCGTATAAGCAATAAATGATAATAAGGCCTGCCATAGTTTCTGGGCTATCCATTCTGGACCAAAAATCTGAGCCCATTTTCAAGGTCTGACTATCTTTAATAGATAAAAAAAAATTATAACACATTTTTATGTTATGAAAATGTCAACATCCCTTCTAAAATAAGAGAATTTTTTTTTTTTTTTATCAACAAACAAATAAATGAATCTACCAACAAGAAATTAGTTTAGTTTAACCTGTATTGGGATTAACTATGTCTTATGTTATTTAATATTTTTAAATTCTAATTTTAATAAATGACTGTAACATTTTTTTTTAACTTTTTAATTTAGTGTGTGCAAAATCGCCTGAAAAATAGGAATGAATTTGTTTTTTTATTAAAAAATATGGTAAGTAAGTAAAGTCGGTTTGGTTTATTTGAGAAGAGAGAGGGAGGGAGAAGAATTAGAATAAACTGATATAATCGTCAAATTAGGTTCCTCTGGATCGAATTGAGGGTCTTTGAGTAAGCGCACCTTTTTATTACGTTGATTTCTGATGGATAAAGATAAAGGTGTCAAAGCATTGGCGAGTTCTTTGACAAACCTCGATTTGAATCCCCGATCCAACACCAAGTCCAAGTCCTCCATTACAATCGTTCACCCTCAATTTTCCGGTAATTTTATAACCCCCTCTTTTTTAATGATGCTGAGCTTCTATTTTTCCTTTTCCTAAGGTGGGGTGTTATGTTTTTGTTCGGGTTTTTGGTAAAGCTTTAAACTTTGCACTTGCTCTGTTTTGGAATTTGAAAGAGTTGACAAGACAAAACAACTCTATAATGCAGTGGTTCTTTGTTTTTGTGATGATTTTAAATAGAAGACTTTGAAAAAAGAAAAACACTAATTTGGATCTTCTATTGTGGTTGATTTTTGTTTTGATCATGTTGCCTGGGTTTGTGAGAAGTGCACATTATTTAGTTAGGTTTTGACCTTAGACTCTGTTTGTATCACCTGTTTAGGCTAAAATTCAAGGATGTTTAATTTGAGTTGTGCACCTGAATAGAATGATTGAAATTTGTTTTCTTTGAAGGAGCCACTAGGTGTGTGTTGGTTGTGAGAGGTTTTGGGTAGTTTAAATGAGGTCTAAGGTTAAAACCGTAGTGGCATCATGCGCCAATTCTATTTGTTAAGGATATGCCACAAAGGGCATTAACAAATTCTTGAGAAATTTCTGTACAGGATTACTACCTAAAAAGACAAAGCCTCCACGTTTAGTTAGCCTCTGCATTGGAGTTATTGGAAAACATTTGGAAGATATTATTACAGATTTGAGTGAGATTGCTATCAACTTGCCAGCTGATATAAAGGTAGTGATTCTATTTCTTCAAATCTTTTAATAGGTTATTTGTCTTAATGCTCATACTTGTCTATCAGTGAAATTTTGGAGTTATAGTGTGTTCAATGCAAATGGCTGGGAAATAAATGTTTCTCTGGGTCCTGGATAGTCCCTTTTTTTGCTAAAGAAATTATCCTTTGTTGAGGCACTGGCTTGTTTAACAAGAATATTTTTAAGTGCTTGAAACTTATTTTCTGCTTACTGTCCTAAACACTTCTTGTATATCCCTTGTTAAAAACCTTTCAATATGTTGTGTCTCAAAAAAAATAAAACTTCGGGTGAAAAACAAAAGAATCCTCCATTGTATATGTTCTTGCAGTTAAAGAAGTTGCACTTAATAACAGATAGCAGTGGTAGCTATTGCTAGAAGAAGAAAGTTGCTGAATGATGATGTCCTCATCGCATTAGCTGATGCTTCCTGGGAAATCCTTGACGTCTCTGGCTCAGATGTCTCTGATTTGGGCTTGATAAAAGCAGCTGAAGTATGTAGATTAATCAAAGCTCTGGATATAAGGTATAGAATTATAACTGTTTTTTCACAATTTTAGTCTTTTAATGTATATACAAATTGAATCAGATATTTCATGCAGTATGCTCTAGCTTGTAGCTTTAAGCTTCTTTGATGCTAGAAGAACATGTTACATAAACCATCTGGCTGGCATATTTCAAGGAAATATTTTGTCGTTTGAGCTGTATCACAAGTTTATTGAAAGCGGGTGATCAATACTGATCAATTTTCTGCTTCAGTCTTCATTGTAAATATAATTGTCTTTCATGGTTTTACTCTACTGTATGTGATGATTATCATTTTCCTTCACTTAGATTCTGGTCCATCAGCATCTTGCCTTGAGCTTATCATATTGTGTGATTCATGTGTACCATGCTAACAAACATATCTGTAGTTTTGTAGTGTTTATGTATATAGATATATATTACTTCTCTGTCTTTCAGAATCATTTGATATATTGAGACTATTTGCAGCCGGTGCACCAAAATTACTGCTGACGGTATATCAGAGCTTGTAAAGCACTGCCATTTATTGGAGACATTGAGATGCGGGTAAGTATCTTGCATTGTGCCCTTCAAGTTATATGTCTTTGTTAATACAATTTGTCCATTGTGTTACTTTTAACAGTATTTCCTTTGTCATTTAATGCATAAAATCTGAAAACTTGAAATTCTGCTTCAACGGGCCTTTTATATGCCATGTTCACAGTACTTCTAGGCACTTTCCTTGTTCGGATATGTAAATTGAGTTCACTGATAAAGATGATCAAAAGGTATTTACTTACTCATTTATTTATAATGCCAAAATTGGCTCTTTTTTTTGGTTTCTTTTCAAAATGGAAACATTATGGGAAGTTTTAGTTATTGGGAAAGTTATTATATTTTTGTTTCTTTTTTTTTTAAAAAAAAGTTAACAAGGTGAATAGTTATGCACTTATTTAAAGTTTAAAAATCTAAGGATTTTTTTCTTTTCTTTTTCATTTTCCTATTTTTTTACATAATGATTTTGGTTACTGGCTAGAAGATTGTGTTATGACAAGGATTACATCTTTACAAAACTCATAACAGGCAATGAACCATTGTTAATATTGCAGAGGGTGTCCAAGGAGTGACAGCACTGCCCGCAGATGCCTGAGTATATTTAAACCGAGGTTAGATTATGTGGAGGAGGATTCTTGGGAGGAACTTGATACGAAAGAAATTGCTAGTGGTGCACAATTACTCAGGTGGCTAGTATGGGTATGAAATTAAAAACTTCTGTCTGGATCATGGTAATTTGTTATTGAATGCAGATTTTGGTCATTTGTCAAATGCATAAATTTATGTTTTTCTTGCATTGGTTACATGGGTTGTAACATTAGTTGGCAGGGAGAGACACCATTCATTGCACTCCCTCCTGCCCAAAAGGGTGTGGAATGAGTAGTAGGAAATGACTAATATTTTTTCTTGATCAAGATTTCTTCAAGAAGTGATTTGCGTTGATTTAATCCTATATCACTTTTCTTTTGTTTGTTTTTATACAGCCAAACATTGACAATAACACTTTAGAGGAGTTTTCCACTGAGTGCCCACGTATTGTAGTAAATCCTAAGTCATCACCCTTTGGGTTTATAGGAACTCAGGTTCCTTGGGAAGCATCACAAAATATCACGTTGGATGATGAAGTTGTCAAGGATATTGATCCCAGAACATGGACACTGCATGGTTTTGTTATGAAGACGACCCTCTCTCAATCTCCAAGTTCCACTGAATTGTCCGTTGCTGAAAAATTCAGACTTGCATTTGCAGAAAGGGACAACCGATTAGCTCCAAAGCGAGCTAAGAATGCTCGGCAACATCAGCGTCGTGCAGTGCGGGAATTGATGTTGATGAGCACAAGAGCCAAGGCAATGGTCTTAGCCTCCCAAGTAAGCAAGTCTCTTCATAGCCGAAGCTCATAGAAGAATTCTGAAATCACATGTATTTTTTCAGCCCCAAAATGTATAATTAACTTCTTTTGTATATATTGAGAAGTTGTTGGTCGGTCAGATTTTGAATCTAAAATGCCTCTTTTAACAAGTTGGAAAGATCAGAGCTTTGAATTTGTGCCTTGTTTGAGGTTTTGATGAAAGTGAAAAGTTATCAATTGTTCAATAAAGCTTATTGTCAATGTTATGGGAAAACAGCATAATTGGCTGTTGCTTCATTTATTGAGGAAATTAATTTTGCTTTGGTATTGCCACGTAAATCATACATTTGCCAATATAAACAAAATAATTGCAGCTAATTCACATATTATTTACGTGATAAGTGATTTTAATAATATTTTTAGATGTGTAATCATTGATTATATATGTAAATATTATCAAAGCAATAATATAATATTAAATTATAACTGTATTTACGAATCCATACTCAAGGAAGGTTATTTTGAGAACATGGTGCTTTTGCAGTTGGGCCACAGCCATAATTTTAATGCAAAATCAACTTTGCTAAAACTTAACCAAACTTGTTACCATAAATTTTAAATCACGTTTTTTAAACATTAATTTAAAATATATTTTAGATTTTATAATTTATTTTCTATTATTTTAAAATGTAGTTCCTAATCCCTATACTTAATTAGTTTAAGTTCTTATTGTGACTAACATCAACTTCCTCCACATATACCTATTTGATATTTGTGTCAACCCTAACATTCATCAATGCATTTGTGTTTCATTATAAAACATTCACTCTCGGTTACAACAGTGGAAGAAGTCATTTGACGCATTCAATATAGCCCCATCTTATATTATTATTATTATTATTTGCATTTGCATTTGCATGTGTTAGATTTAAAAAAAAATAGTCGTAAAACAATTCATTTCATTTAGATTAATTAAAAGAGTTTTTTATATAAGAAATTTTTTTAATCAAAAGTTATAAAATTTTCTTTATAATTAAAAAAAGTCATTTTTAATCATTTTTTTAAGATATAATTTTTTTTAGTAAAATAATTATTTTAGCACATTTATTTTTGCAAGCGTACGTCTACAGATATTTTTTGTTAAAAAGAAATTGAAAATTTTTATGTTAAAGAATAATATTATTTTGTTGGGGATTTAAGTGTTTTTCACTTGAGCATACGTTGAACTGCCACACTTGAGTAGAATAGAGAGACAAATGTGGAAGAGAAGCTTGGTCGGCGCCGTTGGTGCACTCCGGCGGCCATATTCGTCGGGAGGTCGTGGCGCAACCAACATCTCCCCCGCCGTGAATTCAATGATTCTCCGTTCCCTCAAGGATCACTACATGGAAATCTCCAAAATGAACATGCCCCCTGTACTCTCTCTCTCTCTCTCTCTCTCTCTGTTACTGTTTCTGTGTATTAGGGTTTTGGGTTTAGATGATACTGATTGAGGCGACATTAACATTTGCGCTTCGCAGAAAGTGAGTCCTCCGTCGCAATTCACGATCGTGAAGGGGGCGCTGGATTCGCACGGTCCTGTTCTGAAGCGAAGCTACGGCGACGAAGAGGTGAGCATCTACGTCATGCGCTTGTCCGCTCCCGAAGACGAAGAGGGAGCCATCGACCAGCTCTTCATTCACGTCGACGTCTCCAAACCTTCGCAGAACGAATCGTTGATTTTCCTCTGCGGTTTGTACGAGGATGCTTTGGGCATTCACTCTGTTTCCATGCGGCCTAAGCTTAAAGACTCTGGTTACATCCTCATCCCCTCCCAATACACCGGCCCTGTTTTTGGGTATCTCTCTCGCTCTCTCTGTTTGTAGTGATTAATAAATTTACTACTTGTTCATTATATTCGATGAATTCTCTGTCATTTACATTAAAACAATAGTTGTTAAATATTTGAACACAACTATGCTCTTGGTTTTGAACTTTTTGTTTGTAGAGTTATAAGGGGTATTTATTTAGGGTTTATGTATTTTTTTGTAGTTTTGAAGCTTGGGAATTAACATTGCAGTATGCAAAAGTATTGGGTGGAAAGGAATTTGGGATTAGATGAATGGAGTTGAAGTAGAATAGTTCTCTGTTGTGAGTGGGGCTTAGGCTTGTGTTGATTCTAGTAATCTCCTGTTTTAATTGTAACAAGTAGAATCTTTCTACAATGTGAGTTCCTTCATTTCAGTTTGGAACTCAATGAGTGTTTAATTGCTACCAAATTTTTAAAGCAATTCATTTTTATGCTTTTTACTGATGAGAAAAGGATAACCTGGATTAAGTGAAAGTTTTGAAGCCGTTGTTTTTATAAATGGCTTTTCTAATGTGTATATAGCAAGTTTTTATGAAAGTAACACAATCAAATGTATTATAATTTCTAATAAAATAATACCATTTATTGATATTTTATTATGTGTCCTAGGACACATTAGAAAAACCATTCTATAAAATATGCTGAATGAAGCATGCACTTAACTAAGGAGAAACTGTGGAATTGTGTTTTGCATTTTGGGGGTAAAAAGTTATTATGTTGTCGAAAGATATGAATGCTCATTCTGTCTTAAAATGCCCATTTTGTGTTTTACCAAACCTGCTAAATTTCGTTTCTAGATTCTAATGTTTGTAAGTGGGGAAACTGGAGTTTCTGACTGATTTTTGTAAATTGACAGAGAACTAGATGAAAAGATGAGAGATGCATTTCACAATTACATTGAGGAGCGAGGAGTAAATGAGAGCCTCTTTAAATTTCTTCAAGCATGGCTATATGTAAAGGAACATCGAAATCTGATGCGTTGGTTCAAAACGATGGGCCTGTTCATTGACGGAAAGAAGCCAGCTACAGGTGCTTAATTCCCCTCTCTAAGAGGTCATGTATTTGCAAATGGACTTGTACTGTGTTCAAGTTTTTATCAATTTAAAAGTGCCTACAGTTTCGTAGTTTTAGATTATTTATTTTAAAGGATCAACACACACGAGTAGATAACTTTAATTTAGACGAGTGCTAAATTTTATCAATTTAACTATTTTTGACGTGATATTATGATGTCTTTTCTTTAGAAGTATCAAAATGCATTAGTTGATATTATCTATATTTTAAACTATATTATATGTAAAATCAACTAGTTATCAAATTATACACCAAATTAAAAATAAGAACCTTATTTACCAGCTAACTATAATCAATATATTCAAAGTCGGCAACAGTATATCTGCATTTCATGCTATTCAGGCACTAGTTAGAAGAGATTGTGAGATTGTTATTCAGCATGTTCTTCGTGCGGGTAACTAATGTGTCATTGTGTTACTTTTCTGGCTAAATAGGGATCTAATGCTTATTTATCGTTATCAGTTTCATTTGGCTTCCTACTACACATCGGACTGCGTTTGCAACTTGTCAGTCATTTAACAATGCACCTTTTTTTTCCCCTTGCTATTTTACGAGTTTCACACGCTTGGTAGGTTATTTTTAATATTTAACCAATTCATGATGAAGCTATTTCTTTTCTCCACATGAATTTGAATAATTTCTATAAACTCAGTATTTTTGCTTTAAGTTTTTGAAAAAAAAAATCTAAACCAAAAGAAAATAGTTGAGAATGTCTATTTTATTTTGTTACAAAATTCATTTTACACCAATTTTTTTTTTTATATAAAACGTCAATCATATTTATACTTGCGTAGTACTTTCACCTTTCTTGCAAGTCATTTGAACGCTGTGAGCATCTTGCTTTAGTTTAATATTTTGATTATCTAAAGATTTACACACCCGAATGCTTGCTATTTTTCATCTAAGGAGAAAAGATTTTGAAAACACCAATGCCCAACATGTTGATGGTGAAGAGGATCTAGAACTAGAAACAATTGAATCATCACATTATTCAGTACAACGAATAACAAAACAAAACTGTGAATCATCACATTATGAATTCTTCAACCATTCTTCAATGTTTGCGAAAAAAATATAAAAACTATTAAGCAATTGAGGTTTTGAAAATGGTTGTGGAGTCAAGTATAAATCAAGCAAATGCTTTGTATCTATTAGAAACCAAGTTTTAATTGAACCAAGAAGCTTGAAGTGGCCATTGAAACTCCCCCATGCTACTGCTTTGTGGTGGCAAGACGTCCAAGTTTGATTCAGCTTCAATTGTCGACAAGACATTGAAGTTTGACTCAATTTCTGTCCGCGGGATTTGAAGTTTGTGATAAGCAATCTGAGTTTGGATTTTGGCAAGAGCAATTTCTGTACTGTGGATTTGTTGAGACAATTTAGAGATAATTCCAGCACACCCATAAACAGGGTCTTGAATCCTACATTGTGCTTCAAAATACAAACTATTTGCTGCTTGTTCTCGTAAATATGGTGGAATTTGCTGCAACATTAAAATTTGCAAAGAGATTTTGCTTGTCATTTTTCAACTTCGATATTAGCCAGTTCTTTCCATAGTATATATACTAACACACAAAATAATACTAATTATTATTATCTATTTAATTTAAAAGCACCTGAAGCATTTTTCCAACATTGCTGCCACCATATATTCTGTGAACACAAGCAAATCTTTGAGGATCATTGGCAGGAAAATATGGAGAGAAAATGCAATCTGAAGGACACCTTCTTCTCTGACTCTTGCAAGCTGCACACCTACCAGAAATCATGATATCAAACCCTTTTAAACAAGAGAAAACAAATCCAAAGAAGATATTTGGCACCCAAAAGAGATTTCTTCTTTGCTATATTTTTTCTCTTGTTGAGTAGGTGGAGATCTTCCATAAATTTTGATGTCCTATTTGCCAAGAGAAGAGTATTTGTATTGTAGATACTCATGCTAATTTCTGATAGAGAAAATCTTAACGGCTACTTTTTTCAATTTTGCAATGCAAAGAAGGGAAGTTTTGTAAATGGAGAAGCTGAAAAGAGAGAGGGCCATGAATCAAGGCAATAACACATCAAAATAAAGGGAGATGAGTAATCTGTAATAGAAATAGAAGGCAAGTAAATAAATACTTCTAATTTTCTTTATTGGGCAATATAGGATAATGTCAAATAAAAATATAAATCTGTACTTCTAAGTCAACCATATAAAGTAGAAGTCCCTCTGCTTTTGTCCCTAAAGTCTTAAATAAGAATCGCAATTAAGTGTATTATATTTCAAACTTTTAATTTTCGATTGTGTTTGAAAACCTACATATGCTCATTTTTTATTTGTATTCTTTTAACTCTCAACTGAAGTATACAATCAAATGCACTTGCAAATACATTATTTGAATTTCAGTCTTTTTTTTATTATCACGTGGGAGAAAGTTTATAATCATGTGTATTTAACTAAATATGTATGGAAGGTAAATAATATGCTTCCAAGGCATTTAATATATATCTACATTATTCAACATTTGATTTAAAATCTTCAAAGAATAAATTTTCATCGTACAACTCTATTATTATTATTACAATTTTTCTAACATTTATAATTCTGCACATCATAAAAAGTTATATATGACAAGTTTTTCTTAAAAATTATAAAATTCAAGGCATAATTTTACTATTTTTTTTATAAAAAAGTTACCATACATGATTTTGTATAAATTTAAAAAATCATTGTTGTTATTATTATTATTATACAATTAGTCCATGCACCGATTCAAATTACGCTGAAGCATTTAAAACACTGCAATTTTTTTTTGTCAAGTAAACATGCAATTAGATGTTCCTGTATCAAAAGTTAAATAATTTAAGATAAATGTTTCTTGCATCTTAATTTTCACATATAATTATATATTTTTCATTTTTATTAACATTAGTCATCACATCTATATTACTTTCTCTTTCTTTTCTTTATAATCGTATTAGATGGTCTTGAGCGATGTCTAAAAGATCAGCTCCTAGACTTGAAATTTTAGTATTAGATTTTGATTTTGAAGTAAATTGTGACGATATTGAAGCTTCATGTATACGTGTGATATGACTAAATAGCTAGTTGATTTGTTTTTATTGTTCCCATTATACCCATCTGTTTTGACCCAGGCAAGATTAGTCAGCATTACAATTGCAAATATTTGTCATTTCTTTTTCAAATTTTAACTATTTTTCTATTACAGAAGTTTGACTCTGTATAATATATTTTTAATTAGATAAAATTTTCTCTTATCGAAATTTGGGTGCGAGCATATAACAAAATATTTAATAACAATGTCCAATACAACCCCCCCACTGAACTCTCTTTACTTTTAAATTTATTGATTTTTAATAATATATATAAGAATAACAAATAATAAGAAATTGAAACATCACCCTTCTGAAACAAACTAACTTCTAAAAGTCACTTAAAATATTATTTTGTTAAACTGTCTTTATACATAAATCATCTATCAAATTTGAGCTTTTTTTTAACCAAAATATTTTATTTAACGGATTTAGATTTTTGTATTTGTTGTTAAAACATATCTTACATTTTTTTGTTTAGTAAAAAGACTCACGAAATTTTTATCTAATAATAGATTAGTTTGGTACAACTTTGTCATCATTCGAACTTGGACAGTTTCTTACCAACCGTATTATAATATATGAATATATACGATAAAATGAGAATCATGATATTTTCACATTTCATATGATGATGGTGTGAAATAGAAATAGGAAAAAAAGAAAAAAAAAAACATATGACAAACAAAAAAGAGAGATAAATAAAAAAATTAAATATATAAAAAAAGAGTATGTGAGAATATTATTATTGATAAAATAAATGGTGGGAAAATTTTAATTAATTGAAAAATGGTTCTAGAAAGCAAAACTTAAGAGATGTGTGAACACATGAAAAAAAAATAACCAATCAATCCTACATGTTTTGATACTAATAAACCATTTGACCAATGTGAACTTTCTCTGTGGCCCTAAATTGATAAACAAATTAAGAAACTCAGTTTTTTCATAGGCTTTGAGCCGCCCAACCAACATTGACCACCCCTTAGTTATATGCCCACAGCTATATATATATATATATATATATATATATTATAACATTCGTTTGAGAGCTATATATATATATATAATTGCATTGCATATCTCATTAATTGTTCTCAATGGCTTTGTATCTATCAAACATCTGTGGATGCTTCTCTGAGTCCTCATCAGAAACCAAAAGATACATATGCGATGGTAATGTTTGTGTTCTGAGAAAGCCGAAGGAAAATCTTGGGAAAAAAGCATCCACCAGCAAGAAGCCAAAGCAAAGCCTTCGAATTTCATTTGCCCGTTTTTCTTCGAAGTGGTCTCATAATACATAGTGATCTACTCTTGTGAATGGAGAGGCTCATGATTCCATCAACAGGTTTCTGGGTGTTGCATATTGGTTAATTCGTGACCCTGCTTTGTTCCATTTATATATAATTGTATTAGCATGTGTATAGTGTTGTGATTGTTAAAGATGGAAATTTAATTATTCTAGGAGAGCCTGAGGCTACAACAGTGGTAGCTTATTCCATTCCCATACATAAACTCTAAACAGGTTAATCTAGTATTCAAATGTCGTAACTTGACCAAGGTAAGAAAATGTCTATACACATGGTCAATAACTGCTAAAACATTTGTTACAGACTTTCTAATCTAAATTGATATATATAGTGAATGCTGAACTCATGATTTGATATCACTTGAACTATCAGTTGTGATGATTATTTATGTTTACACATAATAATCTATTCTCTTATTTTGCAACCTATTTTTTATTTAATGGACTTAATATTTACATGATTTTTAAAATATGAATGAGTGAGTTATTATTCATACAGATGACGTATTTACATAATTTTCTTTACTATTTATGCTGCGTTTCTTACCTTTTGGATTGATCAGAAGAGCCAAGTGCCTATGGCCCAAAAGAAAAAGATCGTATAGTCAAGCAAAGCTATAAATGTTGACACGCACATCTTGAATGTTTTTGCTTCTGATGGTTATCATCCCTCGTGAAAAAAGGGGGCCATGGTTTAGAGTTTTATGTTACGTAAATGCTTCCTTTGTTTATGAGGGAAACATCTGAGGAATAGAATATATTCACTTGATAATTTTGAGACGATGTTGCAAGCATTTGAATAATGCAAAACTGGAGAGAAGCATATTTTGAAACTAGCAAGAATTAGCTTGCTTAAATGCCCCCCAATTTTAATAATCATATAGTGTAAGGTAATCATGAAATATCATAAAGTGATGAATGAAAGAACAAATGCTACTAGGTAATTAAACTTTGTAAATATTTTTCCAAAAATATTTTCTTTGATTAGTGAAAGAATAATCTTTCAATTAGTATCATAGATATGGCGTTAAAGTGATGGCACATCTCCATAATGTTTTTAACTAAACACTGAGATCTAAAGATCAGACAAAGAGATCAAGTTTTTAAGTGATTCATTCCTTCTACTCAGACCAAGTCATTTTGGTAACCATTTTAGAATTTTGTAACATGAAATTATGAGTTTTTGGAAATACATATTCTTTAGGAGCAACCAATAAACGTTTCTAGATCCAAAAGCAAAGCTGAATGAAAAATTGTTAGCCTAGTCCAAGTCAATTTGATACATTTTAGTTGCAAGGCCTTGAAAATTTGGAAGTAAGAATATCATGTAATTTCAGCTGATTCAATGTCCCTATAAACTGTCTCATCATTGCTCAACATAAAGCCATTTTGGCGAAGCTATTATTCAAGTAGTTCCAAAAATTTTACCCTAAAGCCATTTACGGCATTAATGCCCCCCCAAAAAAGAGAAGAGTATGAAAGCAGGGCAATGCCGAAAGGTACATTTTAGGGATGTGACTAGGGTTTGGGAAGTTCATGTAAAGCTATACTTATTTATTTTATATATTAACTTTATCGAATTGAAAAAAATAGACATCTAAGTCACTTAAAAAGTTATTTAGACATAACAGATCATATTTTATTATTATTATTATTATTATTATTATTATTTGATATTGCATTATTGTTCGTTTATTAACTAATTTAAAAGTAAACTTGTATGCCTTTATAAAGAAAAACTTATTATAAATTAAATTTTTAAAGAAAATAATTTAATGATATCTTTGATATAAAATTGCTAATTTATGTAGATAATGAAAATCATGAAAGAAATTATGAGTAATTAGACTACAATCATGGTATACAAAGCCATCATATTTCTTGGGTTATATGTAATATGGGACTACATCTTAAATTATTATGTATTTTATTTACTGTGAAACCTAAAATTGGTGAAAAGAATTTTATATATATATATATATATATATATATATATATATCATAATAGAGGGTAACTAAGTCAATTAATTCATGGATTATTAAAAAAAATTAAATATTTGATCAAACTTGTATCTTATATTAAATAAATGAGTTTAAGTTTGAAATTATTCTTAATTATTTATATAAACTAAAGTCAAATTTTCTAAAATTAAGATATTTGGCTGATACATTAAAGAATGGTAATTTTATCAATTAGGCTACTCGCAAAATTAAGATTTTACTTCAAGAACCGTTTTTAAAATAAGTAAGTATCAACCTTTGAGGAAATTTTATTATCTCCATCATAAAAAAATTAAACTTCTAGTTTAAAATAATTTTTAATTCAAAACAATTATATTGCTATTTTTTCTAATATAAAATTTGTGATAAATATTAAATTAATAAAATTATAAACCGTCTAATGATAAATCTATTAAAATAATTAAATAAATTAAACTCAAATTCATATTTTTAAATAAGTACTCAAACGTTAAATTTAGCTCATCACAAATAAATAAGCCAAAAACAATGTTTTAGTGTACGTTTAGTATTATTAATTATAATTTTTTTCGTTAAATTGACATATACCAATATCTTAATGTGAATAAAAACACTCATTTAACGTATATTTAGTTTTGCATTACATTAACGCCACCAAAAGTAGCTTTTGCATAAAAGATATGCTGATATGCTCAGAATATAACACTGTTCCAAACACTCAATCACAAGTCACTTTTTTCTTTTTCTTTTTATTTTTGTCAACACAAACCACTTTATATAATTTTGTGTGAACTCAGAACGGACAAACACATTAAGACAAGCTCCAAGGTGTGTACGGTATTTATCCAAAAATGTTGAAGCAGCCCAACCGGGTAAAACAAGGAAAAGCAATTTTGTGGTTTTGCATTAGTGACAAATAAATCTCATGTACGGAACAATAGCAGCATTAAGAACTATAAGAAATGATGCCCTTCCATCAAATTCAGATAAACAAGTAATCATCCAATAAAATCAATATCTGAGCAACTGAATTTCAACCATTTGTGAGGAATGTACAAGGCATCATAACATGACTTTTGGCTTGCTAATTGAAAAATCTAAGCAATGATTGATCATAATCGACTTGTAAATATTTTACATGGTTTCAACTCCAGGATGGAACACGGACATGCTGCAGTAACAAAGCAATTCTCATCTGGAAAAGATGGAAAGTCGTGAAGTTATTTTATGCCAAATCCACCCAAATCTTCTGAACATGACCAAACTCATCTGGATTTACCTTGTGCCAAATCCTACTTAAGAAAACCATAAGTTCCACAGTATAAGCATCCGAGGGTTAACAATCTTCCCAAGCACATGCTAGTCATTTCATCTCTTCCAAAAGTAGCAAAATGGTAGCCTTTTCCTCGTTATCTAAAAAGGCTTTTCGATCAAAATTGACATCCGACAACAGGAGCCAAAATTCCATAATTAGCCATTTCTTGTGGAAATATCCACACACCAGAATCACAATTCCATGTCATAGCTGCAATGCCAGGTCTGGTTGCTGAGAGTCAACCAGCACCCCAGAAGATTGTTTTGCAGGCGACCCAGGAGACTGGAAACCGATATTCAAGTCGGGAGGAAGTGTTTCCTGTTTCTGTCTTGGTTGACTCTGAGGACGGATACCACGCCAAGGCAGCATTTGAAATCTTGATAAGTCAGAAGCTGCCACTTGTGAGAAAACCATAGGTCGGTTTGGAAATTGTGAAACGCCAACTGGGTGAATAGGTTGGGGTACAAGAGCCTGAAATGGAAAATTGTTCTTCTCAGACTGGAAAGGCATTCCACCAGAAGAAAACTCTCCCCTAACTCGTGAAATATGTTGATGGAACTCTCGCGCTGGGTTGTACAAGGAATCTGCAGAAATCTGGTTCTTGGGTGAACTAGAATTATCAGGTCCTTGTTTAAAACCTGCTGCTCCTACCGACATCCACGCACGGGCAGCTGCTGCGGAAGCATTGCTTGAGTCTTCTCTCCGTCCTGATGGTGTCACTGGTGGTGTGTCAGCAGGGGAATGATTGGATGAACTGGTAGTCTGTTGCTTTTGTGCCTTTTCGGCTAACATCCTCATCAACTGAACTGGGTCATTAAGATTCTGCTCTTGCCCATGGGCAACAAAGGGAGCTGCTCTGCCTGTCTGATTTGATGTATTTTCAGATGATGGACCAGTCATCCGTCTATTTAAACTAGCATTCCTTACTTTCCCATTAGGCAACTCTCCACTAACAACTCCATTAGCATCTGGCTGCTTGAAAGGGATAGATGGTAAAATATTCATGTTATTGGGTGCCATCTCTCTGGGCTTAGACACTGCTGCCGGAGTATTGCTTGTAAGCTTTGCAACTAGACTGGCATTATTCTGATCACCCGAGGGTGGAGAGTTCAACTCCACCTGCTTCAAACCCTTATTCTCAGATTTACTGAGGTTCCTGGTTTGGGCATTGGATTGCTGATAAAAGAGATTGATATGAGCATTGGGTCTTGGTCCAGCAGAACCAAAAAAAGATGACCTTCCTTCTGACGTAATCCCACTACAAGGAGAAACTGAAGGCTGTTTTCCCTCAAAAATTGGTCCATTAACAGGTTCCATGGTGGATTCCATATTCTTTAAATTTTTGTCAACCTTTATTGATTCAGTAGTAGGCTGCAACTTAGTCACCATATTAGGTTGTTGTTTCTGGACACGATTATCAAGCATCAATACAGGGGTTGGAAGCGGTTCATATTCTCCAACCCAACCACGACCAAATTTACAGCCAGGTGGCAGTGCTTGCTGAATCCTCCGGGAAGCAATTTTCCAAGCAGTAGGTCCTAGAGTTGCAGCAAAACGAGCCAAACTCCTAGCATAGGAATACTCAGCTTGTAGTCCAACCTGTGCCAAAACATACAACAATAATGCTTTAAGAGATAAGAAAGCTAAGCTATTAAACGATTAGAATTCACTTCTTCTGATACATACAGTGACTAGTTGCTTAATTTCACTCTCAAATGTTGAAAATATGGAATCAGATCTAGTAATTGGTAGATTAGACATATTATAAGTTGCACGACGTTCAATGTCTTGCACAGATGATTTCCTTCCCAGCTTGGAGAGCATACCCTTCCCTGAAACAATAAAGTAACATTCAAAAGAGAATAGCTAGATGATGGCAGTGATATCCTACTTTGAGAGTAAGCAAAATTGAACAATGAAGGCACAAAACAAGAGGAGAGCTTGATCTCTTTGGTCATACCAGATAAATAGTCTTCTGCTTTCTCTTGATTTGCATCCATCAAGAAAGCATTCCCCTCCGTAAGGCCATCAATGTTGCCAGGCCTTTCACAGATGACACCTTGCATTGGATGGGAGGTTGGCAGTACATCTCCAATAGTAGCAAGAGTTGCACCCGAGGAGAAATCAGAGCCAACAGGTTCCTGTGAAGTGTGACCCAGTGGCTTCTTTGCTAGCTTCTTAACCAAGGGATTAGATCTTGTTTTTTGTTCAGACTTCAGCTCACTCTGAGAACGTTCAAAATCAATCCTCAACTTCTCAAACTTTTTCCTTGCCAGTTCTTGTATTGATCTTGCCTGTAACAAATTATAGGGATCATAAAGTAAGCACAACAAAATGTTAGTTGCCATATTTTTCAAGGGAAACAAGGGAAAGCATACAGCTTAATACCTGTTTGTGGTATATAGTCTCCGCTGCATTGTATTGCATTGCATTTGAGCAAATCAAAAATACATCACTCTGCATATAACAATTGCATTCAAGATTCAATGTAATACAGTAAAACCATTTATTTGTCTATCAAAATATCACTCAATCTAAAAGAGAATATACTATGTGTAGTGTAAAATTGGTTTGGACAAAAAAAAAGGGCCAGCCCAGGGTACAAGGCTCCCTCCTAATGGGATCTAGGGAGGTAAATGTATGCAGCCTTGTCCCAGCAAGTAAAGAGGCAGTTTCCAAGATTTGAATCTTATTGTTGCACCAAGGCTCACCCCCATTAGTTCCAATGATAGAGAAAACAAAACTCAGTATTCTTATGTAATAAAGGGATCCTTGGTAAAGATACAAGCTCATTTCTTGCATTTGTTGAACATCCATAAGTTACAAATATCATTTTCTTCTCCCACATCCTGTTTTCATCCAAGAGGGTCCGCCTGAGAGTTGTAAACAACAGATACCTAGTGCCATGATATATTCCCTCACTGCCTATTAACATCAATTAAATTATAGTCCTCCATAGCCTCATCATGCATAAATTATTTTTTCAGGGTAAACTTTTAAATTCATATTTTTTTTTACATCTAATTGAAAGAGTGAAGATTTGAGGTCACACCATAGATTATATGGTATATCATACAGGAATTGCCTTTCCTTTCCAAGAAAATCAAGATTTGGCTTCAAAGATAAGTCTAGCACATCTTTTCACAAATAGTACCTGAATAAAATTCACAAATAGTAGGATGCCAGAAACAACATAGGACTTAAAGACTTCAGATCACTTAAACCTAAAATCCATGGTCATTAATAACAAAGATAATAAATAGATAAATTTAGCGTTATTATGTGACATTAGACATCATTTTTAGTATGCAAGTGTCTGGGGTGAACATTAGTTAATTTAAGAAGATCACACGATGAGGATAAAATTTTAGGGCTCTATGTCCCCAGGAGCTAAACAGCAATATTACCACCAAGTTAAGAAGACTATCAATCATCGATGTCAAAATAGACAAGTTACAATCAGACAGAAAACCAGAAAAATTCTTCCACCTTCTATGTCAATGTCTTTTAGCCATAACCCAATCTTGTTAGATTAAAAAACATACTCCTTCAGGGTAAATAAAAATCACAGCTATAACTCTCACTAAAATACATATGATGCCCATTAACAGCATACACCTACAAATGTTCACCGCGAATATTTATAAAAAAAAATAAAAACGCAAATTGCTACAGCCCGTAGCATCCCATTGTCAGCACGAGTAAAACCCTGACACACGATTATACTGACACGTTAACCATACTAAATATTTCACCTCATGCTAACACAGCATGTAGCAGCCTATTGCTAACTCATTGTAAAAACAAACAAAATCTCAGAAAACCCCGACCTCTACCAAGAACAGGTGACATGTTTACACACCTCAAATTGTTCCAAGGTATGATAAGATCCATTTGCCAACTTCTTCCTCACTGTGGAGAAGTCCATCGGATGCTCAATCACATCGTGATAATCAGGAAGCTGCATCCAAACATAATTTGAACTCTCAATTCAGATTGCCTTCGAAAAGCAAGATTAACAACTCACAGGAAGAAAAATCCACACACCTCTTCTGGATCAACCGGCTCTGCATACACACCATAAGTGTCCTTCCTGCCAATTCACCAAAACACAAGGCATCACCACGCAATAAATTAAGTTGAAGATGCCATGCAAAGTCATTCACCAGTCCCCAACTCAAAGCCAAAAAGACCATATGAAGAAGGCTTACTTCTGAAGCTTGTCAAGGATCAATTCCAGGGTCCTCTTGTCGGGCAACGGAATCCCAGGTGGAAGCTTTGATGGAGTTCCTAACAAAGCAAAAACCAATTGAGAAACTCAGGACGATGCAGTAACAGAAACTCCACTGGCGCACCCCTTTCAGTATCCAACACGTTATATTAAATTAAAAAGAAAAAATAAAAACAACAAATCACACACACAAACCTGAAACAGAGTGGAGCCCTTTGGAATCCACTTTTCTGGCCTTTACCTGTCAGAAGAAACCACAACCCCCAAGAAGCGCACACAATTAATAACCACAAAAAGGGCAAAGACTGCGTTTGTATAAGAAGAAAAAAATGAGTGCGATTGAGACAGGGACAGGGACAGAGACAGACAACAATGCGTCGTAGGTTATAGTTATAGACACATAGTAACAGAGAGAGAAAGAAGAGAGTCCCATAAAATGGAAGCGTAATCAGAGAGAGTCTGCATGTGTGTTAGTTTTTGACAGTTGACCCGTTAGTTATCTCTCCCAAAATCCCGACACAGACAGAGAGAGAGAGAAAGACCTAGAGAGAGAAACAAAACACACACACACACACACACAGAGAGTGAAGATAATTGAATTATGGACCAATTGGTATCACCCCAAACCAAAAAAATCTGAGTGATTTGAGCTGAGGTGGACACACTCTTTCTCTTACTATACACACACACTTTCTCCATTCTCAATTGTTACCTCTTCATGCTCCTCTGCATCCTCATTCCCTTCTTCTTCTTCCTCTTCTCCTTCTTCTTCGTCTTCATCGTCTTCCCCCTCCTTTGCTTTCTCCTCCTCCCGCGCGTGTGAACCACGCGAGCCTCTGCGACTCGGCGCGGAGTCCTCTTCGTCCTCGTCTTCCTCTTCGTTGTTGTTCAGCTTCACAACGAGCTTCAGCTTTTTTTTCTCGCGCCTCCTCTCATCCTCCTCTTCATCCTCGTCTTCCTCGTCCAGGTAGTCGTCGTAGTCTATGTTGTACCTCACATTTCGGCGGCGGCGGCTCCGTCGGAGGTCAGATTGCGCCGTCGCCGGAGAATCGCCGGAGCGGCGAGCTAGATCTGCCTTGGATGGACGTCCCTTCTTCTTCCTCCTCACGATCTGACCCATCTATCGTTGTTTTCTCTCTCTATCCCCTCTCTCTCTCTAAAACCCTGTTTCACTTTCTCTCTCTTGCTTTGCTTTGGGTTCCATTATTTTCGAGGGTGCCTTGGCTTTTTTCGAGAGGCTCAGTGAGGTCCGAGCCTGGTTGGCAAGACCCGGAGCTCAGGTTCGGATGAGGGTGGGTGGGTGTGGGTGTGTTACTTTGAGTGTGCAATTGTCACTGCTTCCCTTTCTTTTGTTTTCTAATGCGAAAATAATAAATAAATAGACATTTTTCTTTTTTCCTTTTTTAAGTCTGTGCGCGTGAAACGGCGTCACTGCCTGGGAATGACGGCGTCTTCTGCTGCCCGTTGCCCGGAACCCCCCTTGCGTGTCCCTTTGCCTGCTGCCCGTACCTTTCGTCACTTTCTCGCTTTTTCAATTTCCCGTGTTTCAGCCACTCTCATATCCGGCGCGTGTAAAATATGTAGATTAAGTTATTGCGATGGAGAAATTTAAAGGGAAGTGATGATGGATTAGTGAATCTATCTTGTGATGATTAAGTTAATTGAATCAAATTACTTATTTGTTCAACATTTGCATCTATTAATTGACTTAACTCTTTCCGTCAAGGATTTAATAGTACATTGTCTTAATGAATATCTCATATTCTCTTCAATCCATTGAAAAGACTTTAATTAATTAATTAATTAATTCCATGGATTAATGATTTGACACAAGTTTTTAAGTTTCACAGTACTTTGCAACCTTTGGAAAGGGGTTTGTATCAAATTGCTGATTCTCTTTGCTCAACTGGACACATTCTTTTGGTCATAGACTCCTACCCTATTTTTTTCTGTTCTTTTTGTCTCAAAGCTTTCACTCTTTTTTTCTCATATAAATATCAAAATATTAATAATACAAATAAATTAGTGAAGTTTGAAATAGTGCTGTGGAGGCGCAACAAGATCGTGCGGTTGAATTTCTTCCATCTTTGAGAGGGACGGCCATGATTCAATGTTGGTAAAATCCAGTCCACATGCATAGCGAGCTAAGTGAAGGAGAAATTGGTCATTTCAAAATTGGTGTGTGACACTTGCGATGAAAAAAAAGGCCTGAAGGAATGGACGGTGGTGATTGATGTTAGCTTGTGGGTCCCACGAAGTTGACGATGGTGGTGTGGGGTGGGCCACACAGGAAAATTGATTGAGATTGGGAACCCATTCCCCGGTGCATTAAAGGAAACTCTTGTAACTCACCCAACAATTAACATTCTGAATTTCAGGTTCACACGGGCCCCACAAGATAGTGGGTCCCACATCATTAGTTAATTAATTCATTACTTTTTAATTGAAGATTCAAGGATATGTAATAAAAATACATATAAATTTTAATATGATTAATCTATTAAGTTATATATTTTTTAATAATTTTTTATTATATATAAATTTTTATTGTTTAAACACATTAAATATATGTTAATATTTAGGCTAAGTTTAAGCAATAAAAAGCACTACTAACAATTTTTCATTAGTAAAAAAATTATTTATTTTATAAAAATATAGAGGTGTAATAAATGTTTTATAATGTTTTTAATATTTTATAATTTATATTATTTAATTATTTATTTTTAGTATTTTATAAAATTAATGAATAATTAATATTTTTTATAGTTTTATTCTTAATAATTAATATTTAATTGGTAAAAAAATATAAACAAATGAAATATTCATTAATATAATAAATAAAAGTATAATAAAAATAAATAATATTTTGTATAAAAATTAAAAATTTAATTATTTTCTTGACTTTTTTAGGAAAGGTTAAATGTTAAAAAAAAGTATATGATTAAAATTATATTTAATAATTAAATTTAATAAACTATATTAAATTTAATATATATATATATATATATATATATAATAAAAGTGTGATTAACATCCTAACTTTTGAGTCATGTACGAATTAGTCTCTTAACCTTAAAGGAATGTATTTTTAGTTTTAATATTTTTAATATATGCAAAATAAGTTATTCTTTAATTTATTTCTAAAACTATTCCTATAAAAATATAAAATAACACTTTAAAACTTGCATTATGAATAATTTAGTCTTTGAATATTTTCAAAAAAGTTGTAAATAATTAAAAATTCATGAACTAATACATACATATGAGTTATTTTGTGTATCATTTCTCTATGATTATTTTGCACATATTAAATTTTTTAATATTTAAGATGTAAATAAGACAACTCAAATCTCAATGCGTCCTAAATTATAATTTTTCTTATAAAACAATAATATTTTACTTCTTATTATATGAATGTTTTGAATTTTAATGCAAGTGAAAGTTTATTTATATTTTTATTTATGTATTTTTAAAAAATAGTATATATAAAAAATGTTCTGCAGTATATGTATTTATTAAGGAATAACGAAATAATATATATCAAATTCTCCAATAAATATCAATAATAAAATTTATAATATATATAATATATATTTTAATGAATCAGTCATTTATTTCTTTTAATAATACATATTTAGAACAAAGTTGAAGGTAATCAAAATTCGGAGCAAGTAAACAGGTGGCTGACAAACTTTGAGATAGTATTTGAAGGGAAAGCTTTAATTTATTATGATCATGGTGAGTTCTTCCATAGCTTCAGTGTCGTTTTGCTGACCCATCATCACTGCTCATACATGTGCATTAGGCAAGTATAATCATTGATTCACAGCCGATGTGTGTGTCTTAAGATTCAAAAATCTAAAAGAATCATAACAATCACTTTTTAAGTGCAAATAATTAATTGTGATAATTAGCCTTGCATCAATCATCATATTATATTTTCAGTTATATATATCTTTTCAAGCAAAATAAGTGAAGTTAGAAAATTGAAAGGGACTATATTTTTTAAAATTTAATTATAAATATTTTTTATTAGATTAATAAGGTATATATATATATATATACATTTATTTTATTAGTTATAATTATAATATTAAAATAAAATTGACTTGAATTATATATGCAACAGAGAGAGTAATAGTGAGAAAAATAAAGAGAAGGAAAGTGGGCAATAAATAGTTGTTCGGTGTCTCGGAGGTTACCCACTGATCCATTGTTCTTATAATTAGTGTGTCGGCATTTTGAGATGGCGAGGCAATGGGAAGACACCAACAATGGCTGCATGATGCTGACAAGCAGTGATGCACTAACCACATCAACTTCAATGCTGTTTTGCAAATCAAACAATTGTTACATGTTTCTCCGATCTTCAATAATTTAAATGAATTTTTTATGTAAATGTTATCTTTCAAAATGAGAAATAGTTCACTGTGTGCCACGTTGAAAACTTGAAATAAAAGAAACCTGGGTTGAGTCACCCTCAGCAATGGCTGGCTAGTCATGATCTCTTGGGGTTGTAGATGATAGTGATGGGTTGCACTATCCTTTTCTCAAACTCAATGTTTTTTGTTTGTGTTTTTTTAACCCTTTTAATTGAATTAAAAAATAAGCTGAGACTATTTATTTTTTAAAAATATAATTTTGAGTATAATACAAAAATATTTTATCTTTAAAAAACTATCTAACCCTTTAAAAATTGTAAATTCACGAGTTCATTTAACCTGGTTATGCAAGCCAACACGCATGAACTGATCACAATTAGATAAGCAACATATTTTTATGTCTAAACTTACAAAATCGAAGGACAGTAAAACTAAATTTTTTAGGCTTTACAACAAAACATTATGACTTGAAAGATTTGGGTTCAGATTACTTTCTTCAGCGTCTCTGTATAAAATGCCCCATAAAGACGATTCAAACCAAAAGAATTTTATTTTGCTTGTTTACTTAGAATTGATAGAATAGGAACAGAACAATAACGTGGAAGTGGGATGAATATGGGACGGTGAGGGTGCAATGAATCATGAATGCGAATCAGAAATATACCAATATATATATATATATATGGATGCCAGATTGGACACAGTGGGGTTAAGCATATTGCTAGCTGACTTCCATAGTGTGAGGAGGTGCTATTTCTTAAAAAATTGAAATTCTTATCCAATATTTTCATCGTAGCTTTTATACTCAAAATTTAAAGTGGATTGCTTCTTTAAAAGTGTGCCACATACACTATATGAACATGAGGGTTTGACCTGGCTATTAAAGCTTTAAAGTCGGAGTATTATTTATATACAACATAGAAATAATAAAACCTTTTACTTTGTGCTAAAAAATGTTCTCACGTGTTGGATACTGCTTATTTTCATGTGGCTGCCTCTGATTCACAACCCATCTATTAAATTAAATCATAAAGAACAGAAGATATTCTTAAGTAATATAGTAAATGTTTTCGAAGTTCTCTAGTTGTTCACTTTTGGCCATTGAATTAGATATAGGCTGTCACGTGATGCATGGATGATTTAGTACCTTCGAAGGTTCATTTAACAGCAACATCAGATTATAAAAGTTACAAAATATTAGAGTTAGAGTTGCCAAGTTGGATTACCAAAAACAGGCTTAACTTTGAGGCAAAAACCAAAGCAACAAATTAAGAATTTTAATTACTTTTGACAATGACAACTTTAACATACCATTAACAATTAAATAAATATCAATCTAAGTGGGTTGAGTATCTAGAAAATACTCTTTGCTCCACTATCTCTCACTAGCTAGAATTCAATCAAATTTCTTTTCACACGAAGACGTGTATACCATTCATTCATTAAGCTTTGGGATATCTTTAAATATCAATCCCACAGTTGTACATCTACCACCACACACCCTAAACCAAAACCAAGATGGGTAACACAGCGTTCGTGCGGTGTTCTTTGATCTTAATTATCTTTGCCTTCATCTTCAGCTTTGGTTCTTCAAAGGCTCAAATGGTTCCAGCAGTTTACGTGTTTGGAGACTCACTTGTAGATGTGGGCAACAACAATTACTTGATTCTTTCCATTGCAAAGGCAAATCATCCTTACTATGGCATTGATTTTCCTACCCACAAACCAACTGGGAGATTTACCAACGGCAAGAATGCCGCGGATTTTATAGGTAAGTGATTCAAATTCAATTGACTTTTGATCAAGCATTTCATACAATCACGTGTTAATATATTGTATGATTACATATATGTTACCTTTGAAAATGACAATATCTTGTTATGAAAATTTCAAAATCATATATGCGTCGGTGCTTTACACTTTTATTTTATATACAGTCTCATTTTTTTTTTCAATTTATTTCTCTTTCTTGTTTGTGTGTGTGTATTTATATTTTTTCTGGTCGCTATCTCGCCATATGTTTATACGTAAATCTTCTCATCAATAATTAGTGTATGATTAACAAACTAAATCTCTAATTTATAATTGGTTAAATATTTTTGGGCACTACCGTAAGCCAGATTTATTTTCTGCAGTTCTTCTTCTGTAAGAAACTCGTATATATATATGGTTGATGGACCGACACCCTAAAAGCATAGAAAAAGAACACTAACATGTGAAGTGACACCAGAAAAAGCATAAAAAAGACACTAACATGGGATTCAGACGTAGATGGTTTAGTGCACAAACTTAAGAAAAACTTTTATATGAAGTTTATAAAAATGACTTTTATAAAGTTAAACTGTATGGTTATGAAGAAAAGCAACAATAGAACAGTAGTAATACAGGAGCAAAAGTGCATGTTTAAAAACATGTTAAAAAATTATAAACAAAATTATAATCAATAACTCCACACAAATTCAAACATAAATCTAAGTATGTTTAAAATATATTGAGTGGCATATATAGTAGTAAAGTATGGAGACACATATTGATAATAGAATGATTGGGTGGCTTGCAGCTGAGAAATTGGGTTTGGCAACTTCGCCACCTTACCTCTCCTTAGTATCAAAGGCCAACAAAAACAACGCATCCTTCATGGATGGTGTTAGCTTTGCCTCTGCAGGTGCTGGAATATTTGATGGTACAGACGAACGATATGTAAGTGAGCAAATGAAGTTTCCTTTTTTTCATTTCCCTACTACTTTTTCTTTCTTTTTTTAAACATTTTTTTTGGGTCCACTTTCATTTATTAGTCCTGTTTGTGCATATAGCTCAAATAGGATTCTGGGAATCTGATCCAAGATGGACCAAAAGTGGGGCCTCAAGAAAAATGGATGGGTGATTTGGATCCATCTTTGAAGGATGTGGACACCCTTTAATTTAGATGGTGACAGAGTTCCCTTTGTTTAGAATTAGGCACATTAACTGCACAAAGTAAATAAGCATGGATATTAATTAATTAATTAATTATGGCCCATTAAACTTATAGCTTAATAAAAACTGAAAAGGAGAATTTTGCGGTGAGCGTGGATCGAACACGCGACCTTCAGATCTTCAGTCTGACGCTCTCCCAACTGAGCTATCCCCGCTTTGTGTTATTTTAAAATAACTGTTTTTATTTGTTTTTAGAAACAATCAATACCATTGACAAAACAAGTGGACTACTATTCAATTGTGCATGAAGAAATGGCACGAGAAGTAGGAGGAGCTTCTCTGCAGAAGCATTTGTCAAAATCAATTTTTGTTGTGGTGATTGGAAGCAACGATCTCTTTGGATACTTTGATTCATCGGATCTTCGTAAGAAAAACACCCCACAGCAATACGTGGATTCCATGGCTTTCTCACTAAAAGTGCAACTACAGGTAACACATAACATGGCATTGACAGATCACTTATTCGTATTAGGAAATATATTTTGAACCATCAAATAGGACATCTAAATATGTCTAATTGTGTAAGTGTGATTTAATTATAGAACGCTTGAATATTAAAATAAAAGATAAAAGGTATATATAAAAAATAGAAATAATCATATATAATGTTACATACACTGTCAGGTTAATTTTAGTGATACAAATAATGGAACTCATTAGTATTACTGAAAAAAATGTAACCGTTGACTTAATAATTTTGCATGTACATGTATCTGTACCCTCTTTGCATTTGCATGTAGCCTTTTAGTAAGTAACTACTAATTATATATTCTATTGTGCTTAGAGGATAAACTCTAATGTCATTTTTTGGTGCAGCGCTTATACGATCACGGTGCTCGTAAATTTGAGATTGCAGGCGTTGGGGCACTTGGATGCTGCCCTGCATTCAGGGTGAAGAACAAAACGGAATGTGTTGTAGAAGCTAATTACTGGTCGGTTAAATATAATGAAGGCCTTCAATCCATGTTGAAGGAATGGCAATCTGAGAATGGAGGCATAATCTACTCCTACTTTGACACTTACGCTGCCATGAACGACCTCATTCGAAGTCCAGCTTCCTATGGTATATATATTATCGTTTATCTCTCTCCCTATATCTCCTTTTTACATTATAAATCTTGGAAAAATTAGGAGGAAATAGGTAGTCTGACATTATTTTGAGATAAATATTTAAGAATTTGAAAATCACTTATAATGTGACAAGCTCTTCTAAACAAAATAGAATAGAAATTTGTTAATCAATTTTGCAAAGAAAGATGACAAGGAAGAAAGACATGCATGAGAAGATATATAAAAATGGGTAAGAATAAGAAGAGAGTGCGTAAGCTAACCAATTTCAAAGAGATGCGTGGAGTGGTTTTTTAATAGTGCAGAAAAACTAAATAAACCATGTGGATAAAAAAATTACGATTAAACATCAATCACCAAAAATAAGGAAAAGAGAAAAGATAAGATTAATTGTACTAAATCAAAACTGATCTCCCGCAAACATTGGATAAAATATTTTTTTAATTAAAAAAAATCGTTTTATTGCTTTCACCTGATCAATATGACATTTATTCCCATTAAAAATTTAAAATACTTATAAAATATTCAACATAAAATAGCCTAAATATCAGGACATGCACGACGTGGGCAGAATGTAATAATATATTATACATGTCACTTGTTCTATATAATAACTTTCTTGATGATTGACTAATCAGTTACTAACAAGTTAAAAAAATTTTAAATAAAAACATTTTATTATATATTTTCAATGCGTTGAAGATTGTATTTTTTTATCAAATAATTTATATCTTTTAATTTCTTAACCCTTAAAACACTTATTATCAACATTTAGTGACTATAATAAATTTACAAATGTAATAAAAAATTCTTTAGCAGAATTTTATTTATCACTAGTCATAACTATTGATTTGATATTTTTTTATTCTAAAAATATATTGCTTGAAGTGTAGTTAATTTTAGAAAATAAATAACAGTATTTTTGAAATTGTAAATCGTCTGCGTAATTATCTTGTTTAACTTATCTTTTCCTCTTTTTGAAGTTTTGCTTTTATGAAATTGCATTCTAAAATGACTTTAAATCCCTTTCAGGATTTACAGATGTGAAAGATGCTTGTTGTGGATTGGGCGAGTTGAATGCCAGGGCTCCCTGTCTGATAGTGTCAAACCTTTGTCCTAATAGACAGGGACACATCTTCTGGGATCAATACCATCCTACGGAGGCAGCGTATCGTATATTTGCAGATAGAATTTTCGATGGTCCTTCAAGTTACACGTCTCCCATTAGTATGAGACAGCTAATAGCTGCCTGAAGTTGGCGATTACTTTGTCCCTTCCAATGACATTTTTTATAATCTAAATCGTTATTATCAAACGCAAATTGTGGTTGCGTTTACAATAAGAATAAAAAATAGAACTACATCCATTGCATAATAGAATTCCCAAAGTAGGCCTCATTTGGAATGATCACTGGTTAGCCACGTATTATTTGACTTAAAAGTGGATGATATTGAGAGCGGCGTAGCATGGGATGAAGGTGTATCGATAAGATGCATTCCTGTAAGATGGATGTTAGTTTAAACAATGTAAAAGAAATAAGACATGACCATTTATTCGACCGTATAAATTATGGACATAAATATATACTATAAATGTTCAAGTAGTGATAATTTATATTGATCAGGTGACCAAAAGAATCCAAGTTTCAACTGCTTCAAGGTCTGAATCAACCGAAAGAAGGGGGAAGAAAAAAGAAACAGCTGGAAACATATTACGCTCCGTCTGTGCATAAGCTGAAACTCTGTCTTCCCACCAACGTGCCCCAGGAATCGTGCAACAAATAATCCTACCAATTGAATTTTCCAGGAAAATCATGTCACTACAAGGAAGTGGAAAAACTAACGAGCTCTTAATATTCCTCGTTAAGAACTGTTAAAATTTTCTAACTGTTACGTACTATGATTGAGTTACTTTGGCATTGTGAAAAAGGAGTTAATGATATCTTCATATGCTTTAAGCCTAATAATTTAGCACTTTGTAATGGGCTTAAGTTTGTAATGGGCTTAAGGCACCTAATACTTATTAATGTGGTTTGAGCTATGTAATGTAAAACCTATTGGGCTATGTTAATTTATATGATTAAATCTCATACGCTAACTTGGCAATAGTTACTGATTTTTTGGCTTGCCCCATTGCTAACCGATACAAAGAGACTCTAAGCTACAGGGGAAGATATAATTCTCTGAAAATGATCATTCGATTCAATAAATTTTGATAGTGCGCAACTCATCTAGGTGCCATGTATGGCATTTCAAAGAAGACACCAGTCACGATGCGTTAGGAACTAGAAAAAATATATCCTCGAAGAATTGTTTTAAGTCGCCTTTGTCAATATCGAATTCCAACAATTTCTCCATGGCATCCTGCATTCCATTCAGAAATATAAACAAACATGTTTAAGAGAGTAAAGTAGTAAACTATACCCAAAATGTAATAACTGTAATTTGACTCTTAAAATTGAAATGGCACCTCGTATTGACGATCTTGAGCTGAGATGTTCTCATTGCATAACCGCTCAATATAATTATTATTTGAAACAGCATCCAACACAACTGCTGCTCTTTTTATGATTTCGTCAGGTACACCTGGAGGAAGTATGCAGACTGATCAATTAAAAAAAAGATGTAAAAGGCAGACTTAACATTATTCATCACATTTAAAAAAAAAAATTAAAACTGTACTATATCTGAGTATTACACCGACCAGATAATGCATCCATTCAAAATCAACATTTTGTGGTTTAAAGTACATTTACGTTCCTTCAGTTTTCCATTTGGATTTAGGTCACTATAATTATTTTCAGATTTTAGTCCATGTGCATTTTTACTTATTTGGCTTTTGTTCTCTACCATTGACTTTCAACCCCATATATATTTGGACTCTACTACTCGTTTTTATTTATCAAAAGTAAATGGTCCTTATGTTTCACGAAGGATTAATCCCTATACTTCTTTATTAAGGTATGAAACTATAGGAAACTATAGCCAAGAGAAGAAAAAAATCAATTAAAAAGATGAAAACTTGAATAAGTGACAACAATTGGAACCAAATTCTCTAAACCATATAACAGACGGCCAGGTCTCATTATGATAGGCATAAACTTGATGAAGCTGACTACATCATGTAAAAGTGAATGGAAAATCAAATTAATTTAATTTCTTTTTCCTCTCTCTTAATGGAAAACACTTGAGATTTATCCAGCATTAAAATAAGACATCAGACATTATTTCAGTGTTTTTAACATTCATTTATTGCCTCTTGCAAAGACGATAGGACAGGGTATATAACTTCTTCAAAACTTATGAGATTTTAAACGAGTTTAAAAATCTTAATTCTATCCCGTAAAAGCATTTAGCAATAGATTTGTTAAGGAATTTAATAATTCCTTGGAAAGGCTTTACTTGTCACCCCAACAAGCACAACTATACCAATACCTTTTAACACAAGTTCCACTTCCACCCACTTGTAAGCCTCTCATCCTCATTATTGCTATAGTTCAAACCCAAGTATAATTTTTTTTTTTACAATGAAATTGTAACCAATACTAGAATGAACAATGTGCGTCTACTTTCTTTTATCAGGTACTATCATTTTTAACAATAGTTTTGTAAATTACCAGCCAGCAGTGCACAGTGCAGCCCTGCAAGATTCCAAAAATTGCACATGTCATTTCATTGGTATTTCAATTGATATAACACAAGATGCTAACAATATATTCTTTAACAAATTCTTTTAAATATACTTTTTACTATTAACAGAAGTTTGTGAAGAATTTGGGAATCATGAAATGTGTTTAAGTATATTATGCAACCGTTTTTTTATCATGTTAGAAAGTGTATTGCTATCAGTTCTATTGATATAAAATACTGATAAAGCAAAAGCCTACCATAGCTATGATGCGCATGTCCAGGGACAAGCCTGTGAGGAATATGATAATAAAAAAGATGAAATCTCCTCAGATAGCATAACCATTTCTATTGTATATTAATTTCAATACTCTAGACAAAGTACGATGAGTCACTATCATTGAATAAACCAAATACTGACATGCAAGTGCAGATTATATTGTATCAGGATGCGCTAGCCAAAACAAATGCATGCTCAAATATATAATTTGACATACAGTTTTTCTTTTCCCAAATCTTCGACCAAAAAGGTTTGCATTTTTCACATCAAATATATACAAGTTAAGTAATCTTCTGATCAAGTAATGTACAATAGCCTTGGTATTTCCTATCAAATTCTTTGACATCAAGTGACCTCGTGATGGTAAATTAATTCATAGCATCCTGCACGACAGAATCAACAGACAAGATACCTGTATAAGAACACAATGTCTTCAATATAGGTGGAATTGTTATCAGGCCTCAATATACTCATTGTGTAAAACTTAATCTGCTCAGACTGAAATAGTCCAAAGAAATCATATTCATTATCGCTCAACTGAGTAGTTTATAAACTTCAACCCACAATGATGCACAAGCATATAACCTTGGTCAAAGAATGCCCATGCAACAAATCCATGAGATGAGTGCACACAAAAACCTACAAAATTTACAGAACAAATGGTAGTTACAGTCCCCCATGAGAAAGTGCTTCTTCATTTTCAAATAGAGAAACAAATGAATAACCGCATATGGTCATTTTACTAGTTTTATAATTATACATTTCAATTACAACATGACTCTAGGGTCTAAGTAAAAAAATTTCTATATAAAATTTCCATCAATAACATCCTAAAAATACAAATGCTTGAGAATGAACAAAAACTTCTGAAGTTACTACTTAATTTTCAATAGAGATGAAGGAATACACTTCTACTCTCATGATTACAGACAATCATATGGAATGAACATTGACCAGTTAACCAATAGAAATAACGAAAGAGACCTTTAAAGGGATTATACAGAGTTCTAAGTCTGTAGACATGATACAAGCAACTGGAATATATATATATATATATATATATATATATATATATATTATACATATTTTCAGGAATAGAAAGTCTTAAACCTTTGGAGGTTCATCACGCATGACAAAGTGATTTATGGTCCCAGCAAGTAGACCAATGCCATCTGAAAGGCGATGAAAACATTTAGGCTGAAAACTAGCAGCTGCCATACACACACACACACACTCATATTCCGTAATCCATATATTTATGACTTGGACACTTTATAATCATTGGATAAACTGACCTTCTGTAAGAGTGCCTTTACCAAATTCATCCACCAGACACAGAGATCGTGAAGTAGCATGCCTGCAGGTTTTCTCAAAATTAAAAAAAATAAAAAATCTATTGTTCTTTCAGTAAACTACAATTCTCCTGGAATCCTCCATCTATTTTCTTGTTCAGATAAAACCATTTGGAATAACATCTGCAATTGTAAAATGAGTAATATGGAAGAGGGTCATCACACACGACAATTCAAATCATAGCTATCAATAGCACACTATAGCATTGTAACAGTGCAGAAAGGCCGTGGGCTGCTACAAAGTTTTGAAATGCAATGCATTTTTAAATACCAGCCGTAGTAGCAGCAATATGGCCGTAACAATTTTAGAATGAGGCTTTTTTGAAAACTCATTTTTTACCCAAAAAGTCACTATGGGTGGGCCACTACACTCCTTGACTTTTTTATATTTTTATTTTTGAGCATTTATATGTTACATAAATTTAGAATAGCTGCCATCTCACTGTACAGTGTACATTACACTGCTATAGTAATTTTAGGTTTGGCCACTACACTCTTGCTATCTAAGATTGATAAATATGGTTCAAATACAAGGAGACTATACAGATTTTTCCCGTGATCACTCTATGGTCAATGTATTGGAGATATTCTTATCGCCCTTTCTCTCAATATACCTGAGCATCATCCCGATTTGATGTAGATCAATCATAAATGTTGATTGTTCAGCTGTCATAAGCTTGCTTCCTGTTGCACAAAATATTCTGCAATATCAACCCCCCCCCCACCCACCCCCACCACCAAAAAAAAAAGGAATAAAAAAAAACATTAATATGTTAATCACGAGGATCAACATACAATGATGTAACTATGCAACTCCTGTTTCAACAAAGACAAGATTTATAAGATACGATACCTATCTGTCAGACCCACAGTTGCTGCATCAGCTGGCACAAAACTACCAATGTGGGAGAGGAAAACTATTAAAGCCACCTGCAAAACACTTCTCATTATGTTGTGATCATAAAGAAACAAGAAGCAAGGTCTCACACTTCTCATCTTATAGTGGCCACATGATAGACTATATGTGGAGAAATCATCTATCCAAAGAATGTACCGTGGAATTCAAGAATTTTTAGTAACAGTCTCACAAGAATATTTTGTCCAACATTCATTAAATGTACCAAAGATCTACACCGCAAACTATCTTGCATCTAGGCAGTAAGCTAACATGGCTACTGGTCTCAAAATCATAGAAACACATAACACTGATATTACAATTGAGACGTGTCCTGTAAACTTGCAACAAATCATTTCACTTATTAAATTGTTATACAGGAACCAGTAATCCTACAAGGATTTTATCTCTCATAGTCTGTAACTTATTTAGAATCTGATCTGTGACTTCGTACTGAAATGGATTTGCTGTTTTAAGATTCAAAAACTCTTTTACAACTGTAGTTTGTAGGGTTGTCAGACCAGATGAATTTTCTCAACCAGAAATGGAAACATATGCGGCTAAAAGCCTGAAACAATAGTTCCGCAACATTCTATCAATTGGAGCCTAGATGTTAAGGTCATAAATAAGATAACCTTTTTCATCATCATTTCTATTTAAAACAGTAATCCAAATATCCCAGTAAATGTAGATCCCAGAAAGACGGAGAACTAATAACTGACCTGCTTTATATAGATACTTTTCCCAGAAAAATTAGGACCAGTGATGATATTAATTCTTCCTAATGTAAAGAACAATTGAACAGGAATTAAAAACAGTATAATTTGATCAAAAAGGATTTCTTGGACATAGGTTAGATAATATCAGTTATGTATGTCTATATCTGTTTACCGTCATGAAGAATCTTAGTGTCATTCGGAATAAATGTGTCTACAGTCATTTCCTGTAAAACATGCCTACAGAAAAATCAATTTTTATTGTTAACCATATCAATATTTCTCAATTTTCAAGATATTCCTGTTAAAAAAAGATGGCTTGAAGTTTGTACCTTCCACTTTTTATCTCAAGCAAGTTTTCTTCAGTCAACAAAGGCCTGACATAATTGTTCTGCCGAGCAACCAAAGCCATTGACAAAAAGCTGAAATAAAAATATCAATTATAAAAAGTGTCTAGGCATTAGGCAAGCACCAGTTATTATACTTACAGAATTTATTTACCAGTCCAGCTCAGCTGCAAAAGTTGCCACCTTTATCAAATGGGATGAGAACAACAGTATTCGTGAAAACAAGTCTCTGGTGATCGCCCTCTCCATGTCTTGTATGACAGAATTCAGACATAAGGAAGATTTGTACAGTAGACCTAGTGTTACAACTTGGAAGGCCAACTAAGCATTATCCTATAACATCTCTTAGCTTTTACCACATGAACTATGTCAAGGAATTTCATATTTTTTTATTATGTATCAACACTTAATATTACATCTTTATAATCTAGTTTTAAGTTCATGATCTCTTTTTTTACCCTTTCCTGGATGATAAGTTTAGGAAGCATGTTACAAGTCTTAGCAAAGGCTCAGGTTCGCTAGAGTTCTTACTTCAAAGTTAGAGTACCTAGAATTTTATGATGGATATCTCCTAACAGACTGTCCAATTCTCGTGTCTTCGGGGTATGATAAAAGTATCTTTTTGTCTCTTCATCTGCATCACCGAACTATATTTGAAATGTCTATAATCAAAATAGAACATATCAATTGCGAAAATTACTTGACCAACTGCAAACGCCAACATACTATATATTCCCAATCCACAAGTTTTTCCAGAATGGTTGCTTCAAGTTTTTCTTCAAAGATACACATTAAATATCCTACAATAGACAAAAACAATATGCATTATGCAATAATAATGTCCAGTGTTATTTAACGGCCCAAAAATAATATGGCAATTTGAAATTAAAAAAAATAAAATTGAACTAGTGTTGTTAAACAATCACAGTGCAGTGCCACCGCCACCCCCCATGGTAAGGCAGAAATCCATGGCAAGGTGACAAATGGCGGCTCCAAGTGTCATGGCAACATCAACGTAGTGGCCCATGGCTTCTTGTTTTTGTGAACAGGACATCTTTTTCTCCAATATATATTAGAGAAGGATATCTAAAATCCTAGCATCTTTGAAAGGGCAACTGGACCTCCACTCCGTCTCTGGTGATTTACAATTTCTTCTTCAGTTTCATGCTCGGGCAACTGGACCTCTGCCTCGGGCTTTGCATTTCCTGTTCTCTGATTTTCTTAGTCTCGGGTATTGCCTTTCCTTCTGTTCTCTATCATCCCATTCTTTGATTTTGTCTACTCTGTTCTCTCCATTCTCACTATCTTTGTTCTGCTCTCAGTTGTTTCCTCGTTTCTGTGTTTTCATTAGTTTGTTTGCTTTTTTTTTTCCCCTTCTATTCCTTTATAGTGTTACAGGTTCTGAATTTGAAATCTGCAAGAAACTATGAAAGACCCTCTGGATTTGTAACGTGAAAAGCCAGAAAGTTCTGTTGAAAAAGGAAAAAAGGAAAGAGGCAAACTAGCACAAGTGAGGCACATGACAAAGAAACAACGACTAGGGTCAATCAATATGTAACTCAGTGGTGGTATCAAGTTGAATTGTCAATCCACATTATCAAGTTAAAAGTTCCACGAAATGATTGAGGACATTGGAAGGAAGATTTGGTCCAAAGTTACCATCTCCAAAATGATCATGACATAAGTGTGTCGCACTTATCAAGAAGTTGGGATCCACCAAAATATGTTGAAGGACCATACATAACAAACATGGCTGGCTAATCTATTGTCAGATGCTTGATTAATTTCTCTAAACTCTTCTGCCAGGATAACGTTTGTGAAGTCTATTGATGGATCTTAGTTTGTCAAGACTGTTGACAAATTGTTTTAGTTACTTGATTCTCCTGACAAAGAGATTGGAAAGGATAACGTTCTAGTAAAACCTATTGGACTTCTACACAAGCTTATATAACAGTCAAATAATTATTTTATTTTTAATCCAGATACTGCAACTAGTGAACCAAATAATTTAGACATTCACTGAATTCATTATTCGCCTAAAACATTAGATTTTATTCACTATTGCATGATAGTATAGAAATCACCTTCAACGAATTAGTTAATTCAAAAATAAAAGCTGCTTATTAGCAAATACACTTCAGAAAAGAATAGCAATGAAATGACCCATTACCACATTTTATGGTATAAATATAATTGAGAGTCAGAACTACCTATTTGCTGTATATAAACAATACAAGGAATGTGCTTCTCCTTGCATACAACCGGAAGTTGTGCTAATTCCAATGATGAAACCTGCAACAAATGTATCATGATGAATGCGTGTGTGTCTAAAATTGCTTTTCTCAATTAAAAATTGCACTAAAAGCCACCTCTTCCAGGAATTCTGGCAGTTCCTCATATATTTGCCTAAGCTCATCCAACTATGCAATAACAAATTTATTCAAAGTCCAAAAATTAAAAATTATCCACAGTAAAAAAAAAATATTACAGAATGAGGGGGAAAAATTTTATGCACTTAGATTAAACTTTCAACACTATGGATTAATTCATTTATTAAAAATTTCATCCAACTAAGCACTTCTGTGAGAAAACCATTTGAATCACATATTTTTCAACTTGAACAGCATAAGCACATTACCTAAATTCATTATATTGACACTCCAAGGTGAAGAAAAGAACAAGGAAATTGGGTTTAACCTCGTCACAAAAACCTTCTTTCACCACTGTCGCATATCCCTTTTCTTTAGTTCTATTCACATCAATAACACCAATTACCTGCAAAAGACATTGTCAATTGCATTGGCTCTTAAAATGCTCCCCACCCAACCTCAAGGAAAATCAGATGCTTTTATGCCTCTAAGCATCACTATACACAATTCTTTTTGCTCGTCTTTCTGGTAGTTAATACAAGAGAAACAAATAAAACTTACCAGCTCATAGACATAAGCAAGCTCTGTTGTTATGCATGAACTTGCCTGCAATAATGTTACTTATGAAAAAAAATGTTGCTCGTGAAAAAATCACTTAAGCAAGAACCTATACAAGTGCACTTGAATAAAACATATACATACCTTCTCAACAATATCCAAGTTCAAGTACTTCAACTCTTCTCGAAGACCTTCAGAAATTCCAACTTCAAATATCTTGTTTACATGCAGCAGCGCACAAATACTCTGTATATAATTTTTTTTTAAAAATGCTACATCCCCCAAATATGATATTTACTGAAATTTTCTACAATGGTAAACAGTTTTGAACTGCATGGGAAAAGATATTAAATTGATATGTACATTCTATGAATGAAGGTATCCTCTTGATCTTATGCAACTTATGTGTCACATGAATTCAGTCATAAAAACTATTAAAAGAAGTCTCCTTACATTTTTTATATAAAGAATGATATATACATAATTCAGATATTTGTATAATTGTTTAAAAATAACAAATAGTAATGTACAGTGAAGCATCCTCGTAAAGTGGAAATAGCAGTTAGGCTATGTTTGGATTGATATAAAGAAATAGAGTGAAATGAAATGGCATTACAGTAGGCTCCAGTGACATAGGATGGAATGGAGCAGAACATGATGGAGTGCATTCCATCCCAAATATTCCTCCTTTTCTTTCACTTCAATCTTGGGAGGTATGAGATTGAACCATTTTATTTTTCATTCCATTGTAATAATATCCAAACAATGAAATTGTAACTTTGTTCCATTCCATTTCCCCACTCCATTTTGTTTCATTCCACTCACCATTAGATATAGATATCCAAACATAACTAAAGATATTGCTAATTTTATGCATTGACCTATCATTTACTAGTCTTCTTATCATTCAACTGGGTCAACTTTTCACCCATGGCTTCAATGACAAAACCAAGCCAAGACTCAACCTTACCTTCTCAAGTTCACGTCAGTTATGTACCATGCCATGTTCATACAGCAGGATTGCTTCATTTGTAATTGCTTACAAGCGAAGACATAGGTAAATAGTAATTGTTTGAGAAAGGGGAATATCTATGAACCTTTGATTCCAGGTAACTATTAATAATATACCAAGAAAGTGTTTCAAAGTTTATGTATTTTGTTTTTCAAGGACACTGGGGTCTTGTAAATATAAATTCAATAAACTGAACAATATAGATTCCTTTTAGCATGTAGAAGCAAAAAAAGACATGAACAGAGAAAGGAATATGACAATATTAGAAAACATAAAGGGCAAAGGCATAAAAGATAATTTTACCTTTAGAAGAGCTGTCCAATCAGAGCTGGTGCATATGGAGCTTGGAGAGTCAAATTTCTTTAATGATTGAAAATTAAATCTTCATAAGTTTAGCATACAAAGAATACAGGCTTTTGCTTAACATAGGAACATCACATTCATAATTGTAAAGCAGACTGATCTATCTTCACATAATAATGCAAATATTATGCCCATAGGATAAAACACATTGTCAATGCAGCATGTAATAGTTAATAGTATAATGTTTCAACAATAAATAATGTTCAATATTTGTGATCAAGATTAAAAAATAATAATTAAAATCTTGTAATTGCCAAAAATTTAATGAGCAAATATCATGCTCTTTTTCCAATTATTTATTAGCCCCTCACACAACAGAATCTATAAAAGAGAGATAAGAATAGACAATGGACTCATAGTCAGGCAAGAAGAATAGAAGACAAAAAGAAAACAAAATTATTAGGGACAGGGAGGAGAGCGAGAGATAATTTTCATACCTTGAGCAAGTGGGGGATATCCTTCACAGATTTCAGGGTTTCACGTAAAGAAGCAACAATATCTTCTGAGCATAGAAAGAAAGATATCTTTTTCCCATAAAAGAAAAACAGCGCTTTCCATGATTAAGTGATTAATTTGTTGAAGAGTTATGATAAATAAATATTAAATATCTATTTCACCTACAAATGGACAATGAAGTACAAATTTCTTCCAACCTTAAACTTATGATTCTGCAGATTAATAAAGCAAAATTAGACCATGTATGTAAGACTATAAATGGATACAGAATTCAAACGGTAGTTTAGAACTTCAAGATCAAGTATAGGTCTCAAGAACCAGTTTCTGAAATGGGGAAAAAATATGAGAAAAAAAACATTATATTACGTTTTTGAAGTTGAGTGATGAATACATTATTAATCTAACATTCTAGCTATTTTAATATGCATAACCTCAAAAGACGTCTACCCATTGGAGTCACGCACTGCATATAGGACAAACAATTAGTCATGTGTGACAAGAATCTATACACACTATTCAGACAATCCAACAAACCTTATTCATCATTCCAAATACAGAAAACCTGCAATTAAGACATATTATCTTAGATATTTACATACTATTAAAGAATATTTAAGAGTAAGTCAGCAACTACCCCTCTTTTGCTCTACCAATTCCCATGTGGCTCGGGTGTTTGTCTGTTTGGAATATTTGTAATGCTTCATGAGCTGCTGCATCAAGTTTGAGAAAGTTATTTCTGTAACTCCACTGTGAAGGACAACTTTTGAACTCAATGTTATCTCCTTTCAAACAGCACAAAATTGAATATAAAAGACCGATTGCCTTTAAGGACTGAGCTAAATAAATACAAGGATACAGTGATATTTCTGCTACAGAATCTATTGTAATTGATTTATTTCCGGATTCTTTTTGCTCAAGAGTATCTACAATCCTTTCATTCTCTAATATTGTCAGAAGGCCGCCACTAGCACGAACTTGTACTTCACTTCCCATGTCCATCATGGAACTCAACTGCAGTTGTAACACGAAGGTAGGAGGAGGGAAATACATATAAAGTTGTTAGAGTATTGCAATAGAAATAATAATTGAAACGACAGAAAGGAATTTCCCCCCATCAGACTTAATATAAGCAACATATAATCCAAGAACAAATAATATTTCAATTACTAATTTAAGCATGTGAATTTATAAGTAACAATCTTAAGATACTTGGACAATCCATTATTATGATATTATTAGACAAAGATGATAAATTGCAATAGTGGTTAGTTTCAAACTCACATAGTGAATCCTCTCCTTGACATTTAATCCATCATCCATCCCCGCCACCCGAAGGTAAATTAATCTGTAAAATAAGGAAGTAGAAGAAGCAATAGAATACTGAAATTGATAAACACTCTTTTCTGTTTTCCTTTTATTGCATCAACAGGTGTTGAGAATTTGCCTAATAAAAGATGGTCATGCAATAGCCTCATTTCAAATCACCACAAAAAATTATGCATGCTGAATAAAAAAAAGAAAACTGAAGATGAAAATTACCAAGACTTGTGGTTCATCCTTTCACTTAAGCCAAACAGCAATAATAATAATAACAAAAATAAAACAAAAGTTGAGAATGAAAGGCAATGATGCCAACGGTATGCTGAAAAGACGACCCCCAATACCCTAATTTGCAGTAAGGTACGTTCCTAAATCAACTGTCAGATTGTTAATTTTGTGTGTGAATGGATCTTTGGGCATAAACCACATGATAAGTTTTAAGCATTCATATTTTGAAATGTTACATAGATAAGACACATCAACGTGCAACACAGAAGTGCAAAATTTGATCAAATTTAATATCAAAACATTAAGAATTTGAAAGATCTGCAAAAAACAATGTCAACAATTTAATATAACATTGATGTGTACACTGCAAACACTTGACTGAAAATTATCATTAAGATCTTAATTCTTAGCTGCTTCAATACCTATGCCATGTTTGCTCATAGCTGAATATTGAACTTTTCACAAGCTTTAATGTAGGAGGCTCAGCTAGTCCATCTGCATAACTTCAATAGGTAAAGGGTCCCAGAACTAGTCTTTCAAAACTCAACCACATGATGGGCTCCATACCACTTCGTTGCAGAGCAGACAAGAAGGATTCTTCACTTTTTGTGCTTGTGTAAATGACCAAAGGGTTTGCTTGATATTTAACTGCATCAGTTATTGAAACCAAAAGACGTTCATAAACTGTAATTCATAACTAGTGAGTAAAGTATGCAGCTTTAAGTCAGTAGGGCTATACAAGGCACAATAATGAAACTAAAGTGGAAAGAGAGAACATATCAATGCTCTCAGTTGCAAGTTTCAATTATGATGCAACATGACACCAAGGAGGAACATATAAACCAAGATAGCATTTGGCTAACATTTTTTTTTATCTTAAAATCTACTTTAAAGTTAAGGTTAAAAATAAGAGCTTTAAATATTATAGTTAAATCTATTTGGCAATTTTTTAATTATTTTAGCTCAAAAGTTACTTATAAGTTAAAATTATCCGGTAGTGTGTTATTGGGCCTTGAGATTTGGAATAGCAAAGGAGAAGAAGAAGGAGATGGAGAAGGAGAAGATCCTATAAATAACTTGACTAAAAGCTCTGTATTCATGTTTTTCTTATTTGGAAAAAAGGACATTTTATGTTTTAGAGCTTTTGTAGAATTGCGTATGGCTCAACTTCCCCTTTTAAGGAGAAGATAAGTCCCAAACAAGCTGGGCAAAACACTATAAAACTGAACTCAAATTCACCAATGAAAAGAAAAGAAATTGTACCCAGATCAATAACTGGAAAACCTTTGTCACCATCATCCCAAACTTCAAGCACAAAAAGTTGGCGAAGGGTTGAATCATAGTAAGATACTCCTATTCTGTAAAGAATGATTTGAGAACTCATCAAATGAAGATTGCAATTTCAATTTCAAGCAGAGATGTTTCCAACTCACTTTTGTTCATTAAAAAAAGAGTAAAGAAAAATGAAGTGTGGAACATATCTAAGAGGAGCAGGCACATTTAGCTGCATATGCCTTTTATAATTATCTAACCATTTTTAGCCTATCCATTTGCACATTACACGTTATATTTAATTTTTAACCTTTGTGAAACAATCTGCCACTCAATTTCAAACATCCTTCCTGCTGCATCATTCTTCACACAATTTCATTCCCAATGCAAGGAAACTTTCATGTGTTTTGCACCAAACAATTTTATGCAAAATTAGTCTGCAATATTGAACAACAGGTACTTGAGCTATGAAAGGAAGCTTACCTGTTACCATTTAGAATGCAAGCCATGTAAACCTGCATGAAGTCCAAAATTTTCAATTAAGAGCAGAGGTTGCAGTTGAGCAAATCTATCAATTCAAGAAAAAAGGTTACAAAACCCAACTACAGGAGTCATGTATGTAGAACCCCTAAAAATTATGTATGAACATATGGTTAAGATATCACTATAAGTCTATAATCAATATTTAACAAATGAAAAGAGAAGCCCCTTCCCGTTAGGCTAATGAGTATCCAGCATCAATCTAATTTAATTTTGCACCCATAAATTTGGTCTTTGTGCGATTGAAGTTATCAGTGATATACCTCATCCTATGACAGGGTTCAATTTAGTTTACTTTATAAAATTTGTTCATCATATAAGACTTAAATCTTAATTTTTCACGTGTGAACTTCTAAAACTGCTTACACAAAACTCATTTATATTATGTAACTTTATTCAACACAAAACCAAATCAACTAAGCACCTCCTAATCAGCATGCAGTGCGTTACAAAACAAAAAACTTGCTACTATCACTGTAGCACAACATAAACACAAACACACACACGCCAACTAACAGGGAACAATTTCTTGCTTAGAAGAAATCACGTCATAAAATTGAAACTCATTCTTTCTTAACTTGTGCATTCTAGTAACTGCTAAGACAGAAGCACACTAAACTGGTGAAGACAAGGTCATGCCTCCATGCTCCAGCCAGTGATGACTTGTAATTGTGACGTCATAAGCTTGAATTCTATTGCTATAACAAATCTAGCTAAATTAACTAGCCACAAAGTTAAAAGTGATTAAAGAATCAAATATCGAAGAGTTACTTTTTCGGAGCTATAAATATGACAATTAAGCATCATCTGGTATCGGGAATGCTTTGACACATTCGATTTGAGTTTCAACTTCAGTTCATCAGTTTAAACGAACACAGAGCGAAACCTACAAACGGATGATGTATTTGTCCAGTTTCTATAAATAAAAAAATTGCAATAATCTCGCTAACCGTAGAGAAAAACGCCGCCATTTAAGTTTTAAACTCGCTGATCTAAAATAGAGTGTGTTGTTCCATTTTCTGATCGCTAATAAAAACTAAATGGATTAGCAGAAACAAAACAATGACGTGTAGTTTGTGGAATTTTCTTCTTCATTTTTCCTTTTATTTTGTCTCGGTGGCCAAACAGTTATACGTGACCAAAATTTCGAGGCAAATCGAATGAAAAATGGACCTGAGGAACGGCATCGATCTCGTCCATGTCCTCCATTTTCAGCGATGTTGATTCTGCGCTACCAAGCAAAACACGTGAATCCAAAATCAAATGCGTGCAGCCACTACAAATCGGGCGCGCAAAAATAAAAATACTCGATATTCTTTATATGGAGGTATAAAATCTAGGCAACTGCCACTTAAACGGCGACGTTTGGTTTTTTAACAAGGTCCCAGTATATTGTAGTACATGGTTCGATGCCAATTTCACTCCTTCGGGCGATATTTGTTTTCATGTACCAAAACGAGAAGCTATTTTTCATATTTTTAATTAAAAAACACATTTTAATAAAATTATGTTATTTAAATAAACTTATACATGTATTTTAGTTATATTTAATGATTTAAAATTTCTATATATTCAATTTAAAAATTTAGTATTTACAAAGTGTCGATTAATTATCTTTCTTCTCTGCACTGTTTCGTTTCTACTAGAAGAAAAAAACATTAAAGGTAAATCTCATAGGTTCATCATCATCATCACTTAATCAAACGAGAAAGATCCATAAAGTTTTCTCACTTTTTCTCTATCTAAATTATCGTTTCTCAAGTTATCCTTCAACCAAATAATGTGTAAATAAAAAAAAAATAAAAGTTCTACCAAGATATAAATTTTTTGACTGCCCTTGCTTTGATTTGGCAAGGCAAAACTTCTTCTGGCATGGTCATAACGTTTGACATAAATTATGTAATTGAAAAAAAAAGTAATAAAAAAATTATTGTAAGTTGATACAGTTTTTTATACATAAAAAAAATAAATATCCCGTTAATTATATCTTAAAAATATATTTTATTTAAAAAATATATCATGATATATTAAAAATACAAAAACATTTTATTACTATTTTTTAAAACAAAAATGCCGGCAAATCTTGCATGACTTTATGTGTGATTTAATGCCCGCCAATTCTGCATGAACCCCCAACTTTATATCTTTGAAAAGGACCCACAAGCATATTCCAAGCCAGTTAGAATTCCCGTCATGGATGCCTTGTCTCTCTCTATGGTCATTTCCTAGTGCATAAAACTGCTTAATATCTAACTCCGATAGTTGATTCAGCAACAAACAAATATGAGAAGTAAGTACATCATACTTTTAATAATTTCTATGGGGTCACATTACGAGGAAGGAAGAAGCTATTATTTGGACTGACATCCTTAAGATAATTTCAAATTAAAACATTCAAAAAATAAATGTTTCATTTGGAATAGATACCCGTAGTTAATTCCGTACGTTGAATGCTGGATATTTAATTTATCGGCCAAGAAAGTCTCGTCTCATTAAATAACAAGTTAGTACTTAAATAGGACCATAGACCATGACTAAACATTTTTATGCAAAACTAATATTATGATTATATATTGTTATAAAATTATAAATATAATATATTAATAGGAGTATTTTAAAAAAAAGTTCATTAATTTTTAGAGTATATTTAAAGGAAATAAAATAATAAATATTCGTTACATAACAATTTACTTTCAAATGTTTAAAATCAACTCTAAGAATTTATATTAATAAAATTTAATTTTTTTATAATAATTCCTGCAAACAAAGTTAATATTCAATTAGGATAATATTAAAATTTTGATTCTCTTCCTAGTTTTGTTTTATATAATTTTAAGTTCAATGTAATTATTCTTTTTTTTATATTTAAAATTTAAAATAAGATATGTTTGGTAAAATATAATTATACTTTAATTAAATGTAAGAGAATTTCTTGTAAGGTATCGTTAAAGAAATTAAAAAATATGTTTTTATTAAAAATGTCTAAAATAGTTAAAAACTTTAAAACACTGTATTAATAATATTTGTTGGTAAAAAATATTTTAAATTCTTTAAATACATTTTAAAAAATAAATTGAAATTTGTTAATAAATAAAATATTAACCTCAATATTTAAAAATGAATCTAAGCAACTAATAATAGGATATTTTATTAAAAATATTTTACATTTGTATGATTTAAATATTATAAATATCTTTTTAATAAAATCATTATTATTTTTTTATGATTATACTATGTCAATTTATTTAACAAAATTATTTATCAATTCAAAAACATTTTAAACTAAAATTTAAAGCAATTGTAGACACATTTTTTCCTCCAATCGCGTCGTTTATGCCATGTCAGATTTGAACGCAGGAAATACAGACCGCCATGAATTTCCAGAAATGAATTTAAGGCCGGCCACTAAGATTTATAATGCATTCGCCACGGACGCATATATAATATTTTAACCTCTTAAACAAAATTAGAAAAATTAAATACCCGTTTTGGAATATTTTAGTGCAGAGAACTGAATTTGTGATCTTCCACTACCATAGGAATTAGGAAGCATCGTTTCATCAGCATAAGCTTCAACTTGTTCTTCTTCTATCTACTCGTCTGTAGTGTAGAGTACAAATACTGGAAACTCTACTCTTCTTCAGCTATGATCACTCGCTATTATTCTCTTCTTAACGCTTCAATCCTCACCTCTCTTCATAGATAGAAAGCGCGTGGCTTAACGTGCTCACCCTGGGCGTAGGAAATGGACGAGCCCACTTTTGTGTCGAAAGCAAGGATCGCCTTCCATTCCGCGGCTGCGAAAGCGGAGCGTGTTCTCATGGACTTCAAATCTGATCGAGGTTCTCCTCACGCCACATCATAACCAATCTCTTTCATTTCCTATTTATAATTTCATTTTCGTTTCATTTTAAATGGATGTGCTTTTCTCTTTTCTTTTATCTTCCTTTTTTCGGGGAGATTTTTAAAAAATAAAATAAAATTATAATAATTGTTTTCGGAATGAGCATTGACTCAATTTGTTGACCGGTGAAGAAGATCACGATAAGCGATCGCCCAGCAGCTTGACCAGGCAATCGGAAATTGAATCTCCTCACAACGAGAACGAGTCGAAGGTAATGGCGACGAGAGTGATTGTTATTTTTCCTGCATCGTTTTTTATTTTTTATTTCTTATTTTTCGAATTTGGAATTGGTAGCAACGTTTAATCCTACCAAGGTTGAATTGGTTTTTGTTTTGTTGCGTTTTTGGTTTTTTTGGTTTTTCCCTAATTTGTTGCGTTGGAGTGTGGTGTTAATGTACGCTCTTCCGGGAAATTAATTTGGTTGAGCAAACGAAAGTATATTTGTTTGTTTCGTTAGGATTAGGGTCTAATTAAAGGTTATATAATATGGGGGAAGGGAAATTCAGATTGCGGTGTTGAGATTGGATGGGTACAAATATTTTATTTAGTGAATCTAATGAACTCTGTTTCTTATTTGGTTTATTTCCTTGATGTCCTTCCTCAGAATTAATTCGGAATCCAAGCTAAGCATGGAGATGATTTACCTATTTTGTTCATAGTTAATTGTTACAATATTGCGGGAGTCTTGCAAAGTGGAAAAGTTATAATCCAAAGTGTGTTCTGGCGTAAAGATGATTAATATATATTTCTTATGTTTGTTTGTGTTTATGTTTAGGTATTTATTAAGCAACATTTGTTCTGTAGTGAGTTGTAATTACTTATGCAGTTGGTCTTTGTATTGGTATGGTGCAGCTTCGCAGTGAATTGAAGCATATAAAGTGGAGGCCTCCACATATAGGAATAAAGCAGGATTGGCAAGATAGAATTAAGAACATTCGGATAGGGAGAAAAGAAGTTGAAAATCAAAATACAGATAAAGTTGGGGATGCAAACATGGCAATTCATTTTTATGATGAAAATTTGTACATTCTGAATATGAAGAATGATCTTGAGGCCAAGGTAAGAAAATCTTGAGCATTTTAACTCAACGATTTATCTTCCAATTGTACACAGATAATTGAAGTTTCTAGACCAGGCAGTTATGCCAGGATATTAGCAAAATCTGATAATGTATGCCGACCATGAACATATTGTATTTCAAAATAGTCCATGTCAGACTGTGTCATGTCATCAGTCATCATCTTTGACTACTAAGTTAATATGAAAGAGAGAAATGCATGGTATGCCTGTGACGAATTGGTAATGCCTTCTTATTAAGAATCTCATGGTTTGTCTGTGATGCAACTGGGATTTTCTTATTGATTTCTCAATTCAATTATGCACAAATGGGTATAGGTTGCTGTAATGATATATGAATGAAAACTTTGATTCAGGCTTCGGATACAATTCCCTCAGTTGAAGGCCTAACTGATGCAACTAAACATCCCATTCCTCCGTCATCTGTGCTGAAACAATTGGCAATAGCTGTCGAGTAAGTTGTGATTGTTTTTGCACATTTTTCCTTTTGTTGCCTCTTTTTCTGGTTGCTTTCTGTAAACTACTCAAAGGTTCTATACTTCTATTTAATGTTATCACATTCTATATCTTTGGTTTCTAAATTCCCTGTCTCTATTTAGCACTTATTTGTTGAAAGCAATGCAAGTTTTTATAGTTCAACAACATCAGAATCTTGTTCTATCATTCAGAAAGATTTTCAGCTCAACAAAACATCTAGCCCCTCCCTTAAAATTTTTGGACCTTTTGACTAGGGCTGGAAGTAAAACAAAGTCGATGAAAGATTTTCTAGCTTCATCAGCAGGTTCTTCGCCTGCCAAAGAGAGGGCAGGCTTAAGTCTCTCTGCTGTTAGGGCTTTAGTGCTGCGTGAAAAGGCGGACAAACTTACCTCTGAGTTTAGTAGCGATGAAAGAGTTGTACATTTGATTAATACTCTGTTTGATCCAGGTATGTGAATTATAGGTGGCTTGCTGAGGACATAATTATGTTAGAGAACCTTTTTATGCTTGTCTTTTTCTCTTACAAATTATCCCATGATGATCTTTCACTTTCGTTGTAATATTTGCAAGATATTCGCAGAGGGAGATTTCCTTAGAAGGAAGATCAACTCTAATCCAGAGGAAACTGCCATGACATCTTTGCCAAGAGATATTCATGGTTCTCCTCCCGAAAGCCTTGTTGTTAAGCTAGCTGAAATCATTGGAAACTACAAGTCTCTTCGAAAAATGGCACTTTTCTGGCACAGAGTTGTTGCTGAAGTATGTGTAACTTGAGAAGAACTTCTACTTCTGATATCACATAAACACCTTATTAATAGCCTTGAAATCTTGATTTACTTTACAGTTTTACGCTAGTGATCATGTTTGCTACTATATATAAACTATTATCTCAAGGAACCGTCTGTTTAAAGTGCTTACAATCTTAGTAATAGAGTGAATCATCATTACTAGATTAATAGCTTCATCTTAGATCATATCATTTGGACAATAAATTAAGAAGAAAGATGAATCAATGCCATATTGAGAAATGTTTTATTCTTGTCTTCTTGTTTTGATTTTAAGGGTGGAGTACGGATTCTTTCCCCTTCCTGTTATATTTTATTTAATTCCGTTCTAACTAAAAGAAGTCTGCATCCTGTTAACCTCCCCTTTCTTTTTGCAAAGAAATAAAGCAAGTGCAGAAAAGCAGCAAGTTTTTCATAGTGTGTTATTGGAAACTTGAAGGCTTTCATAAACAACTCAATCCTATGTATTCTGTAAAGTTGTTTGCCTTTATTTTTTTTTCTCTTACTTTTTTCTGCTCAAATCTGCTTGTCCATGAAAGAAAAGAAATAACTATATCTGGTTTAGCATCAAACTTAACTAGGATCAGTAATATTACTTTTCCTTCATAATTACCTGCTGAAGAAAAGTATTTTGAATTATTTATTTATTGATGCAGCTAAGAAAACATTGGTCTGAGGATCAACACTTGCCTGGAGTCCCCCAGCATGAGATTCCAGATCTGAAGTCATGTCTTCTGTATCAACAATTTCAAGTAATTAATTGTTGCATCTCTCGGAAAACGCTCCGTTTTATTGCCACTGAATCTCTAGACTCTATGATGATGCAAGCTAATTCAAACAGAAAAGAATCAACTGATTCTTATGGTGAAGCTCCTGCTACCCCTGTTCTATATGCTAGGGTAAATAGTGGGGAGCTTGTTCTTCGACTTGGTGCAGATTACCCAGCTGGAGATGTGACATTGTTGGAAACTGGCGAGCCTGTGTATTCTCCCGTTACCCAGGTTTGATAAAATATTTATTTTTGCTATATAATTACAATTTAAACTTACTCTTATTACTCTCATGAGATCTTCAAAACCATTTTATGCAGGAAGGACCTTTGCTTACAGAAGATCTAATCAAGGAAACAGAGGAGTTTGTGCTGAGGACTGGGAGGTTTGTACGCTATCTGAGATTCATCTTTGATCCTGTCTGTTATCTTAAATCTAAATCCATTTATGGTATATATGCTGTACAAATCTCCATTTGCTGTTTTATATCACAAATCTTGTGATTAAATAACCAAGCTCATCTTGCTTCTTGGGCTCTTCAGTTCTCGTTAAATGTATTCCTTGAATTGTTTGGCATGATCTTACTTTAACCCATGAGTATTTCCTATTGATTCATATAAGGACCAAGGTCTGTGACTGTGAATCTGAAGCCTGAACTGTGACCTGTGTCTTCTTTGATCTGCTTTTTGAATAATTTCTGGAATTTGAATTGATGAACTAGTTGATCAACCAAGCTTTCACAGAATGCTATTTTGTAATACATTGATGATCATATATCTGTTTCTCATGTGGGTAATATGCAAATGCTAGCTCTATTTAACTGCATATGTGCATCGGTTATGTAATAGCTTATAGTTAGCATCAGTTATGCATTTCATGATTACTAACTTATCTTTTATGGTTAGTGTTGGTGCTGGGTGCTCGCAACTGCTCTCAGATATGCAGGCTTTCAAGGTCTGGCTCTCCCTTGGAGGGAACTTTTCTTACTGATATCTGAATGCTTTTTACTATTTTGAATGTGCCCAATGTTTTGGCTGAGCTAGTTGTTTCTTATCCTATTTTAGGCTGCAAATCCCGGGTGTATTTTGGAGGATTTTGTAAGATGGCACTCTCCTCCTGATTGGACAGATAATGAGGCAAGTATTGAGGATAGTGATTCTTTTGATGGGGGTGAGCCATTGTCTGCCAAAGGTCAGCTAAGTCGGAGAATGCAAAAAGAAGGTGTACTAACAGGCTTTTCCATCCTAGATTGATACTTAAATTCTGATGCAACCCAATTTTGTGGCCTTTTTTCTTGTCAATGGACTATCAGCGTCTGATATAATTGTGGATATTCTTTGCTTGAAACAAATCATATGGTAAAGTTTATGCAGATAGGTTAAACTTGAGTGATGTCTTAGTTTTATTATATAACACACGTAACATGCAAGAAAAATAGGAATTGTTGAGCACTTGTGTTCGATTTCATATTAGAGGACTTCTCTGAATTTCATCGCACATTGATGATAGGTAATTTGTGGCGTGAATTGTGGGAAACATCTAAACCAGTACCTGCTGTTAAGCAGGCACCTCTCTTTGATGAAGATTTGGCAGTGTAAGTCCAAATAAACATTTTTTATATTAGTTGTTATATAACCCCCTCCCCCTTCCCCCATTCCATCCCTTGAATCTCATGTTACATTCGTTTATAGGGAGGGCATCCTCAATGAATTTGAGGACATCAATCCTTCTGAGCTTTTTGGACAGCTGTTTGTTTCTTTAGTAAGTTCTTTATTTTATCTCTATCGCATTAGTTACTTTTGTTGAGTATAAATAGTTGTCATTTGTCATTACATAATGGATATATAAAGTATTAATATCAGTACTCATATATTGAGTACATTATTTTTGTTTAAAAATTATATTTACTTGTTTATTTCTTGGAGTCTGGTGACTGAATCTATAAAGCAGATTGTAGAATATAGTGTAGACTGAAGTCCATGAAGGTGCTGATCAAGAGCTAAACAGTATTCCTGTAAAGTAGGTCACAGGAGAGAATGTATAGCTATCTAAGCATTTATGTGATCTTAGATTATTGAGTAAACCCCTATTCTAATTCTTAAAATTGTAAGTGTTTATTAATTTATAGTGTTATTGTTAAAAATATGGTGTTTTAGTTTTAGGTGTAGAGTGAGAGAAAAGAAATTGAAACCTGCCTCTAATATAAGGCAACTTGTTGTCTATACTGGTGGTTGAAAGAACCTTAGATAAAAATATTACCTGTAATGTCGGTCGCCTGAGTGAATGTATTGCTCTCTGGCCATTTTATGAAAGCACAGAATGATGAGGCTGGGATTCCAATTGATCATGTCCGCAAGTCCATTCATAAAACCTTCCTAAAGCTCTAATATACAAGGCAGCAACATATTATCTATGCTGGATTTGAAAGAATTTTAGATAGCACAATATTACTCTTTTAACATATGCATGCTTGCACTTTTGCATTCCAGACATTCCTGTGAATCCATTATCAATAGGACAATAGTGTGTATGGTAGAACATGCTTCTTAGAGTGATTTCTGAGGCACTCACTAATATGATAAGCAAACAATACTCATCTCCTCTGCTTGATTAGGAATTATATGTTCTTTCAAATGTAAGAGCATATGCGTTAGTGCTCTGTTGAAAACAGAAATTTATTGCCCATCTGTGAGGAATCTTGAAAAGTGACCTTGTGGAAAAGTGACTTTATGACTTAAATTTTCTTAAGGAATCTTAGAAATAGTTGCAAAGTCAGGGCAGATATTTTGGATAAATTATCCAGTTAAAGTGATTGGACATTTCACAAGAAGCATATCATGCATTTTTAAGTTCTCCCTGATCTACTATTAATGCTTATTTCACTTGATAAAAATGCCCATCTTTATCCCTAATTTGTGTCGATATTTTTAATAAAAAAGTAACACTTCTAATGCATTTGTTAGTATAAATACTTCAATTTTTGGGTTTTGACCAGGTTTGAACTGTATTAGCATTAGTCAGATGTCCATTGTGATGTGTGGGTCCAAGATCAAAATTTATATGTTTTGAAAAAGAGAGAAGGAAAACAAGAAAAGTGTACAAAGTACAAACATACATATCATCTGCCAGTATGAATTTAAAAGAGAGGAAATGGTATTACTTTTAATATTTTTCTGTGTAAAGAGGGGGAGGGCTTTCTTCGTTACATAGGACTAATAACCTGTGTAAATCAAAGAAGAGTGATATAGCCCTCACTGGAATCATTGTACTGTTTATTAAATACCATATTTAAATATAGTCTTCCTTTTTCCCTACAGAAGAAAATGTATAGTAAACATTTAATAAGACATTGTTTCTGATCAAAATTAAAATACAGACTTCAATAGCTTTGGCTGTTAAAGTTTTATGAAGATTATAGCATTTGCTCTTTTGTTTCACCGATTTTTGTTGAAAGAATTATAATTGTTCTTAGTTTTAATTATTTTAGATTTTTTATAACTACATAAGGTTTTTTTTTTTTTCAAAAATATTGGCTAATTGATGAACTATCCTCATACATAATCCCGTAATTTTGTAAAGTTCTTTATGGAAGTTTAGCTTGTTCTTTCTTTCTTCTTTGAATGAGTGGATTAGATTTCATTGATATATTTCAATGCTTTTGGCATTTTTATGCCCTTCTAATCATAACCTTTGGTTTTAATTATATAGCTTGGTTTAGGATTTGCAATTGCTGAACCTATGCTGTCTAGAAATGGTGACTTCTCGAAGTTATTCTATGACTGCAAGGAGTACTTAGTTGCCACATGTCAAAGCAACAAATTAAATGAGAAAGTTGATGATCTTGTTCAGGTGCGTATTCTTAGACCAAGTAACTATGATGAAATTATATAGCATCTCCCCAAATCCTTGTGAAGCCCTTTATCTTGATTTATACCTTAATACAATGGTCAGTACGACAACACCCAGTGGAGAAAATTCTTGCTTTATCCACCTATTTGATGAGTCATTCCCTATATAAATAATAAATAAATAAATAAACTTATAAAACAGAGTCTTGAGAAGAAAAGGAACACTTCAGGACTATCACATTGACTGAAACTTATACCTTTATCAAAGCCCCCAGGAGGCCTGGACTATTTAATTTGCTTTTTTTTAGCATGCAAGCTCGTCGAGCAAGACAAACTACCCGTGAGCCCACGGGGATGAAAAATGTACTCTGGAAATGCAAATGATAATAATATTGGGTGTAGTTGATTGTTATCTGCAACTATTTTATAATAATATTATTCAATAGAGAATTAAATGGTCACGTCCCCGTGAAGGTATATGAAACAGTGGAGACAATGTTACTGAATCCCGACGAAGCACAAAAGATGATTAAGCAGACAGAAGAATTAACTATGATTACTGGTGAACCAAAGAGCCGGTTTAAGAGCCTAAGCCTTATCTTTGGTGGCAAAGATAAACTGTTGAAAAAGTCTGCCTCAAAAGATCGGATATACGATGAAATAAAGCCTTGTCGGCAATCTATCAAGTTTCATTGACAGCTTCAAAGAATCCTCCCAAGTCTGAATGCTCATCCCCGTTTGAGAAACCTTCTCTAGAGACTGGTTGGAGAGTTGTTTAGACAAATTTCATCTTCACCGTTTTTAATTAAGGATAAGCAATATTTTTTTGAGTTCCCCCTCCCCCTGCAGATAACTGTAAATTTTCTTTATTCTTTTTCCAAATACTTGCTTGCTGAATTCTGTAGCAAATATTTCATTGGGAATTGAAGATATAGCATATTTGTTTTCTCTCCAGTTTGCCACCAGTTTTTTACCCCTTTTTTTGTATGTTATTCTTTATGGGGCGTGTGAAATAGGTAGAAGGAAGCGAAATGAAAAGAGAGGGAGAGGGAGGGAGAGAAATGTGATGAGAGATGTGATAGAAGTAAAAGAGATAAAAAAAAATGTAAGAGAAATATAAGAAAAAGTGGGTATGAAAAAAAAAATTCCTTTGTTCTTACAATCTACACTTGCATTCAATCGGGTGGTGTTGGGGTATTTTTCAGAATAACACTATCACTTGACAATTCTCTGTAGGAACCCTGATCCTATCATGGTTGACTGGCTACGATGTTCTTGATAAAACAAACAAATATATAAAATATATAATCTAATGGACATAAAATGACAGTTTTCATGCTTGCTTTCATTGATAGTTTTTGGTCTGAAAGTATCACTAATGATAAATTTTGTCAGTACAAAAAAATTACGTATATTTATCAAATTTCAATTTATCGTATGGTTAGTTTAGAGTCACAATCCCTAATAACTAAGTTAACTTTTATTGGATAAAGAGTATACTAATGCAATATTTACTTACGAAAATATTTGTTTATTAAGATAGAAATCCCGCCGAAGCAAGGGCAGGAACAATTTGGTTTCATGAAATTGTAATCGCTACCAAGTCTAGAATAGCTGATACCGTACGTAATAAGGGCCAACACAAATGACTCTGGGTAATGTTTTTGTAATCTGAAGGCAAACAAAAGACAAATTCAAACAACTATGCAGTATGGGTGAAGCATGGTAAGCTCAATTCTCACATTTTAGTAATCCTGTTTCTTCCTTGGCTGTAGCTGTCTATTCATCTTCTTCTGTTTCATCTCCATCATCAATTTCCTGGTCTTCGTTCGAGTTATCATATCCGAAAGACTTGGTAAGGAAACCTGGCACGACAAAATTCCCTACGAAGTACACTAATAGAAGCACAGCACTGCAAATAATGTACAAAGAATATTTGAGAAAAACTGTGTTATTAAAGTTTGCAGTAAGGTTAAGCTTAGTGTCAAATTGATATATTAAGGGAAAGAAAGAAATTGGACCTTATTGGAAGCAAGGTGGATATGTCACCGGATTTGGCTGGGGGGGTAATAGCATTAGCAACGACTACACAATGTGAGAGTGCCTTGGTACTCAATGAGCTTGCTGAAGGGAGGTGATGGCCCCGTGGAGGTTGGTGGGTGGTAGAAAGCCAAAATAATTGGGTCTTCTGCATGATATGATGTAGCTTGGGTTTGTGTTTTGCATGCAAGGAATGGGAAAGCAATGAAGATTGGAGCTGGATGCACCTCATGTGCTTGTTCACTTTGCTCTTTCAGGATGATTGTTTTGATTCACCGTGTTCCCCCAGCCAGCCCCTGTTTGCTTGGGATAATGTTTGGGAGGTTATATTTTAGTAAATATGTCATCCTTACAGTTTGGACATTTGTTGGGGACAGTTTTAGGGCCTTCCTTATTACTCCTACAATCTGAGGCCCAAGTTTTCGAATATCCATATTATTCAACATTTGAAATTTCTGTTGACCAAAAAACACATTTTTAAATTTCATCAACATTATACTACAAATTTAAATATAACAACAAAAATTATCACAATTTAACAATGCCTAGTTATTTATCAAAGCAAATATCAGTTGAATTGATAAAGTTCATTTTTAATACAAAATTATTGATAGCATTAGTTTAAAATGTTGATAGGATTTCGATTTCCAGTCACGTAAACGGGAATAATTGGAAAAATGCTCTTGTATTATTTTTAAAAAATTGTATAATTACAGTAGTCCCCGTTTTAAGAGCATACAAATTATAAATCTAAATTATGTAATTATACAAAAACAATAATTAGTAACTGATTAAATAAATATTTTAAAAGATTTAAAATTTTAACTATTTAAATGAAATTTAATCATTTATATTTATTTTAAAAAAATTCAATATCTTAAAGATAATGATCATTAAAAATATTATTTATACAAACTTACCATAATTTCTAAAAAAATAATATTTTCTAAAAAAATAACAGAATCTTTGATATTTTAACAATATTATTTTTAATTTTTTATAATAACAAAATATTTTCACCTTAATTATTCCTTATTACATATTCAAATGCGAGGAAAATAATTTTTCTTATAATAGGAAAAAAAATATTTAAAAGATGCGGTGTTTGACCTTGAAAATATACAAGACAATAACGAAAAAATAGGGAAACTAGACATTAGAAAAGCAATGATAGAGAGAGAAAAGTAAAATATATATTCCTGTTCAGAATTCGTAGGCGGCGATCTCCTCTGTCTCCGTTCCACCATCAACCCTACCTTTCGATCTGCGTTTCGCACTCAGGTTCTTCTCTCTTCACTCTCTCTTTTTCCATCGTTCCTTCTATCCTCTCAGTTTCACTCTCTGGTTCATGATGAACTTGCATTCCTATTATTTCCCAGCATATTTTTTAAATCTGCATCTAGAACACTTGAATCAGGTGGATTCATCAGAATTACTGTATTGTTGTTATTATTATTGTTGTTTTGAAGAGAAATAGATCGGTGGCGTTACCTATGCATGCATTTTCTGTTATTTCTCGGTGTAGTATTACTGAAATTGTTATCTGTTGAATTAGGTCTGAATTTGGAAAGAAGAGATACCTACCAGCTTGATCATGTTTGGCGTCATAAGGCGAAGGGTTGCTTCTGGCAACCCATCTCCTTTGGTGAGAGCTTGGTCTTACTAATCATTTATGATGAATTTTGAATTTGAATGTGCGTGTTTTGATTAATGGATTAGAGTTAAGTTTAAGGGAGCCTCAATTCTGCTTTACTCTTGTTTCAGTTTCTAGGTCAGTCAGTTCATAAGATCTGGTCTGGCCCATCAGTTCCTGCTAGAGTTTCTTCCATTTTGGAAAAAGAGGTAGTTTTCTTAATTTTCTGCACCCAACTTTCGTAATATGATTTTTTTCTTGTTATAACGTAGTTATGATTATCCAGCTGTTCAGTGCACTACCTGTGCAAAAAAAAAATTATTCTTGGGATATTTGTTTAGTGCACTACCTGTGCAAAAAAAATGTTCAATTACTGGGTCCTTGGTCGCAACTTCCTAATCTTGCTTAGTGGCTGTAATTGTTTCTTATGAAATTTCTTTCTTAAGCTGAAATAATTTTGATGGTTATATGGTGCATTTCATTTTCTAACTTTTTTAAGTTGAAAATAATGCATGCATCTATAAATTCTGGATTTTTCATCAGTTTGAAAAGAAATTGATCATGGTGTTTGGACTGACTGCTTAGTTTATAGACTAAACATATAAATTTCCTGGGATAATCTTCTTTAGTTTGGAGGATGTGTTATTATCTTTATTCCCTTTTACTCTCTCCTCTCTATTGAGCTCCTCCCTCTAAAATTGATTTCTTGAACCTACATGCTTTTGTCATTTATCTTTCTGCGATGAAGTGTTACCTATGGTCTTCATCGTTGTAGAGGCTTGCAATTTACTTATTAGTGATATACTTTGGAAGTTCTTACAACTATTTTTTATTATGTTTAACAGATTGCATTTCATTCAGGAGGATGTGGAAACCTCAGGAATTTCTGTCACATAACACCTGGTAATTTTGCTTATTTTTTTAATTGTTTAGGTGTGATTGACTTGAATGATTTCTGCAATTTTGTAATTTGTCATCAAATTTGTTGTTGTTGCAGGATGCTGGATTAATTCAAAGCCTATGAGGTTAGTGACACCATTTTCTAGTCCTAGGCTTTGTTTAAGTATTGCCTTAGTATTCTGTTTGTGTAAAAAAGGTTGGCTCAGAAATAGAAACACAAATTAGTAAGGGGCACTTGGTTAAAAAGTATTGGCTTTCCTTAATTTTTTCCTTGAAAATAACAAATACACCTGAAAGAGTGCTTGTAGTTACAGAAATGTTTAAAATAAGCTGGAGTCTGGAAACATAAGATCAAACACTCCAATCAGACCATGAAGTGTTAGAATTAGGTTCAAAGGTTTCATAAATTTTCTTATAGTTTAAATTAACAGCTACGATGAAAATAAAATTAAAAAATAGAAACATTTTCTGTTTCCCAATCAACCAGGATTTTCAAGGGGGGAAAAAGGAATGAGATGGTAATGAAAAAAGAGTGTACAAAAATGAAAAAAATGATTTTTTTTATAAGCTTAGTCCAGTCCTAAATCTTAGTTGTGACAAATTTGGTTTTAAGATTTAGTGATTCCCTTGCCTTTGTTCAGTTTTTCTAGTTGCAAGATTTACACTTCTTCTTATATGTTGCTATTGCTAGCTTATGCACATAAAACATTCATATCACATATTCATTTTCCTATAAAAACCAAGTATTTAAATTTTTTGGTGTTAATAAGGGCATTAGAAGTTACAGAGATATTAGTTGAAACAGCATTTTTAAAGGAAAAAAAGGAAGCATAAGAACTCAATGATGCACTATGCATTCTTCTAGTTTTGTATGTAGTCAATCTAACCCTGTTGATGGTTTTTTTACAGACAATTTGGGGTGCAGTAACAACAGATTTTTAATTAATGAGTGAATGCATAGTTATCAATAATGGGCTGTAGTGGTATTATAGTAGCGTGCTTTCAAATAGTTGCTACAGTTGCCACAATTGAGGCAAAAATAGTGGCCCTAGTGGCACTATAGGAGTGCTAAAGTGAAATTTTCTACAAGTAACCATTTTTGCACTGCAAACAATATTGTTGTGGGACATTTTTTCAGGGGCAACATTGATTTTTACATTCCCCTTTTCAGAACTTAAAAAATCCCTAATTGGATGTAGATCTTCACACTTCTGAGTCTATCTACCATGCAACACCTACACTTCAGCCAGAAACATCATTTTGTTTTTTTCTTTTACTTTTATTGATATTTTTTTGTATGTTTTGCTTAAGACCTATGAGCTTTTTATTTTTTATGATGAATATTTCATGAATTTTTAGGAATTTTTTTAAAAAATTTAGCATTTATATGTATATAGTATAATTTGTTTAATTGTATATACTATTTCTAAGTAGTGGTTATTCCATTATGTGCTATTTTGCTGTAGTACTTATGGGGTCAGTCGCTACACAATGCTATCCTAGATTGATAACTATGAATGACTAAATGGAAGGAGTTACTGTTCTGATCGTCAATGATACTGTTCTGATATTGCCTTATTGCTATGTAGGGAGCATTTTCATCAGGATGCTACCATGCAAACATGGAGGCGTCCATTTTCTTCAGAAAGTGGTGAGATATTGATATGCTTATCAATTTTCTAGCATTGAAGTTACTTCTATTATTGAAGTTTATTTTATTCATGAAGGATAACTGCACACAGCTTATCATAAAATGTTTTAAATCTTTGAAAGAGGATACAAAATCCATGGTTATGATAGAATATTGCATGTCTGTAATTTCTGAAATTACAGAATTATATTGTTTCTTTGAATTGTTTGAAAAGATGGAACACATGTAGGAAGATTCAGTATGGTTGCAAATGCAATGAGTGGCAATTCTTGGGGTCACTGATGTGATCATGGTTTTGTAATATCGTGTACATTCTAAATGACTAAATATTTTATTTGAAATTTTTCTTTTGTATTTTCTTTGCATTATGTGAATTTAGTTTATATGTAGGAATTGGTGAATGTTCTAAAATGCATTTTCAGTGTATCACTTTAGTGAAAGACTAGAGTCTAGGTTGTAATTGTAAGACCAAATTTAGTCTCCCTATGAAGGGTAATGTATTATTAATGTGACTTCCATTTCTCTGGCATTTATGTTGTTTAATTCACCTGTCTTTTTTTTGGGTTTTGATTGATAATATCTTTAAGATACCAAACGTTATTTATATTTGTGATAAAGGAGATACGGTTGATGTTGTGGTCCCTCCTTTGGCTGAATCTATTGCTGATGGAACTCTGGCAAAATTTTTGAAGAGTATGTTAACCAACTTATTGCTTATGTTTTCGTTTTCATCTGCTTAAATTGTTATTTTCAATGATTATTGGTGATTTGACTGTCATGTTTTGATGTATTGGGAGCAGGGCCTGGTGACAGAGTTAATGTTGATGAACCAATTGCTCAAATTGAAACAGATAAGGTGCTATATCAAAACAACATGCAAATGTTTTTAAGGACTTTGATGGGTATAATTAACGCTGTACCTTTTTCCTTATTCCTTAATTAGGTGACCATTGATGTTTCAAGTCCCGAGTCAGGTGTGATTGTGAAGGTACTATGAACTATTTCATAGGTTTGAATTGTTTTGAATTCCCCCAACCCCCAAATGATAAAAAGATTACTATTCTCTTTTTCTTTTATTAAATTTGGCTTGTGTGATCTATTTAATGATTTGCAGCTTCTAGCAAGTGAAGGGGATACTGTTGAGCCAGGTAACAAGATAGCAATCATTTCAAGGTCTGCTGATGCTACTCATGTTGCCCCATCTGAGACTACATCTGGGAAAGCTGCTCCTCAGTCTGAGAAAGCTGCTCCTCAGTCGACCCCTCAAAAGATTAGTGAGGAGAAGAAGGCAACCAGAGTTGAAGCTGCTCCTACTGCAGAGAAACCCAAAGCTCCTCCTGCTTCACGGAGCTCACCCACCGAGCCCCAGCTTCCCCCTAAGGAAAGAGAAAGACGAGTGAGTCTGTAATTTTGTGATTTTTATTCCTACCTGACTTATGTTTAGCAATCATGAATGTTCTTTTGATGTCTTCCTTCATTCTCAAAGGTTCCAATGACAAGGCTTCGGAAACGAGTTGCTACACGGTTGAAAGATTCCCAGAACACATTTGCTATGCTGACCACCTTCAATGAAGTTGATATGTAAGTTTTGTTGATTGTCAAATTTTAGCAGAAGCTTTGAACATTGTCTTGAGCTTTGGTTGTTTTTTTTATGTGTATAAATATTCCTAATTATACACTATTTGGTGATGGTCCTAATTGAATACACTACTCTAAATTTATGTATTATTGGAGAGTCACGGTGTTTCTGTTAATTTCATGGTCATTGTTAGATCCACAATACCTGTTATGTATTCCATCAAATTATTCATACCCTAGTGGATGCGCATTTCTTATTTTTGTTCTTTAGATGGAGCCGTGAGGCATTGCATACATACAGGTTGCTAGTTTGTATGTAATTTTGCATTATGCCGCTCTGCTAGTTTGTACATCATAACACCAGTATCATGGCATTGATGAAGGAATTCAATTATTATGTAGACAAAACATAATAGAAAAGGGTGACTCCATTTGTTTAATTATCGATTATTGATTGTGTTTCCTGTCATGTTTTTATATAGTGGATTACCTTTGTCACTCTCTCCTTGATTTTGCTGCTCTTAATGATAGGACTAATTTGATGAAGCTCCGTGCTGATTATAAGGATGCTTTTGTTGAAAAGCATGGAGTCAAATTGGGACTTATGTCTGGGTTTGTCAAAGTATGTTTTCAAATTAATGAAATTTAGACTAACTGGGCCATCTCTTTTTATTTCCTCATATATTTTATTTGGTCTCCATGTTAGGCTGCTGTCAATGCACTCCAGTATCAGCCAATCGTAAATGCTGTTATTGATGGGGATGATATTATATACAGAGATTATATTGATATCAGCATAGCTGTTGGTACCCCAAAGGTTTTTATCAGTCACCTTTACCTTGTCTCATTTACTTTGTTTTATTATGTAGAAAAATGGTTGCGGTTGAAATTTGGTAATGTACTCTTTTTGAAATTTAACCATTTCTGGTTGACTTCTGTCAATTACTGTCTTGGCTTGGTCAGCATGATTTTAAGGGTTGGATTACGGAGCTTATTAAAAAGTAATGAAGTATATATAAAAGAAAATTATCTATGTGCTTGTTGTGTTTGGCCAAATATCAACCTTCAATTGCTTTCACAGGGCCTTGTTGTGCCAGTTATCCGCAACGCTGATACCATGAACTTTGCTGATATAGAAAAGCAGATCAATGCTTTTGCAAAGAAGGCAAATGAAGGAACTTTATCAATTGATGAGATGGCTGGAGGCACTCTTACAATATCCAATGGTGGTGTTTATGGAAGCCTTTTGAGTACCCCTATCATCAACCCCCCCCAGGTTTGGAAGTTCTACTAAGTTAACGGTTATTATAATTTTTACTTTAATTTTTTAAAACATTCTTTGATATATTTAGCTTTAAAGTTGTTTCTCTTTCTTAATATGATAGTAGTTAATCATTTAATGCTTTCTTTCGTCAAAAGAATCCCACGGGTTATGTTTGATGACAAGAAGTGGAAACAAACAGGGACCTCTGAACATAACTATTTTTGTCACCAATAACTACTCAAAATGCTATTTGTTTCCACAGAAGGATCAGTGTAATTCAAAATATATATTCTGATCTAATCCCTGTGCTAGTAGTTGAATTTGGATAATTGTTTTTTAAATGATTCATAACAATTGTGAACAATTTGTACGATAAAATTTGAAACTATCATTTTGAAAGAAAACTCATGCAGTTATTGTTTTTGGCAGTCGGCAATCTTGGGTATGCATTCCATAGTGAGCCGTCCAATGGTTGTTGGAGGAAATATTGTCCCAAGGCCAATGATGTATGTTGCTCTAACATATGACCATAGAATAATTGATGGAAGAGAGGCAGTATTCTTCCTGCGACGCATCAAAGATATTGTGGAGGATCCTCGCAGGCTTCTGCTTGACATATGAAGTGAACCTCTGCTTTACTGGAGTAAATTAAAACCCAAAATTCAAATACCATAATGGGTACCCTTTTGTTTGTCTCTTGAATTGCGGCTGCCCGTAATTTTTAATTTGTAATGAGCAAACGATTTAGGATCCTATCCCAATTTCTGTCTTATATTAATTCGGTATACTTCTGTTTTTGCAACCCACTATTCCTCTCATTTAACATGAAGAGGGTCAGTTTTTGGCTCAGAAATTGTATGAAACGACTATAAACTTTATTGTAGGGATTGCCCCTGAAGTAATAATGCGATTTCTTTACTTGGTATTACTTTGTCGCGAACGAGGTTTTCAGATGCATCTTATCAATTGCTATCCTGAGTCAGATTGGATGCAAGGATGTGTAGATAATCATAAGGGATAAAAATGTAGCCAAATTTATTCGTGTGTAGATTGGATGCATCTTACACTGTCGTAATTAAATTACTGTTAGAATTCCTGTGTTCTTTGGTGCTACGTGCTAGGTGAAATGCAGTGTCATGCGTAGTTGATTCCTAGATTTTCTTTCTTTTTAATGGATCCAGTAGCGGTAGTTGTCTAGGCAGGTGCGAATTTTTGAACTCATGGGAGATCGAACTTCTACCTTTGCTGGTGCTGGAAAACACCAACACAAGTCATTGTTTAACGCTCTACTGTAAATGTGGATAATGCTATTTTCATCATTTTTATAAAATTTTTACAATTTATTTTTCTCTCTCAATCATATCACTTTATCTCACCTTTTCTCTTCTGCCTTATCTCTTGAATGCACTTAAAAATTTCTTATTTAAAAATATACGAGTGTAGATATTTAAATATCCATCCTTGTTAATTTTTATAAATAATTATTTAATCCCAATGATCGTGTCTCAAAAATTTATATAAAAAAAAGTATAAAAAATAAATAAAATTTTTTATAAGTTATAATTAATTTATATTTTCTTTTTTTAGAGGTTTCGAGAAACTCTCTTATTTAGTTTTTTTAAAATGTAAAGATATAATTTTATTTTTTTTTCACATAGATACTTCTGTGTAAGTTCATCTAGATTGCCTGTATCGAATCCGAGTTGGTTCTTACGGAGCCAATAAGGTTTGGTACTAGAGAAAAAAAAATAAATATGGTATCCCTTGCCACTCACAGGAACCGAAAAACTTCTGCATTTATGAGCCTCGACACGTAGCAATGGTTTCTTCCGAGGACGGAGAGTCCACGGTAAGATTTGCGAGGTTCCTCAAACCATAAGCCTCCAAGTTCCCACATTCCCATGGGGTGAAGCCACCCGCACTCTCGAAGGTGTCATGATTCTTGTTGGGTTTTCAGTTCTTGGGGACCCTTTCACTCTTTCACTCTTTCTCTCCCTCATGATTTGCTTCCAATGGAAGCCAAATTGATTGAACTTGATCGGAAAATGTGTAGAACAAAGTCCTAGAAAGCAGACCAGCAGAGTTGGATGAAGTTCTTCATGAAGGAGAGTGAAAGATACGAGCTTGAGCATGTGGGTTTTCTTTCCCTGTGGTTGTCAAGGTTTGTGTTTCCCTCTCTTCCTGACCACAACCCAGGAACGCGTGTTTTCCCGGTGGCACAAATTGAACTCACATGAAGCTAGTGTCTCATTCGTTTTTCCTACTTTGAAATCAGGTGATAGTTTTCAGTGGCGTCCTTTTGCTGCTGATTTGAAAATTTGGTGCTTTGTGTCCCATTAGAAAGACAATGAACAGTTTGTTGTTGATGGTTCAAATTCAGTGGAGTTAAGGTCATTTGAATTGTGTTTGTGTTCGGATGATCTTGTGGGTTTACAATGTGTTGAGAAGTATATGCCATACCGGGCAATGCAGTTTGGAATGGAACAGCATCTGTCAGGAGCGTTTACTATTTTTCAGCCAGTTGTGGGGGGAAATTTCAGCTTTTTGTTCCTGCAAGATGTTACCAGTCTTCCGTGTCTTGGAGTAGCTCAACTGGTGGCAGAAACCAAAGCTGATTCAAGAAAGAGAGATTCTGAAACCAGAAACAGAAGGGAACGAAGATTATTCTAACTTGGTATGTCCCAATTCAGATTCCCACTGCATTGCATGAAATCTGCTTGTTAAGACACTGAATAAAGTTCTAAAAGAAAACTTTCTACCAAAGATGAAAATAAGGAAGTGGAATTGGAAAGTAATAGCTGTGTAGTTGTAGGCAAAGAATTAGTTGTTCAAGAGGGTAAAACCAAGAGAAGGGCTTTGAAGAATGATCTATCTCACTATTGTGTGAATTTGGTGACCTGAACAGCGTGATTGGACATTCTAAAGGATTGCTCAGTGAAGAAGGAAAACAACAACATGGTGCAGGGACTTCTGACAACCCTTTGGAAGTTGAAGATTATGCACGCACTACTTTGGGGACTTCATCTCACCCTATTAATGTTAATAATTACATGTAGGAGGTTTTTTGGGTGCTATGTTTAGATAAAAACAAAATACTAAAGCCATGATTGGGACATGGGGTAAGAGAACTTTTTTTAATACCCCAAACAAGTTTGTATTTTACTGTAATTATTATTTAAGGACATTCATTTTATTTTATTTTTTGTTCTGAATATTCCTGGTGCACCCAAGGTGTCACTGTTGTGGATTAGCTTATGCACTCATCAATACAAAAGAATGAATCCTTTTTTGAGATATTAATGGGATTCAGATGTTACGATTAAATTGCTGCCCAACTAAAATGGTTTCCTCAAATTCAAGAAGGTTTTGTTACATTACATACGATAGCAGCATTTCTGATATACATGTATAAATTAAACATCATAAAATTCAAATAGACAAATACCATAATTGATGCTCGTACCTTTTGATCCTGAATTGCTGCTGGTCATGATTAATGATTTCTAATCAGCAAATTCTTCAGGATCATAACCCGTTTTCTCTCTACGGTTAAGCGGGCATTTTTTTATCCCTTTTCCTCTCTATTTTCTCATTTAATACGAATAGGATCACAGTTTTTGGCACAAAAATTGCATGAAATGACTCTCAGCATATTATCTGGAGATTTTATATGTAAATCAGATTGTTATTGTATTTGGCATTTGCTAGACATTAGCTTATTTAGTTAAACAACTTAATGTCCAAAAGATAATTTGGGAGGGGGGGGGGGGAATGAATAATGTTTATGTATGTTATCCCTTAATTTTGAAGAGTGGCAACATTGATGAAAAGTATGAACGAAGCATTGATGAAATTTCTAGCCTCTATTTTTTCATCATGGCAATATTTTATTGACTCATATACCAAGTGGAGTTACAGAGATAGGTAATTGAATTGGGAAGGCAGAGATCACTTAAACTTGCATGTCACACTCACTTTTATTCTCATCAAACGTGTTGCCATTGATTCCTCTTTTTAAAGTTATTCTGTGCCCCCTGCGGTCTTGGAAAGGAAAGCATGGCATAATTCTTTGCCTAACCTCACAAGTCTCCAAAAACAGCTTATATACACATGCTACTTAAAAAGTCAAAGTAAAGGGTTTAGGCTTTCTCATTTAATCTTCACCACAGATATCATCATTCAGGAAGTTTTGCAAAAATGATACACCTTTTATTCACACTTTTGATGGTCCAAATGGCATTCATCCTAATACTCTCTTTTGCAAATCCATTAAGAAATTTGTTAGTGAAGGGGCTAGACCTTTCAAAGCAGGGAAGAGGGCCGTTGGTCACAAAAACTGTGGCAGCAACTATGCTTGTGGTCTTTGGCTCCACCGTCTACACTATAACCAATATCCAAAAGCGTTCAAAGGAGGCTGGCTTGGTTAATCCAACTGATGAGGTTCTGATGGCACAACGTCTCTTGGAAGCAACTCTTTTAGGTAATTACGCGAAAAAATAAATAAAAAGATCCTTACCATTTTGAATATTTTTGTGTCTCAATAAATTTTAAAAAAATAAAGTTAATAAAGTTACATTATCCTGCATGTGTTAATGTGTTATATAGTTGACAAAACTGCTCGCATAACTAGGTTAACCCAAGGTTAACCCAACTTGATAAAATACAGGGTTTGGACTTCAAATTTAGAATACAAATTAATGCTGAACTTTTTAAGCCCAATGCAGCCTACAGCAAAATATCTTACAAAAATCATACTTTACTTGTTTTGGGTATCATTTTTGTGAACCCAAATTAGAGTAAGCTTTTTTGGAGTCTGTCCTCTGCAACGGGCCACCTCGATGGGTAGCCCGTTTTGCTAGCTCTACTAGTGTATATAAGCTTATGTTTCATAACTTTTTCTTAAAGTGATATGGAAGGTTGAAATCACCAAAATTTCACTATGGAAGTTAACATGAAAATGTTGTTCTAGGCTTGACTCCTGGCAAACAGAAATGAGATGCAGGAATAAATATTGATAGTTTGAAGAGGCTAAATTTGTGTTACGAAAATGTGCTAACTCATTCAGACCTTGCTACCAAGTGAATTCTCTCAATGAATATAGATTTCTCTTTAGCATATCTCACATATTTGTGCTAAGAACATATGAATTTAAAGTTTATAAAATGGTAATTATTGGGCAGGATTCTCTCTATTCCTTGGATTGATTGTCGACAGACAACATTACTATATTAGAGAGATTAATTTACTGAGGAAGAACTTGGATACAGCGAAAAAACAAAGTCAAAATCATCAACTGTCAAAGAAAAGAGTGGCAGAGGAAACTGAGAAGACAAAGGTCAATTAATTGGAATTTGAGGCAAAATTTGCACTTGGCCTATGTTCTGAAAAGGAAAAGTCAGGAAGAGGCCGATAACTGTCTTAAAGCTTGTATATAATTGTATGAATCTGCAACACCACAGAATTTAATTGAATATTATATATAATTGTTCAACTTTTATGCTGTTTATAAGATGATTTATTTTATTTTTATGTATCGATTACTAAATTTTAAAAAATAAATAAACTTTAAGATGTGGTCACATTCAAGATTTAGAAAAGCACGACGGTTGAAATTGGAAAACGTTTCTTTTCGTTTCAGTATAATGAACAAGTGTGTATCATCGTCAAAGGCATATGCCAACATCTAAAATTGGGTCTGCAGCAGATATTGTTTTTATATTGAACTTTGCCTTTCATTGAATATGATCTAAGAGGTTTGTGTTGATGATGCTAATTATGACAACACTGGCCTTTGAGTTGAAAAAATTTATGCTGGTCTAGCAAAAATCAGAAACATCCACCGAAACATGTAAAATCTGCAGTGTAAAAATTTACATTTAGATTATGAGTTTGGACCTTGTCTTGCTCCATGCTTGGACAAGCCAAACTCTCAATTTGCTTTGAAGTGGCCCAACAACTGAGAAAACATTGCATGCATTCTAGCCATTATACTTCTTTGTATGACCTTACAAAGGATATCCCACGTAAGAATTTGAAATTTTTATATAAACAATGATCATTTTTGGTTCAACTTAAATTTAGAGAAATAATAGCTTATTCTTTAAAGCTCTCACAAACCTGAAAGAAATAGGCACAGTCCTTTCTCCCATTAACTTAATATAACATTGACATGCTTTTCTACAAACATAGAAAGCATTAAACCCAACTTAAAACATTATTTTACAGCAACATCATACAATTCAGACCGACATCTTTTTGAAACAGAAACAAAGAGTTGCACATGAAGACATGAAAACCTTAAATACTTGGAATAACAAAGACACAAACTTGAAATCAGGTAGATATAAGTGCACAACTATCATTATTCACTCCATTGCAGGTGGCTGTGGTGGCAGTGGAGGGAACAGTGGTGGTCCTGTGAATGGTTGTTGATACGCACAAAATCCAAATATGCAAAACCTCCCAATGGGGCATATTCTTCCACATGAACCGCAGTTAAAAGGGTTAAGGTTTGTGTTTCTGCACAAACGGTTGCAACATAGCCAATTGTATGGGCATCTAATCCCACACAACCCACAGTTGTTTCTGTCTGTAGTAATATCCACACAAAGATCTCCACAACAAAGAGATCTTGGTGGAAATTCTCCTTGGCTACAAATCCATGGTGTGTTCCTACATCCAACAATCGCTTGGTTCTTATCTTGCTTCATCAACTTTGGTGATGATGATGCGACATTAGTGACATTTTCATAGTCTTCTTTTGGTGTTGAATTTCCCTCTACTTTGATCAGCAAAAGCAGCATCAACAATGTCACTAGAGCCAAGGATTGTGCTCGTGGAGTCATCTTGAGGAAGTGACAATAAAACTATGATTTTGAAACCTATATATATAGTTTTATGTGAAAATATAGAAGTTACTTTTCTAACAAGCCAAAGGGACATGTTTTTCTCGCATGCATGAAAACCAAGGTCTTGTGCTATGGGCGGTGGACGTTGTCTATATGTGTTACATATACTTTGAGGAATATTTTATCAGCTTTCTGCTTTTTTTGCACGGTGAGTTGAGCAGCTTAAGGCTTTTTTGTCGACGAGTCCTCAAAATCAGGTGAGTTACTGGCGTGTTTTAGGTTGTGATATAGTTGGCATCATGCTAATTATGTATCTTAAAACCATGAACCGTCACGTTGAACGGATACTAATTCACATGAAAATGGAAATGACTTTTAAAAAGATTGTAACAAACCCAAGAAACTCCAAACCAGGTTATGATTTATGGACCTCAAGGCTTCAAGCTTACGCAGCACTTTTGGTGCTTTGTAGTAACCCATTATAGTCAAGCGATTAGCTGAATGATGATACTTAATTTTATCCTATTTTAAGAAAATTAAAACTAAAGAATTTGAACTTTAAGCAGAAGTTATAGACGCTTGGTAAAAAATAGGTTTAAAACTGTCCAATTTCCATCGAAAAATAATATCCTCGTTTCATATTCTCACAACAATTTTTACAGTAGAGAGAAGAGTAGTAAAAGAGATAAAAAGTTTGAGATAAAATAAGTAATATTATAAATATATAAAAAAATTATTCTAAAAGAGTATCATAAGAATGTAAAGTAGGAATACCATTACTCAATTCCATATGGCAATAATCGTCTACTCACTAAGGTTAAATATTCAATATCTACCAAATTGACAATGCAATGAGCAATATAGCTCTAACTATATAAATATTTGTTGATACCAAATTTTCATTGTATAGAACTGAAAAATTAGATTGATGTAGTGTTTAAATTAATTTTATATTTTTCAGCCTAATTTGTTAGGACTTTTCTTTAATCAAATTGAAGTTAAATATAAACTTTTATTTTACAACTCAAATAAAGTATACTTTTAACCCAATCAAGTAAAATCTTTATAATGTAGCTCAACTAGTGAGAACTAGGAGTTAGAATTTTAATATCTTGAAAATTCTCACATCCTCCTCCCCTTACAGTACTCTTATTATAGTTCATTACTAAGAGCATAGAGTGTGCGTATATCCCCCTACATGACATGAGTCGAGTATACACCTTATCCTAACACCACAAACTTACTGTGAATTAAAAATAAAATTTCTAATTTTGATTATTTAATCACTTTTCTTGATATATCGACAAATAATTGCCTTATAAATATAGCACAGCCAAGAGGCATTGGAAAAATATGAATAACAAAATAAGCATTCGCATCAAACTCATAAACCAAGACATTTAATCAATATAAAAACACATCATTCATTACAAAGTGAAGCCAGAAATACAGCAAGCACAAACTTCATCCTTAAGAACTGAATGTTGCAATCGGATCTAGCGAAGGACAAAATAAAACACACATGAATTTATTATTTCTCGCGGCGTGAAAGCCACGACTGCAAGTCAAGTCAAGCACCATACACCACATCACTGACACAAATTATACATCAAGCTCATGGGAGCAGTTATTACATCGTACTTCCATTTAAACCACAAAGCCTCTAAGCATAACAATGAGTCATAAAGCCATATAAAAGACCTTGAGACACAAGCACAACAGATTACTACAACTTAAAACAGTGACATATTTAAAATAGTGTAGATTCACTGATTTTGTTCGTAAGAGCCTTGTTACTGAAGAACCACACATTCTTGTGAACCAGCCACCACAGTAGGGTGTGAGCTTGAGCTAACAGCATCAACTTTTGGGAGGCGTTGAACATTGACATCAAATTCATCACAGCCCATGGCTTCAAAAATAAGAGCATTGACTTCTTGAAACCTCTCTTCAGAGAGGGATACCTCAGCAAGAAGCCTCCAAGCATTTGCTTCAGATGCCTCATCATAATCTTTCTTCCTCTTTAAAACCATGTGCCCACTAATTTCCCACACTGCAGGATTCACTTGGGTGTCAAGAAGCTCAGCATCCACTTCTCCAAGAGCTTGTTTCTCTGCATAACACTGTTCATCTACTTGATAAGTACCCATACAACTTATGAAAATTATTTAGGGAAATTCAGTTATACAATGTTTGGAATCACTTAAATTTAGATAAATAATCACCTATCATTTAAAAGTTTTCTCAAGAAGCTAGCAAAATATGCGATTAATTCTAAAAAATAAGTTGAACCAAACACACTTAGTTCCAGATTTACTTTACCTGTGGTAACAGAAAGACTTGCTTTCCACAGTCAGCAATAAGAACATTGAAAGGAATGTTATTGTTTTGGAGACAGATACAAGCATCAGAAACAACATTTGATAAATCTTCCAGTGTATCACCGCCCTCAAAGACAAGACCTCTAACTGGATACTTCAACAGTTCAGATATCTTCACACCATTGAAATTTGCAATTTTCTTAGTAGGAGCCTTCTCAATGGGAAAGGGCACGGCCAAATAATAAGCCTGCATGTAATTATGTATTTATGTCAAAATCACCAAATTGCAATCTAATTAGTGATTACGGCAGTGCCAAACAGTAAAACTATCAACATGACCTATAAGTGGTAACTCGGTATCTAGTACCTGGAAGTGAAGATGGTTAATAGTTGCAAAAGCACCCAAGCTGTTGTAACCCAATCGAAAATATGGATTGTCAGCTTCTACTGCCATGTGAAGTGCAAGCAAGAAGCTCTCACGGTCAATCCTTTGGGGCAAACACTCAAATATGTGCGGTATCAGTAGAACATGCCCATACTCAATAGGACTGACCTGTTAAGAAAATAAACAGACAACCGTCATCATCATGTAAAACGCCTACTTTAGCCCAATAATGAATCCAAAAGATTAACAAAAGCTAGAAACTATACATTGATGGCAACAAAACTGGGAGAATTGTCAAGATCCACTGGAGCATTTGGAAAGAACTGGACTTCTCCATCATCGCTAGCTTCGAATTGAAAGAGGACCTCTTCTTGTCCAACTTTGGTAAAGTTGAATTTCTTTTCATCAAAGGGCTGAAGGACCTTATCAACTCGGAACTCAGTTGGTCTCTTCTTGAGGTGACGACCCTCATTAAGCTGGGCAATGAAACCATACTCACCAGGAATCACCTATACCAAAATTACCACAAAACACATCAAACTATGAAAATATGTATATACCATACCTACATATCCTTACAAAGCACAAACAACTAGAGAAAAATATTATAACTATATATATAAAAAAAAACAGAAGAAAAAAAATCACCACAAAAACGCAGGAAATTAAGCTAATATACCATATCTATGCACGTGCCCTCATAAATCACAAACAACTAAGAGAAAGACAAGATAAAAAAGAAAAAAAGGAATACAAAACATACCTTGGTTTCACAGGCTGTAACATCATAGCGAAAAAGTCCTCTCTGCATGCGATCTTCCCACTGCCAAGAAATTGTAAACGACCTCTAATTAACACAAAACATTAAAAGAAAAAAAAAACTTGGAGGGGAGGGAAAAATAGATTTTTGTTAACCGTTCTCCATCATAAAAATTCCATAATTATTGATTACCTCCCCAAGAACAAGGGAGTCCAGAAAAGCCAGAGGAGGGTCCACGCATTCATTGAGGGACAAGTTCTTCCCAGTAACCTTTTTAAAGGCATACAAAGGAATCTTTGCATCTGTTAATAAAACAAAACAAACAAGGTAAAACATTCCATTTCTATTCGCATCCATGCACATCATGAAAATCACTGAGCCAAACAATACCTTGAATGCAACAAGCTTTGAGGCAATTTCTACCACAACCCCCAAGAGGGCGAGCAGAGTCCTCTTTCTGATAATTAGACACCACGGTCGGAACCCTCTTGATTCTCAGCATCATTTCGGGGAAACTAAGGAAGGAACACCTTGAACTTTACAATATGTTAACTTTGAAGTTAAAGTAACTTTATGCTTATGAAGTAACAAGGAGGAGGAGTAGTAGAAGCAGCAGCAGCAGAAGAAGAAGAAGAAGAAGAAGAAGAAGAAGAAGAGAAGAAGAAAAAGAAGAAGGGTAAGGGTGAAGTGTGAAGCTATGAGGAACCGCCACCAGCGAGGAAGAGAAGATCAGAGGGGCTACCACCTTCAGAAGGCAGAGCACCACGCCCACCGTGCGGCGAAGGGTTGCTTTCAGTTACACAACCCTTACGTCGTACAGTTCGGACATGAATGAGAGGTCGAGAAACTCTGAGAATAGCCGTGATGTCTGCAACGCTTCAAACCCGGGATTGAACCCAATTAGATGCTACCTTCTTCTTCTCTGATAGATTCAACCCAACATGCAGAGTGATAGAAAGTTGAGAACTTTGGTGGTTGTTTGTTGATGGAGTGCGAGAGGAGAAGGTGGGTCTGTTGTTGTTATATAGATAAGAGAAGAGAAGAGTAAGACGTGGTTCAAATGTGGCTTAGAATGTGTACGGTGAAGAATTAAGGAAAGAAAGAAAGAGTGTGTGGGTTGGGTTGGGTTGGATTAGTTAACTTAAACTGAAAGAGAAACACAGAGTAAGAGAATAGAGAGAAGACAATCGGTTGAAAGAGATATGGGGTGGGGATGGAAGCTGCTTTCTTTTTTTTATTAACCGTATCACTCTTTTTTCCTTCTTTCCAAACACTCCTCTTAAAATGTTTAATAAAATTAATTTATTTTTTTACTTAACTTAAATTTAACAGATAATAAATAATAAATTATAACCCATTAAATTTAAGTTAAATAAAAAATTTAGATAAGTATAAAAATTTTTAAATTTATATTAATATTAAAAAAAATTACTTTTTTATATATTAATATATATATATATATATATTTGATTAATTTTATAATTATATAAAATTTTTAATTTTTATCTTTTAATCTTTATAATATATTTTAAAATTTATATTTTAAAATTTTTTGTTTTAATTATTAACATATATATATAGATAATATTTGTATACAAATTACTAAATTAAATCCATTCTTTCTTTGAAAATATTGTAAAAACTAATCTTATATTATTATTTAATCTTATATATATGCGATCTGTTTTTTTATAAAATATATATATATATATTTAAATATTCATTAAATATATATATATATATATATATTTAGAAAGATAAAAAAATGTGATAAATAATATATACAATGTGATAGAAAAAATTATATAAATATCATATTTTTCCGATCAAATGGCGAGCCCGACACCAGATCGCATTCACGTGCCATTCTTTCTTCCAAATTTGAAATTTATTCTGAGAAGTGTTGAATTTTACATGAAAAGAACAAACTAGTATCATACATAAATATTTTTAAAAATAAAATAAAAATAAAATTATTATATTAATATAAATAGTGTGTTTTAAATTCAATAATTTGTTACTATTTAATTAAATAAATGTATATTATTAATAATAATAAAATATTTTTTCATTTATTTTAGAAGTTTTAGTTATATTTAATAATACATATAAAATCCAGAAAACCACTCAACGAACGTTAGTTACAATATTACGTCAACATAACTCAAAATTCGCTTTCATAACAACGCTAATTTTAATGGACGAAAAGAAACCTTGTGTATTTTGACCGTATTATGCCAATTTAAATTTTTTTTAAAGATTTTTTTTGATAATTTTAAAAAAAATTAAAAGTAAGCAAGAGAAAAAAATTATTTTTTTACTTATTTAAATGTTAAAATTTTCTCAAAATTTAAAAACATAAAAATATTTGGAAGGATATATCAAAATTCATAAACCTTCTTAATTATTTTAAAAAATTCTTAAATAAAAAATATAGATTTAAATGATATTTTTTCTCTATATTTGACTCATATTTATCATTTAATTTTTATATGTAAAAAATTTCTGAATAATTTTTTATGGATACATTTATTCTTAATTAGTTCTTGTTAATATTCTCTAACTAAATGATATTTACAAAAGTAAAAATAAAAATTAGGTAGTCAAGTGATTATTTCTTTTCAAATCGAGAAGAAACTTTCAATAAAGAAGCAATACATCATCAAAATTAATAGTGTCAATCATTTTTTAACTTTTTTTTTTTTTTTGCTTAAATAGGGTGATTTGAGAAATAATAATAATATTATTATCTGTATGAAATAGAAATAACTAAATGTCGTAAAAGGTATTGTTGACATATTTTAATTTTTTGGTAATGTTGTTTTAATAAATGGCGATATAAATTTTTTAAATATAAAAATAATAATGTTGGATGAATAAAAATTGAAACTCTTCTTTTTGTGGTCCCGTGTTATTGTCATGAAACAACAATACGACACACATAAGTGTTGACTAATATTAATCCAACATTTGTTGGCAATACTTTTTATAATACTTACTTATTTTTACTTCTGACAAGTAATTTATTTTTTAATGATCCTATATTAAAAAATTATTTCTTAAATCACCCTATTTAGGTAAAAAAAACCTCATTCACCTCTTCATCCTTCAACTACAAATCTCTTAAAAATTCTAACGACTTCTCTTTGTTGCATAATCTTTTGATGAATATATGTAAATACACTTTTTTTCTTTCTTATTTTAATTAAATAATAAAAAAAAAAGAGAAAGTGAATTCCATGAAATGAAGAACAAGCAAATTGTTCTTGTTGCCTGCAAACATCTAATCAAAATTGTGAAAAAATGGAATGGAGTATTTGAGTAAGAAAAAAAAAAAAAAGAAGATTTGTAATTTGGAAAGGAAAATAGCTCATATGGAGACATAGGGAAGACAATCGAAAAAGGAAAGAACGGAAAAAAAGAGCAAGGGTAACGTGAAACAGAATAATAAGGCAATCAGAGAAAGAATAAAAGGGAAAGTTCGCAAGAACCAAACACAAAAAAATCAGTAAGAAGGACAGTAAAATGTGAAACAGAACAGAACAAAAAACTGAAAGAAATCGTAATCCAAACTCATATACTTTTTATTTTCAATCGTCAACATAAATCGTTCAAAACCTTTATTTTGCATTGTTTATTGTAGGATAATATGTATAGCTGCTCTATATTGTATCTTAAAAAATATAAATGATTTTTATTTTTTTAAAAAATATATATAATTAATTTTAAAACAAGTTCTTTTAAAAATTTTATAAATTTTTAATTAATAAAATAATTTTATAATTTTTTTTAAATAAAATTACATGAATTTGAATTTTCTATTACACTAAGTATATATAAGAACAGGAATCATATTTGTCGAGTCAAAACATGAATTAATATTTTAATAAAAAAAATTATTTTTTAAAAATAAAACAACAATAATTATTATTTAAGAGTTAAATAAATATTTTTAAAATTAAATTAAATTTATACAATTAATTAAAAATAATTATTATTTAAACAAATATTATAAGGTACTAATTGATGTTTTTTCTTTTAATTTTTAATAAATTTTGGTAGTGACTACTAATTTTTCAAACACATTTTTACTATACCATTACGATCGTTCAGGTGCGACAATCTTTTTGGCTCCTCTGCAAGGAATTATCAGCGTTAGCCAAGGCAGAGAGATCAATAATAAAGTGGTTCCTATTAATGATTTTCATTCCTCGAATGCATCTTTATTTTGGGCTTCCTCTTCCTTTCCTGCCACCAAATCTCACGACAACAAGTTTCAATCTCTACTGAGGAACGCAAAGCTCCACTTGGTTGAACTTAGGATCCTCCTCCACATTAGTTTAAAAAACATGCAATTAATTTTTGGAAAAATGAAACAACAAAAATGTAATGGTATACCCCTCCATTGAAAAGTGTGACCTTTCTATTCTTAACCCATATTTCTATTAGATAAACTCTTATTACTTTCATTATAGTCACGATTGGCCTTCATCTAAGTCTCATTACTACAATGTTACAATAATCTCTAAAATCAAACATGGAAGTGTCTTGTATGTTAGTTTGAAAAACATGTAATTAATTAAAAAAAAATGGAACAACAAAACATGCAATGGTCATACATTTTATTGATTAAACATAAAGGTCATTATCCTATACACTTCCATACTCGCCAATCCTATAAGGTATATGTTAGATTATGTAATATAACTGATGGAGAAAATTAAATAAATTTTAAGAAAAAATAAATAAAAAAATTAAGAAAACTAAATCTACTAAACCTGCCCTAAAATTAGAGAAAAAACACTTTTTAATCAAAATAATAAATACACAGATTACCGGCCAGTAAAATTTGCTGGTATTTTCTACAGGGTTCTGTACTAGTGTCTCCACGAGAACCTTTTTCCACCAATCCAAAAACTAGAGTTAAACTTGAACAAGAAGAAAAGAATGACGCGTTAAAATACATACACGTAAATCTGCTCTTACGCACTAATATGGTATGTTTTTCATATAAAAATATAATATTATTGTGGACATGAACAAGCCTTGTTGTGTTAACTGTTGTATGTTGAGGAAGAATGAGTGGCACAACCTAAAACACAAGGAAGAAGCTCTGAATTTTCGCTATCTTCAGTAACAAACAGAAAAGCACAATCCAAGAAACTTCATGAATTGAATGGCCACCAAAATCTCTCTTTCAGAGTGGCCCCAAACACTGTCCACCTATATCCTCAGTTCCCCTCTCCACGTGATGTATGCATCAGAAAAAAGCACCAATTTGTAGATCAACAACACGTGAGGTCCTATAAAATGATGCAAGCTCTTTAAGTTTTTAAATTATTTTTAATTAGATTCCTAACTACCATTCTATGATAGTTTTGTTAAGTGCATATATCTATTTACAAGTTTTCAATTAGTTCAACCAGAATTTATCAAACAATTAAACTTGTGATTTTTATTTCTTAATTATTTAAATTTTTTAAATTAAACTCTTATGCTTCATAAAACTTGAACAAAAGGATTCAATTAAAAAAATTTAAAACCCGAGCATCTAATTTCAAAATTTAAAAATATAGAGGTTTATTAAAATGATTTAGACCTGGAAATTAATTCAATAGTGGTCAATTTCAAATTTGTTAAATTCAAAGTTCAACAGGTCCAATCCAAGAAGTTGAAGGTGAAACAATAATTTAAAATATTATATACAAATAATCGAGTCAACGGTTTAATTCAACTTTTGGATCAATTAAAATTTGAATTGGGTTGATTAAAATTAAATTAAAATTTCTCAAACTCAAGAGACCAATCTCTCTAACCTGAGTCATTTTAACAAAATTTTCTATATAAAGATTAAAGAAGCGAAATTATGTTTCTCTGAGAGTGCACCACCAAATCAATATGTCACAGAGTGACGTTTTTACCACTTACGTAAAATGCATCTGCATTACATAACATTTTTGTCTAAATCTTTTAAGGAAATTTCGTTGTTTTAAGGAAATTACGTAAAACACAGTGATGAGTTATGTAATATGTGACAAGTTTGTAAAAATAAAATCATTGGTTAATGATACACAAAGGAAAATTCACCCAAAAATTTACATTTGGATTTGAATCAATGATGTGAACAGTGAAAGGGGATTGCGAAGAAAGAACGTGAAAGATTCCGAATCTACGAAGGAATCATTCTTAATTAAGACTAAGAAACCTTCACATTTGTCTGCTCCAAGACAGAGACAAGCACTGCACTCTGTTTGGAGGATTAACGAGCCCACTTATCCCAACTACACATACTTTTTCTTCAAATTTCAATTCACTTATGGTACACTTTTGGGCTGAGAAATTGAAATCGCATTTGATTATTCAAATTATTTTACTTATATGTTTGATTTATTGAAATTGTATTTCTAATTATCAGATCAATTTCATGTAATTAAAGACAACTAATTTCTGTTATATATGCATATATATTTAATTCTCAAATCGAACTTTAAAAATTATGGTTTTAAATAACAAAGATAAAAGTTTAATTTTCAATTACGTGTGATTTGATAAAAAAATAAAATAAAAAATGATGTAGTGGTTGGGATGAGAAAAATACTAGACAACTTGGCTGATTGGTTCAACCAGCCCCCCTTTTGCTTTATTGATGTTGAATTGACTCTTTACAATGATATGAATCGGCTACAAAAAGATACAACTTAAAATTAATATTTTATCATTATTGCTTTTATAATCTAAAAGCAGTTGATATGATATTTTTTTATTTTGATCATTTTACAAATCAAATTTTTTATCATTATTATTGTTTTCAAAATAATATTTTTATTAGATAATTTTTATGCGTATAAAATATATCTAATTAAAAATATATTTATTATATAACTATATAATAAATTATCAAAATTAAAAAATAATTGTCATGTTATTATTTTAAAAATTTATATAAATTAATATTTAAATGTTAATTATTCGTGTTAAATATAATAGTTATTTTTCTCATTCTTATATTAAAAAATTCTCTTATTTGATATTTAAAAAAAAATGATTGGTTTAAATGATTAATTATTCTTTAGGTGAAATGATGTCATGGTGTGTGGATAAGCAACTTAAAAACGAGCTAAAAGGAATTTTAAGCTGAATCAGATAATAAGTCAACGAATTTCAAATCATAAAATCAATACTCAAACTGAAAATAATCAAGGTTTATTAATTTAATTTAAACCTAAATATATAATAGAAACTAAATTAACATTATTTATTTAACTTAATTTTTCGGATTCATCGAATTAATTAAAATCAATTCACTCTTAGTGGCCTGAAAGGTTAATTAGGCCAAACCAAGCTCTGTTTGGGACAAATATTTTATCGTCCAATTCCAATCAAACGGTGGCTGCATGTTAGAAGCGCTAACTCAAACATCATTGATTTTTAATGCAATAGAAAGAGTTTTTTCTAAGATATTATAAATTGCAAGTAGATCAAAATGTTTCATGCATTTAGGGAGAAATAGATATATATTAAACACAATTACAACATGACATGATTATTATTTAAAATCGTGTGTACTTTAATGACTTTGACATAAATAGCTATTAAAAAATTATAATATTATAATACTTTATAAGAAAAAATAGAATCTACATATTTCTAACTCTTATAAACAAAGGGTGTTTGCAATTTGAATCTTCTTCCTTTGCTAGAAATAATTTTGATTTAGTTCGTCAAGAGTCAAGACAAAGCCTGTGGTTCTTTCTATTGACTGAAGCGTTCTGGTTGATTCTTGAAGTTGATTATGTTAATTTAGTTGTAATTAAGAAGAAAGGGTCCTAAGGATAAGATTAATGAAGAAACAATGAACAAGGAAAGGGGGACAAATGAACCAACTCAATCATGGGCTCGAGCAAAGATATATTGGGCCGTCGAGTGTTTTTTTTTAACAATTATTAAGGATACAATTAGATATGTGAATATAATTGTTTTAAGTGATGAATTGGTTAGTACAACACTTGTTTGTTAAAATACAAAATGCTCTGCATGTGGGGCTTAGGTATGTCAATTGACCCAATAGTCTTTCATTTTTTGAATTCATTTTCAAATATGCTTTTAGAGAATTTGAAGATTCATTTGTTTATTTTCTTACTGTGAGATATTAGCATTATTTCTCTTAATTGAAGATTAGCCATCTTTTATCTCTTTTGAGCACTGTTAGAAGTTTCAATATGCCTATGTCCTAAGCACATGACCTCTTGCATATCGTTGTGTGTTAACCTTGAAGAGAAGAATGAAACTGTATCATAGGTCTATCATAATTTTGCTTTTAAAACTATGATTCTTCCACACCGCAACATTTACTTCTAACATAGCTCACAAGTTAACTTATTCCTTTGCTGTTGTCCCTTTTTTTATTTTTCACAAATCATTTTCCCTTCAAGATGTGAGAAAATTTTGTTCAAATCAATTATTTAACGAACAAAATTACACGTAATATAAATCATAGTTGCTAAAAGTACACTGAAATCCATTATTATACCTCTTGTTTTTTTTGTTCAACCATTATTATACCTCTGACTCACCCCAACCTATTGTTAGAAAGGGCTTACGGGTACAAATGGCCCAAATTTAAGGCAGTTAACAAAGTGGGCTGAGATGGTTTTCTTGGGCAACACTGCAAAGGTTTAGAAGGTGAGACTTTGGCATGGTAATTGGCTATTTAGCGGTTGGACCAAAATAGGAAGTATAGTAATTTAGAGGGAAGGATTGTCACTTCTCAAATGGTCCAAAACCAAAAGATCCTAATCCTACCCTTAACATTATTAGGTTCTTTGACAAAGGATCCTAATGAAAAGGATCACTGTGGAACCCACCACTCCTAAGGGATTTTGGGGACAGGGCCAAGAAGCACAAAGAGTTCAAAGCGAGGTTTACCTTCTTCTCTTAAAATCAAATCAACGCCCACAAAAAAGTGAACGGTATTGGAGGAATATGCTTTCACCGGCCTTATCACGCAACATCCAATAACATTCAAATTAATTTCCCTCTTGCATCTTCTCTTGTCCTTTCCTTTTATCTCATCTAATTAATGTGCATCAGATTTAATTTCTTGATTTTCTTCAACTTGCATTGGCTATATAATGTCATTTCCTCATAATTTTGTGCCAAAGGTCAACATTTTGCTTCTAATGTGGTCATGCAGATAAATTACGTAACCAACAGAATAGAGGAAAGAAAGAAAAAAAATACTGGTCCAAGTGGGTTATGTAACTCTCCTGTGATTGGTTTTGCCGACATTGATAACGTTTTGAATATTGTTCGCAACATCATGAAATTGGTTTGCTAGTAGTAAACTTGGCTCTAATTTCTAATTTCTCATCCAAATTGGGTTATATATTATGATTAATATAATCATCAATTTGGTGAATAATGCAAAACCACTTCCATCAATGACAGACAAAATATTACTAGTATGTCTTTGTCCTATCCACATTTATTGCACTCCTAAGAAACCATTAGAATTGTTGGATAATTCACCTCCATTATTTTTTAAAGGATATTTTGTTGATTAATGTGTGAGAATTTTCTTAGAATTTCCAGCACCCACAAATATTTTTGTACTTATGTTGACTGACACTGGCAACAACTCTTATACATTTATGCAACTGACAATTTCCACTGTTTGTCTCTCTTTCCCTCACACCACTTTCATTCCTCTATATATATGTCCAGAACCCTACACTTATTCCTACGTACTACTTCCTCCTACCCTTAATTATCCTGTCCATCTTTTTTATCATATACCTTATTCTTGGTCACTTTAACTTCATCTCATTCATCAAAGTCATGAACAAATTTAACAAATCTGAAGTTCTAGTACTTTTTGTCCTAGCTCTTCTCCTTGTGATCACACCCTTGTTACCTTCCTCTCTTAGACCCACCTACCTTTATTTCATCTTCAATGTCCTCATCATTGCACTTGGAGCTGAAGCTGGCCTTCTTTCAGCTTTCTCTAAGCCTTTGGAAGACAGAAAGCAACCACTCTCTGTGACCCAAAAACCTGTAATGCCCCCAGAAGTGCATGAACCTGAGGAAAGGAAAGTTTCCAACATTACTGGGGGAAGTGATACCTCAGAACATAAAGAAAAAAAGGCTAAGGTTGTTGAAAAGTGTGCATCTGATGAGAAGATTATTGGTCTCACAAAAGTGGATAAGGTGAAAAAGTGTCCTTCGATGCCAAGTCTCTTGTGCATAGGAGGTGGAGAAGGTGAAGTAGAAGTGATGGATGAAGAGTTTGAAGCAGAAGACGAGGTTGGAGGAGTTAATGGGCAAGAGCTGTTTGCAAAAGCTGAGGCCTTCATTGGGAACTTCTATAAGCAGCTAAAGATGCAGAGAGAGGAAACTTGGGTTTATCAAGAAGCCTTTTAGGATTGCATTGGCTTTTCCTTTTCCTCTTGAATAAATTATTTCGACAGTGTGAAATTTAGAATCACTGTTATCATTTCTCTTTGGTGGTTCTTCTTCCACTGAATTTGTACAGATTTTAATTTGGATTTATAGGTCAAGTCTGTTTGCCAATTTCAATTTGTATTATCATCAAATAAAGTTCCTGTTAAGAGAATTTCATGTTTCTGCGATTAAATTATGACAAGTCAGTAAAAAGATAATATTCTATATATATATATATATATATATATATACATATTTAAAATTAAGGTTTTTTTTTTAATTAAAGAGATAGGAAAGATAATGTCAGCGAGACGAAGTTATATAATTATATATTTGTAATTGGATTACTGCATGACTATCACTATTTGACTGCGTCTGCTTACATGGCATGTTTCATATTTATTATTATATTTTACAAAGATAAATTATAACATGCAGTGTACAAATTATGGAATATCCATGCATCTTGCCATATAAATGATCTGCAGAGTAAAAGCGATTAACTAAAGAGATGGGTACAATGAGAAGAGTCGTGCAAAACTAAAGGAATAAATTTAGACCGTATAATTATAAAAGAATAATAAAAATTTAAAATTTAAAAATTACATAAGTAAAATAAGTAGTTTTAAAAAGTTGTTGCAAACTTATCTCATCAACCCTTGAACCAACTACTTACTTTTAACATGTTAAAATAGAGTAGCTTTTGATTAATTAAACACAAAATTGGTTTACTAGAGCCACCTATTAAAAATAAAAAAATTATATATTATTATTACAAATTATATATCTTTTTATTAAAAAATTAACGTGTCTTTTTAAAAATATTAACAATATTATCTTTTAATTTTTTTCTTTAAAAAATATACCACTTTTACATAAATAAGAGTAATTATAAACTAAAATCACAAAAGAATATAACATTTATAGTTAAAAATACATAAGAATATTTATTGTTTTGGCTATACTTGAGTTGGCTTCCTATTTTTCTGAAGTGGTGTGATGACTGATGACGTGACCAACTTGTGGGATATTGAAGGACAAAAAGCATGTTGTAAAATTTCTTTATGCAATTGGACGAAATGTATTCAAAATTATGCAGAACTCTGAAAGTGTTACTTCATGCCCACAAATAAGTGCCAGGTAATGCTAGATAGAGCCAGCTGCATATATAGAAAAGAAAGATGACGAGTGTTCAATTTGACAGAGATCAACCCTTATTTTGATTATACACCTGTCATGATTCTGTCGCATCTATCTTATCAATTGCATAGAAAAATACATGACCCCCCATGTTAATCCCCGTTCCTCATATTAAGAAGGGGACACTGTCTTTATCTGATGGGGCACCAAGTCTCTGTCCCCTTAAGAATTTCACAAAAGACCATAAGAGAAATTTGCTAGATTTTCCTTCTAATTAACCTTAGCTAACACACTCACCATTTGTTAACTTTACTTCTGTGTACAACTGTCACCTGAAAATTCACAAATGGAGAAGATTGTTAGATAGATATGTAGACTCCTGTTTATTTCACAAGATGAGAACACATTATTAGAGATGCACAATTTATAAGATAAAGTAACGGGTTACTAATATTATTAGTATTAGATTAGATGTTAACATCTTGTTACAACTTCCTAATATGTGATTCAAAAAAAGAATAGAAGTCTAACATCTATTAATAAATGGTTAGTCGGTTACCCTAGACGCGGGCTTCCTTCTAGATAAGAATATATAGAGGAGAGTCTTTGCATGTTTATCGCAATATGGTTTTTTTTCTAGCAAAGAATAGACAGCCACATATGTGGAATGAATAGTACTGCGGCAAAGGCTAGTCAATCCATATTCTTTGCTATATTGTCATTGTTGGTCTTAAATTTCTGTCAAAAATGGGAATTTTGGGTTTAATTGCTGTAAGGGCACATTCTTTTATTCTTGGGATACTTATATTTTGATTCAAACTTTAACTGGGACAGGAAAAAAGAACGACCCCAGTTGTATGTTTACGGTATTAGTAATCCAGGAAAACATTAAGTTTGGAAATTCAACATTTTTCATACTTTCACTTTTTCTTGTTGACAAAAACCATATCACAGTACTGCATAAAATTATATTTTAGTGCATAGAGATGCATGCCATTTCATTGAGGGGATGGTTAAGTTGGTGACAACCAACACTTAGTAGGTAGCGAGGTCTTTTTCTCTGGCTATTTTGAAGCAGATAATAAGTTGTAATATCTGACAAGTAATAAGAATACAGAATTTTGTCTCTTTCTCTTGCTCTCAAGAAAAGAAAGTCATTGCGTAGACATGCTATTTTGGTGTTTTTCTGTGGGGTCAATTGCCTTGGAACGTTGCTTCAGAATCTCTTTTTTATGAGATGATGCTATATTTTTTTATATAATTAAATTTGATATTATTTATTTAAATTTGCACTATATCAGGGAATCAGAATTTGATTGCTTGTGGTCCAAATATAAATTGCATGGTGTTAGTTTGAATAACGATTTAGATTATTTCAATATATTCAAAATTATTTTAATTATGAAATTAATTTATTTGGATGAATGAGATTGTGTATAGTTTCCTAGAAAAATATAGGCTGCATTTTGTTTATTAAAAAAATTGAAATTGAATAGTATAAAAAATACTTGTTTTGTATTTAGTTTTAAAAATAGTTATGAGCTATAACAAAATAAAGAAATAAATTATTTGACGGAATTTAAATATTTTTAAATTAAAAAGAATGGGATAACTTTTTTCTATCATATATAATAGCATCTAAATGCTGAACAATCAACAAGGCTGACCTCTGCTCTTTCTTCAAAGTTGGTTGTGTTGCATGGAAGCAAACAACATACAACAAAATGTTGGCAGATGACTCAATTTTCTTGTATTATTCAGCTTGTGCTGTTCTTCAACATGTATCAGAATCCACCCAAAGCCAATCTCGATCATGTGAAATCATATTTCTACAACCCAAAAAGGAACTGCATTTTGTATTTCTTAATTGAATCATTAATGTATACTTAGGTTTGTTTACAATTATTTTTAGTTATAGAATAAAAGAATTTCAATAGTGGAGGAGTATATAGAAGATCTCCATACTTGATGATGGGGTCATCAATCAAAGGTAAAATATTCTTTGGTTCCCTTGGGGCTAGAAATTCCATCTGTTTGATATGTGGCCTGCGAGTGAAGGGAAGAAAGAGGGGTCCATCTATGCAAAGCAAAGGATGCTTGTAAAGATCCTTATCTTACTTTTGATGGTTTACTCCCACCATTATTCTTCTGCTCCCTCCATATTCAAAGACAACCAAAACTTCATATCAGTTTCAATCACGGGCCTATCTCAAAATCATCGACAGAATTAAGCTAATGTCATTTTGTGATAAAATTATTTTCCTAAGTATAGTAAAATATTAACCATATCTTCTAAACAATAAATGAAGGTAAAAACTTACATCGAAGATTTAGATTTTGACCTTTCCATTTGCATGGTAAGGTCCACACTCAAGCAGTCTTTGAAGTTATAGAAAATCAGAAGTATAAGTGCACACTCAACCTAAGTGACTTAAGAAGGATCCTTACATGAGTGCTTTCGAATGGATGTATTTGGTTTTTGGGGTTAGTGCGTTTATATTTACTTAACGGGGTCCATTATACAACTACTTAGTGTGTAATTCTACATAAATGACGTTGCCAAATACAGAAATTTCCAAAAGTAGTAGAACACTTGTTGTAACTCAACATGTTTAAGATAATCGCAATCATGAGTTTTTGGTGGCGCAAGGGGGGCTAGATAGAATCCCAGACAACAATAAAAATAAAAACAGCACTAGATCTATAAGCAAAGAACTAAAGTGAAACAAACGAAGGAAGATAATAAAAAATTAAGGATGTATTCAATATAGGCTTAGTTCAAATCAAAGATCTGTCCTTTCCTTTTCCGAATGGTAGAGTACAAGAATGGAATTGATAATTGTGTTCGTCATACATTATTTTATATAACGATGGAGAGCTCGAGCAAATATCCATTCTAACTAAACGGGTGTGCAAACAGAAAGGAGTCTAATTTAAGTGACGGCGAAGGATTCGTCTTGTGTGCAAGCGAAAGAGAGAAGTTTTGTGTGCAAGCAAAGTCCAATGATTATATTTTGGGCTTATCATTTCTTGCCTGCCACAGTGAATAAAATGTCTGTTTACTGGATTTTTCAACGCACTAGTCATCCGCTGACTAATCAGCTGATTCAGCTTAGAATAGCTGAACTTGTTAAAAATTCCTAACTTTAATATTAAACCAAGATTTAATTTCCTAATTTTTTGAACCGTACGTTGAATTAGCCGTAACCCAAATGAGGCATACTTTCCAATCAATTTTATATATTTGAGAAAGGTCTGACCTGGTTATTTGATTGCAAAGAAATGACGTAAGATTAGGGAACTAGGAAATTGTAATAGGGTTTGAATCTCCGTGCATAAATTGACATCCAATTTATACAATAATGATGTTTAAATTTAAAAATTAAATGGGTAATTAACATTATCCTGTTCTTGCAAAATAAATTATAATTTTTCCTTAATAGTATTTTCTCAGATAGTGGGTAACCATTTATTACTAATGAAAAAACCTTTCTCATTTTAAATTGCAACACAATTTTATTTAGTTTCATGTTTTAGTTTTCTCTCTCTCTTCAAAGTTCAAACAAGTAAATAAAAGAAGGAAAATGAGTTTGATGATCAAGGCAATGGAATGAAGTAGGCGAGCTAAAGAAGCAAGAGAAGATGAAGTGGTGGCCCACTTTGTGAAGTAGAAGACTTCGAGGCTAGAGAAGATGCAGCAACGAGAAAAAAGTAGAAAGAGTGGAGGCAAACTTCTCTCTCGTTGCAAGTCCAGATTACATGATTCAATTAAAATTTACGTAAACAAAAATGAAATTGGACATTCAGTTTTGAGTTTGCGGTGAGATCCATTTTAGTTGTCGTGGCTTTGTTTGTTATTCTAATCCAGTTTATATATGAGATGAGCTATCTTGATTTTGTGGGCAAACTACAGAAGTAGTCAAACAGGCCTTGCGATTTCATATACCAAGTTGCACTGCTGTCTGGATAATGCGACAATTTTTAATTTTCATAGGAAATCCAAATAAGTCAATTCTAGGTGGTCCTTGTAAGAAAATTAAGAATTACTTCGCATTGACTATCACACTGATGGGCAAGACATCATATATACTCGTCTAAACTCCCAAATTACAAGTTATCACTGATCCATTAGAAAGTTCACTGCAGCTACGGATAAATTGCCATATGAAACAACAAACAAATTACTCAATAATCGCTCCCCATCATGTTATATTGTCAAAGAATATGAAGTATTCATTATGATGGTGAACAATCCTGTATTAAAACTACAACAAGAGATGAGAGACAACCTAAACAATTATTGATTACAACACCAATCTCACAGATTATTACATTCCTGTAAGGCCCGAATCATGAAGGAAGCTGCAGAGTTCTCTGCCTCCTTCACCCGAGATTTTTCATCCCCTGACATTTTAAGTATACCATCTGCAGTTGCTATTTGAACAGAGCACACAAATTTCTTTTCATGAGAGGGACCTGAATCCTTCTCGATGCTGTAAATCATTGCAGAGTAGTAAGATGATAGTCTACAAGGAGGATCAAAAGCTTCACATAATGCAACTGAACTAAAAGAATAAATAGGAAAGGAAACCAACTTTTGGACCCAAAATTACAACCTTTGATTTTGGCAAGGGTATTTTTAAATGCATGTATAAAAAAGAACAAGCAAAAGATAAATATAACTATATTATGTCACTGTACGTACTCAACATTTGAATGTTAAAATAATGCAACTGAATTGAAAATGAAAGGAAAATCCATTACCAATAATGTTATACGTTCAACATAGGAATAATGATAATAGGGCAGCAGGGGTTACTTACTTATACACTGGTTTGGACCATTTTTTCATCCCACAGAGCTCGTGTAGCTTGTGTTTGGCAGCTCCAAACACGAAGGAACCATCATCGCCAGCACAAAAATCTAACATGAAATTACTGACAGGAAGCAATTCTGCTAGCTTATGCAAAGCAATTTTAGCAGCATCAAGCTTTGCAATGTCCTTCTGATCGGAGGAAGCAGAGGCCACAAACTTTCCATCAACATAGACACTAGCAATGCTTTTGGCACCGTTCCTCCAATGCTTTATGTCAACATGTTTCCCCTTCTTCTGGCAAATCTCATAGAGCATCGTCACCGGTTGAGGCTGTTGCTCCAAATCATCCGGGGTCACCATCGGTTCCAAGAGAGCCCTAAATATCTGCCACAAATCACAAAGCAATTAACAATATCATGACGAATTGAGTGATTGATGTAAACGGTAACGGAAAGTACCACCCAGAGTTTTTGAAGGTCGAAGTTAACGTCGATGTAAACGGCGGCGGCGACGGACTCGACAATGTCGGCGAGAACCTTGGGGGCTTTGACCAAACCACCGTAGGCGACGAGGTGGTTCTCTTGGGAGACGACGTTGACGAAGTCTTTGACCTTGAGGATGAGGGGAGGGGCGTTGTGGCGGACGAAGCGGTGGAGGCCGTAGCGGATGGCAACGCGGGCGAGTTTTTCGGTGCTGACGTTGGCGGCGCGGAGGAGGGAGAGGTCGCCGGGGTCGAGAGTGGGGTAAGCGAGGAAGAGGTGATTGCTGATGGCGAGGCCCAAAACGGCGTCGCCCATGAACTCGAGGCGCTCGTAGGAGATGGCGTTGGCGAAGGAGGAGTGGGTGAGGGCGTCTTCTAGAAGCTTCTTATTTCTGAATCTGTACCCAATGGCGTTCTCCACTGCCTCCAGCAACGTCTGTTCCATCTCCGCAGATGGAGACAAAGACGACGTCGTTCCGGTGCCACAGTAGCTTGTGAGTGTGAGAGTGACGACGGATCAGGATTAACTACCCTCACACGTTTCCCTTTAGTTTTCTGCTAAGAGTGACGACGGCTCAGGATTAACTTCCCTCACACGTTTCCCTTTAGTTTTTTTTTATTTCGGTTTTCTGCTGATAAATACTCTCTCCGATTTTTTTATAAAAAATAAAATAAATTTTTTTATTTTTATTATAAAAATACATAATAATTTTAAAATATATTAATTATTAATTTTTTTATATTTTTAATAATATTATTAAATATATAAATTACTAACTATATCATTTAATATTATAAATATTTTTAAAATAAATTTTATATTTATAAAAAATAGAAGTGATTTAATTATTATTTTTAATTCTAGAAGATAATTTATATTTATTATTAAGATATTTATTTATAATAACAAAAAATGATAGCACTACTTTTTGGTCATCTCTCTCTTTTGTTTGGTCGTGAGTCATCTCAAATAAAAGCGTTGCAAGTTACATATTGTTACGATCATCGTCCGTATGATTGTCGCCCGTTCACTGCCACTGTCGTGGAAGCATCCTTGAAGCCCTTCAAATTTTATTCCTGAAACAAAATCATCAAATTACCATTTTTGCATTTTTATTTATGAAATGTTTTTAAAAAACATTAGACAAATATGGAGTACTGATTTTATAGATATACATAAGAAAGGACAATTTAGTGTGAAGAGAAGAGCAGTTCAAATAATTCATATACGATAAAAACATTTTCTTAAATGAAAGAACAATTATTCAAAAAAAGGCAAACACGTCCATCAATGTGATTCTTGGCTAGACCACCCGGTCGATGATTATTGCGGCATCCTAACTGACTTATTTCCTGCAATTTGCACTCTCCTTGGTATGGACCGGGAACTTCAAGAATTTATCACTTTCCATTGGTGGAATTCCATCGCCATCAAATTATACGTTGCATATCCTTTCTTTCTACAACATCTAATTTATAATCTCAATATTTATCACTTTCCAGTGGGGGAACCGTGTTTAGGAATACAACCCTTTTAAGTATCTTACTATAAGCTTGAACATACTAACTAAGGGGAAAAAAGAACCAACCAATTTACTACATATAAATTACCAGCACGACCGAGTACATACAGTCAATAATCACAATCTCTTTCCGCACAAAAGCAACAAACTTATCTCAAGTTTCAAAACAAATAGTTAATTGGGTCAGAAGTTTATTGAATTCCTAAGTAATATATCAATTATTAAAATAAAGTATTATCATTTTAATCATAACTAGTAAATACTGTATTATATTTTGAAATAGATGGATCATCATGAGTTTGAATTATTTATATGCCAATTAAGAGGGCTCTATTCTCATGTGATATGAGTTTACTGTAACAGAAAGAGCAATTCACTCCCAAAGATCAAATGAAAAGATAGATCATTCCCTATAAACTCTACATTCTTAGTATATGTCTAACTGAAAATGCTATTTTATGTGTCGCAAGTTTATATTTTTTCCAAACACAGAAGGGATGATGTAGAAAGCCCGGCAACGAAGCAAGATCCGTATTCTCACGACACCATCATATGATCGAATCCTCCTGCAGCTTGAAGTGAAGGAACCCGATTGACTCCAATATTATGAAGCAACTGCTGTAGCCACCTCCTAGTAGTTGGGTCTTCCTGAATACGAAAAACCAAAACCAGCTAATGTAAACAAACTAAACATGAATAATCCCTTCGAAAGGACAAGTAAAAAATAATCCCTTTGAAGAAGAGAATAAGCTTTGCTAGTTACTGCCCTACTGTAGAACGGCTTAATTTCCGATTTACTTAATCAAGTAACTCCAATCCTTTTGATAAAATCAGATTTGTATACTAATAATATCACTTACACGAAGGCAGCTATTGAATGTGGCATCTCTTAACATGTCCGGAAGACAGGATCTTAATGCCTCACAAGCACTGCATTGAAATAACCGAAATTTTATCAGAAGCTTGGGAAGAAGTAAAGGCATGGGAAGAGAACTTTCAAAATTGGAGTTGCTATCTACTTAACCAACCTCTGATTATCTGACAGGCGAAGATAACATCGAATGATATGCTTCAAAAGACGAGATGAAGGTTGCTCTACAAGAGCTGCCACCATGTTTGCCAAAACTCGACCTACAGCATAAAAGCGGTCTGCCGTAGTACAAATATATTTCAAACCAAAATCATCCAACAGAATTTTTTGAACTATAAAGGTTGCAACCTGCAGTGATGGAATTTTCATTAGACACAAATATTCCTTTTTACTAATATTTGATTTACATAAAACAGGATCAAGAGATAGAGGCAACAGCAATCAAGTAGCTTAGCATTTACAAAGCACATAAGTACATGAGTACATTAATTAGCACATAATAGTTAATCTATATTAAAGATTTAGCTCTCAAGTTTCAAGGACAATATTCGAACTCATGTAGTAAAAATATTGGTGTTGACTTGCATTTTGATGCAACTAAACATGTCAAGAAGAGTTCGATAGTCCCATGACAAGTCTGAAAGAGTAAAAGAATGTTCTTTAAAAAACACCGACGCCAAGTTCAAATGGTATTCATTTATCTTAAGCCAAGGCCAGCCTCTTCAACGGTGATCTCATTGATCAGTTAAATAGTAGCTAATTGCCTAACACTTACTGTGTAGCACTGTATTTGAACAAGCTTCATATGCATACATGTTATGTTAATCATGCATCATACAAAAAAAAAAAAAAAAAGCTCAGAGAAAAATGAAGAAGGAAATAGATTGTGAGTCCAATTCATCCAAATAAAATACTTTGCCAAACCAAATTGGTTAAAACAAGAATTAGTAAACTTAACAGTTTTTGACAATTCACTGCCCATTTCCATACTGCGCAGGCACAGTGGAATAATCTCTGTTGAAAGAAGGAAACTTATAACATCTGTATCATCAACCTGGTGAATATGAACAGAAGGGAAATTAAACAAATGAAAAAACATAAGTATAAATGATGTACATATGACATAGAAGGAAAAGAATTCAACAATCTCATGAAGGGCTTAAAATAGTTGGAGAACTTTTATTCCCAGATAATGGTGATGAATTCATTCTAACAAGTTGGAATTGTATGTCCCCAACTCCCACTACATTATGCAAAATCTTCACAAGATTGAATTTGAAACTTTAACAGATATAGCAGAAAAACTACCACGAGCATGATAAGACTATAATAAAACTAATTATTTGTGACAACTAACTTTGATAAACCATCTAGCTGTTTCCCATACATTTTATAATAATCAATAATCAGTTGTTACTATTTTTAAAATGACGTATTAATTTAAGTTACTTTCATATGTAATTTTTTACGGTAAAGGCCTTTTGTGACTATTTTTACTAATTGAAATTATTCTTTCTTCGGCATAAGTGTAACAAAAAAATATTCTTCTAATAGTCAAGCGTATGCACCAACAGAATCAGCAAGGAAGTAGTACCTTCACCAATGCACCAATGACACCAAGACTGGTAAGCCTCAAATACTCAAATGGTCTTGACTTACTTGTGGTATTAAGGAAGGGATACAGATATAGAGGTATATGAGCTGCAGATGAGAAAAGTTGTGTAAGAATGAGCAGACAAATATCTTTTTTCATTCAAGTGTTATTTTAATGAGCAAAAACCATGCAGAAATAGATATGTTAATGTCAAAGCCAACTCTATACATTTATATTACCCAAAAAAAAAAACTGTGATATGCTTGTGATTTCGGCCCAAAAGCTTCTATCTATGGATGCTTGTGACTTGTGAGCGTATAGAATTTTGCAATTAAAATTCAGACAAAAACCACAAGCAGAAAGTATGACCGGTCACTAAGAAAAAAAAAAAAAAAAAAACAGGTGGCATGACCAAAGGAGTAAGAAACTCCAATTTCAAGCAAGCAAAACTATTAAGTCTTGTGACGATAGGCAATATTAAGGGAGCACAAATTGAATTTAAAATTTATCCTCATGATTCTTTTTACACACAGAAACTAGTTACTGGATCAAAGACCTTCCAAGCAGGCCTCTTATAATACTTTAATAAATAGGAAAAAGGGAAAGATAATAAAAAGGTTCACCGTTTTTTACTTATTGAACATGCACTATACAAAGGCAAAGAACTCATTAAATGGAATAAGATAGTAATTACAACAAATACATTATAAGATACAGTGGAAACTTTGGAAAGAAGGAACTAAATTTGCAAAAGGAGAGAATTTGTCCATCTATTGAGGTTGTATGTTTATCATAACTAAGAGATCAAATTCAAAGTTGATATGCAGTCTATGATTGAGCTCATCAGCTTGGATTATATCCCTCTCTTGCCCTGATCCCTACTAGTTTCAGAGTGCTCTTTCCCACTGTCAGTATTACTCAGATAGCATCAACCAAATCTCAATAAGCTGACATCATTTCCAGCAATAAATTTTTCTTATTATAAGCACAAGTCAGTGTGTCTTTCGATTAGCTTATTCTGTGTTCAAAACAGGTTACAACAAAAAAATCCTTGAGAGAACTTTCACAAAAAGATCAGTAGAATAGTAGACACAAGTTCAGAGTCCTTGATATGAATGACTAAATTATTATTACCATTGAGGAATTGCATCCTTGTTTCAAGGTGAGATGCCACGCACTACAAGAAAAGCATGAGAATAAAGAAATGTGTTAGCATAACAATGTCACTTTTCATCTAGTTATCACATGAAGAAAAGGGGAAATAAAAGACCCAAGAGAATATAATACACGTGGCGGGACTCATTTCCAAAGCAATTTATTTTCAGTGTTAAGAATAATTTTCAGAGCATATTGAAAGTGTCTATTGTCACTCCTAAACGTCTGTTATCACTCACTTTTAAGTGATTTTTGCCTAAAATACCTCTTTTTTCTCTCTTATTACCATATTAAGGACACTCTCTTAGAAAAATTTTAAGGATATTTTACATTAAAAAAAATAAAATTAAATTGGAGTGGCTATAGACACATGCATATCACAAATGACACACTCAAGCTTGTCGCAAATCAATTCTCACCTGAAGAAGAGCAAGAGCATTGCAAACCCGATTTGATTGTGCTGGAGTAAGATTTGGCGGAGAAAGAACAGGGTATATTGAAACTATTTCCTGGAAGAAAGTAACCAAAAAAAAAAAAAAAAAAGAGTAAGAAACTCCAACCCTTAAAACAATAAATAAGCGAAATATTAGTTTGTTTGATGATACGAATTCATACAAAGGCATACCTGCAAAAGTGCTGCAATAGTACCAAATGAATTCCACAACAAAGGAGCGAGATCCTGAAACAACTCTCTCTTCTAAAAAATATTAAAAAGAGAGAGAGAGAGGGAGAAAATAGAAATTGATGAGCTCACTGTATGAGTGAGGAAGCAGCATTGACAAAGCACGAGAAGACATGCAAGAGAAAGAAAGCGACCATAGCACGTAACATCCTAATTAACAGTGCTAAGCTTGAATTTCAAACGAAACACAATCCCTAACGAATGCTTTCACTTAACGAAAACGACAGAGAAATAGAGAGAGGGAAAAGGACCTTGGAGAGTTCGAGAAGAGCGTTTTCACGGAGATCGGGATTGCTGAGTTCGAGAACGAGGTGTTCGACAGAAGCCATCTTGCGTTCCTTGTTGGCAGAGGGAGGTCCAAACGACGCGGCGTTCATGGAAATGGATTGGGGCAAATTGGCCATTAATTGATTAGGAAAATGCGTGTGAGCGCCAACTATGACTATATATAGAATTTATGAAGCATTGAGTGTAATGAGAGAGTGTATGAGATGAGTGATGAGAGCAGTTTCATTTACTCGTATGTGCGTGCGAATGTAAGCGAGAAAATGGTGCGTTTTGGAAAGACGCCGCGACACATGCTTTGCATGCCACTGAATGCAAACCATAACGCCTGTCTCTGTCACCCTACATTAACATACAATATTTTCAACAACATCATTTCACCGTGTTGTTTTCGGATATTCATTAAAAATAAAATAAAATTATTTTTAAACATATTTTTACTGTGATATATTTCAACACGATTTTAAATGAAATTTCTTATTTTTTTTAAATTAATTTTTTTATTTGAATTATGTGTAATTTTGATCTTTCAATTTATTATAATTTAATATTTTTTAATTTTGAAGTCATATAATTTTGGTCTCTTTGTTAATTTTTTATTTAAAATTTCAATTTTTTCCTTTTTATCTTTTTTTTTAAATTCTAATAGAATTAGTATATGAAATAATTTTATAAATTAAGGGGTAGAAATTTTATTGAGACTGGAGTTTCAAAAGTTTGGTATTTTTTATTTTTAGTTAAGTATGATATTTTATTTTGTTATTTTTTAGAATAATATATTTTAATTTATGAATATTTTGAGTAAAAATTGATAATTTAAGAGTTTTAGATGGAAAAAAAATAGTAAATGACTAAATTTGTTATATTTCAAAAATAGAAAAAATTAATTAGCGTAATAAATTTTTAAGAAGCAATATTGTACATGATAAAAGATGCATTTGGACAACAATTTCATTAAGTGTTTTTTTTTTTTGAAAAAAAATTACACAAGAAATTTGTAAAAACATATATTTGACCATGATACGTATTTGTACAAGTTGAAATAAATTAAAAATAACTAATTTTCATAACTTGTTTTAATAACTTATATTAAAATAATTATTCAAATAAGTTAGAAAGAGTTTATAGGAGTTATATATTGTTTTCATAAATTTTCCATAAATTCTTCTAAACAAACATCAAGTTTATTGAAATATACTTAAAATAATTTATGAAAGTTTTAAACTAGTTTCTTAAACTATTTGCAAACAGTTTCAAAGGTACTCTAAAAAGAAAAATACATTTTGTATTTATTTTTATTTTAACAACTTCTTAGAAATTTCAAACTTTTTTTTAGAAAAGTGTTATTACGTCATGAATACATATTTTTGAATTATTTTTTAAATAAATATAAAATTAAAGAAATATATTTAATAATTTTTATTTGACATTTATAGACATATTAAAAGAATCATATATCCTGCAACCGAACAAAATCATAAATGTTGGTAATATATATTAAATGTTAAGAATTAACAGATATTTAAAGTGGTAAAAATTTAGTTTTTTTTTTTTAACTAAGCTTTTGAATGTGAGTACATTATTGGGAGTCATGCTTTCCAAATCGTTTTTAATTAACCAAAAAAAAATTAGAAATAAAAAAACAAGTTAATTAAAATTTAAAACAATTTCCTACAAATTAACCTAGAAGGTGGTGAAATAATTATTTTTTTAAAGTTCATTAAGATTGATGGACGTTTAGAAAAAAAAAAATTGTGATCACTTATATATATTAAAAATATTTTAGTAAAGTTTATGATAAAATTAATACCATGATAAAAAATTTAAATAAATAGTTAATTAAACTATTTGCGTAAACATATTTAAAATTGATATTTTGATATCAAGACTATGAATGAACAAGACTCCCTTAAAATGAGGTATCTTTTTATCAATAGTGATAGTTTTTTTTTAATGTCGCAATTGATAAATAAAATTAGATTAAAGTAAAACAAAAAAATTTAAAGAATACAAGAAAAAAAAATTAACGCAAATGAATACATGATAGATCAATCCAAAAAGCAATTAATTGAATTATCATTCCACATTATAAAAAAATTATTATCCCACCAGAAAATGTCTTCACAGTATTTCAAATAATTATAGATCAATCAGGTTTTGATACCGTGTCCTCCCAAAAAAAAAAAGAAAAGAAAATCTAATCCTTCATGCAATATATTGGCCACGTTGTAGAGAGGTGCATGGCTATTAGGCTGATGTCACTGGTTTGGGTGCGTCTTTGCCTTTGTGTTCTGAGCTACCTTTATGAGGATTTGGTTCCTTCCCCTTCGTTTTCAACGCGAAGAAACGAACCCATGTGAAAATCTCCAAACCAGATGCTATGGCACCCAAGAGACTCAGAATTCCCACGAATACCCATTTCCATCCCTTTCCCCCTTCCAAAATCGAAATTCCTTGAAATATGTTTATAAATATGATAGCAAGCAATCCATAACCAAGAAAATGATGGTACATGTTCCAATACTTGCGGTAATCATCCGTCACCTTTGGCTTTAAGCGAAAAGCCAACATCTGATAACCAAATCTATATATTACTATCTTCCATCAATTTTAATATATGCAACAAGAATGAAAGTTCTTTCTTATTTTAATAATATGTAAGGTTATCAAATTCATTTTTAAAAATATTAATAAATTTTTAATATTAAACCAAAAAGACAATAAGAAAGAATAAATTTGTTTATTTTATAAAAATGGAAATCATCATTCTTTTTTTACAAATGTAATTAAATTGTGCTTGTAATCAATCCATTTATGAATATGTAATTTTAAAAAATCAATGAATAAATATGTATTTGTTAATCATTTAACACACTCTTAAAAAAAATTGTTTCTACTATTTTTTATTAAACAATGAAAATATTGTTATCCTATTAATGCCCATTCATTTTATTTATTTACAAAAATAACATGAGATAATGTAAATTTTGAAAATAATTAATTATTCTTAAATTCTTAGTTAAAACAGCTTAATCATACACATAATAAAAAATTTTAAGTTATATTTTAAACTTTTGAAACAGATGGGGTATACATATAATATCAATTCAACATTTCTAAGCTAAACTTAATTACTAGGCAACGATCCATGTACAAGTTTCTTATATATGAGAGAGAGAGAGAGAGAGAGAGAGAGAGATTACTTGGATTGTGCTAAATGTAAATATGACAATGCCAAAGGTTCGATGAGTGTGGAAGGTGTAGTATCTTGAAGAATGTCCAAGACTGAGTCCAACAGCCCAGCCAGCGGTGCCGATGAGGAAACCAGATAATTGGCAACCAATGTGCAGATGAAACCACGTTGGCTCCAATTTAAAAGGAAACACTCGAAAGTATCTCGCGATTATAATTCCAATGGGTAACAGTGTTCCCCACCCGATAATGTTCAAGACTCCGTGTACCTATATTTCAAGCATAAACCACCACTATGTATAAATATGCCTCTACACACCCCACAAGAAAAGAATATTCCTGATACAAGGCAATTCTTGTAATTTATTTGTTCAAATATGCGGTGCATCTTTGGAAATAGGTTAGAAATCCACAATGCAAATTTCATATAAAAATTACAACCAGGAGCATTAAAATAAATACGAATTTATGACTATTTAAATATAAACTCAATCATGCACATAGTTAGTCTTAATTATGAAAACTACCGGTGAGAACATATGTAACAAAACAATGTGTTCATCACCACCGCCTAAACTCAAACAATATTTATTATAGGTAAATGTTAATCATGCTTTTAAGGTATTAGTTAAGAAATTAAAAGTAAAAAAAAAATGTCAAAAATATAATAAATATACATTTCTTCATAATTTTCGATGCAATCCAATACAATATTTAAATTTTTTTCAGTTTCTTAACCAGTGCCTTAGCGAGGCCATCGTTGAAGAGAAAATGATTTCTTACCGATCTAAGGAAACTCCGATACTGTCCAGTGCTTTGGCCGCTGCTAGAAGTCAAGTCTATCGTCTCTGTGCTGTCGACATTGCGAAGAGTTGTTGGATGGCTCTTGGGATGGTTATTTTCAATTTTATTCCCTACTTGCCACACATGGTTCAGCCTTGTAATGTTATACTCTGGAGAATTAGGGAGGGTCAATCTAGCATATATGGTGTACAAATTAGACACCTCTTTCGTCATTGCCTTGTTCGACACACCAAGTCCAATGTTTGATGGCAGAAGACTGCAACCCGTTTTGGTTTCCTTGGTAACGTCGTATGTGTTTACTTCTAACAATTCATCTAAGCGTTTAATGCCAATGATAGCTTTGGTTCCAATCATCTCTGCCCTTTTCCCTGGATTCACTCCCCATGCTATCCATCCTTCGGGGGTGTTTATTTTTGCACCAAACAAGACTTCAAGGATTGTGGAGTTTGTGCTATTGTGGTAGCTCCACCCGAACTCAGCCCCAAGAGTGCGCAATCTCTTGCAGTCTGAGATGTTTCTTTGTTGTGCAAGTTTGGTAAAAGCTTCACTACAGGTTTGACTATTGTCACCATAGGCAAGGGAGAGCAAGGCCAATGACAAAATGGTTAGTGGCAATGTAGTTGAGGTTGCCATGCTTTGCTAGCTCTTCATATGTTGTCTCTTTTTCTTTTGTTTTTTGTGGTTGGAATATATATGATACGATATATAGAAAGAGCATTATAAGAAGTGATCCCTTTCTTCGGAATACCAAAGAGTAATTATTACAGTACAGCTTGTTACGTTGTAGTTCTTAGTTTTCCAAAGTGATACATTCTTGCACAACTGCTAAATTAAAATTTTCTTTAGATTTTATTAAAATAAATTATACCAAAAATTTATTAAAATAACTTATAAAAATTATAAACTATTTTCTACAAATTATTCATAAATTCTTCTGTTTCTGCTTTAAACTAACACTCGAAGAGAATCGACAGCTGTATCGTGCAGTGTAATTGTTGAATCGCTTTGAAAAAGATGGACTAAATTTACCCGAGTTCGAAGATTATGCTTCCGTGACATGTTGGAAACCCCCTTAACTTTTTGCTTTGTTATGTAAGTTCCCGAGAGGCATAACAGTCAAGTT